GCCCTAAGCACAACTTGCCTTGCTGACAGCCAAGGGTGCGGCGAATCTCCTCCGGTGTTTTGCTGAGCTCAGACACGTTGAAGGAGCGCACGACGCCACCGGAAGGCACCGTGTTCACGCCGCCCAGCTGGAAAGCAGTACAGCCGCACGGGTCGAGGGAAGCCTCCCCCTGTAGCACCCAGCGGTACCGAGTGTAACCGCCTGGGTCTGGTTCTGGCTCCTGGCCTACATAGCAAGTGTGTGCTTAAAGTGAAAGGGAAAAAGTTGGTCCATGAAGAAAACACTGATACCGGTCCCGAAGGCAAGTGCAGTAAAGGGTGAGTAATAATAAAAAGATGAAACCCAAATGTCGGGACCATTGTTTTAGTGAAGTTCTGCATGTAGCAATTTCAAAATCTAGGATATGAAAGCCCAATCCAAAAGCTTCCTTTTAGTACAAGAATTATTCAAACAACTCGTGTAATTTGCAAGTTACGGAATTTTAAACACATCCCCACCGTTTTTGTCTTTGTCCATGCATGATAGCAAAAAGGTTAAGTTGTCTTTCAGCAAACCGAAAACAAATCCAATGGAGATTGTTTTCGTTTAGCTGAAAGAACGCACACCTTTTTGTAATCCGTGAACAGAACTTTAAAACGGTTGCGTTTAAAATTACTAAACTTAAAAAGTACATGAGTGATATAAATCATTCTTGTACTAAAAGAAAGCTTATGAATCGGGCTTTTATATCTTAGATATCTTAATTTAGATTTGAAAGTGATACATGCAGAATTTCACTAAAACAATAGTCCCGACATTTGGGTTCGTTTTTTTCTACTCACCCTGTACAATCGATGTTTACGGTATTTTATTCGTCTCGTTTGCCTAACACAATTTTAAACACTTTTTGCTTGTTACATTCGGTCGGTGGCAACAGAAATTGGATTTTTGAAAAACAAATACACATTGTTTATAACCATACTTGAATTTTATGTCGGTTTCTACTTGAATATCCAACAAAGTTCTGAAATGCTATTCTCCGAATATCTTGACATGATGTCGAGCGTGTAGTGTACTACTTACCTTCAGTAAGCGGCAAGAATACGGCCAAAGCCACGAGATATATCCCCGGCCCGGCCATATTCTCCAAACTCCCTGGTCGTCTGACCAACCCAAGGTGTGTTTCGCTCTCTTCTCACAGAAAAATAACGGATGAGGTGACCAAATTTAATTTCAAATCGATCGATATTTCACCGGGAAACTAATTAAGGCACTTGGTGCTTCTTTCAAGATGTCTTTCTTATATCTGCCGCTTGATTTGCGTCAACTCTTGGCTTGCTGGCATAGTGACAAGCCAGCTTCTAACCTGTTGACTGCTTCACGGATCGGTGGGGAGGTATTTTATGGCAGCAATTATTAACCGCGCAGCTTCACGGAGATGTAATTTGATGAGGAAGATGGAGCACGTCATATGTAGATAATTAGTTACCATGACAAACGCATAGCAACTGTTAGTGTTGCTTTTATAATGCATGGTTACCATATGCCTATGGTGCTGTCTGCTCCAGCATTCACATATACTTGTGCATGAGCATTTGGTCACGACATCACCAGTAGGCCTATACAAAATATAAAACCGTGTATTATTACTTACAAACTGAAGTTTTACCTGCAGAGGCAATAAGATCGCTTTTTGGCGGTATTTTGTTCATTTCAGCGAATCAGAAGGCCAGGGTGGGAATGCAGCTTTATATCCGGGTATATATGAAAGGAGTGCACTGAACTACTTCAAGCCCCATTGAAGACAGTGTCAAATCAACAACTTTCAGAGCCAAATAACATGCAAGCCGACATCACTGGGGTTTCTCAAACAAAAATGAAAATTATTGTCTTGTCCTTCATCTTTTCATTTTTTTTTTTTGAATTCTGGGTAGACTAGCCAATTACATTTATAAAAAAACACCAAAACAAAATCAACTCCCGAAAAGTGATAGTTCGCAAGCCTGCATGCATGTAGCCATTTTTACAAGTGGCATCCTTCCAATTTCTAAGGCAATAATAGGACCAAAAATACATTTTTCAACCGTAATTGTATCAAGCCTGCCCTCAGATGGAAGCCCAAAACCCAGGGAGTTGATCCTTGCCATATATACACAATTCCACCGTTTTAAAACCAAAAGGTCTCCGTTTTTCAAAAAGAAGTTGTGGGCACTTTTTATGCTAATGAGCTTGCGTAGAAATTCTCACTTGAATTAGTACACTGTCATATAGGTGATGGGTTTGTGCCTTCAAATTCGCAAAAAAAACATTCATTTTTATCTTGGAAGTGGCCGTTTTGAAGCGAATTTTAGCTCCCTGCTGTCATTACCGTGGTTCGTATTAGTTTTCACACGTTCAAGTTCGTTGTACTCAGACCTGACATAAATTGAAGGTCATTCGGTTTAACCGATCATTCAACTTAGCTGTCGGTTTGGTTTAGGGCTATTTGCATTAGAATCTGATTTTCCTTGTCATCTCTGCACATTTTCGTATAGTATTTTCAGCATTCAAAATAATGGGAAACGAAGGCAAGATGCGAGATATTTTTAAACTTGTCACATGTTCTTTTGTCATTGACTTCATTCTAGTCCCTTCATGTTCAGAGTATCTGTTATCTGTCTTTAATCTAAACAGTAAAATTACAAACTGCTGATGCGAGAACATTAAACATTATACACGAAAGTCGACATATAAACAATCAAATCCTTTGCCCTCTTTTTATCGTGTTCACATATTAGTTTGTTATATTCTTGATTGTTATATCTTCTAGACTTAAATTGCGATTTGGGAAAGTTCATATTTCTATGCCTCATACATGTGCTTTCTTTTTATGCAAAAAAAAAAATTATCAATCTGTTCATTTTGTGGCTGTTTCTTTATAGCCGAACCTTGTGGGAAACAGTTAGTTGTATGAGTTTTTTTCAAATTGGAACAAAGAACAAAGACGAGCAAAAAGCAATTACGTGAACCGGTCTCTAATTCCCTTGCTCGCATTTCACAAATGCTGCTAATGGCGAATTTGCCCCTGGAACAACTGACGCAACGTACAATTTGACATGATGTATTATCTTTGACATTGATTCGTTGAAAAGCGCAATCACATGCTTAATGCTTTTGCATTTAAATCGAACGATCCATTAGGTTAAAGGGAAAATACAACATTTGCAAACATCAAAAAATAAAACTATCAAATTATTTTGAAATACCTTGCTGGACTGTTAGTGAATGACAGTGTAAAGCATCCTGTAAAATCATGGCACCTGGTATACTGTCATTTTCAAGAAAAGTGGTATTTTTATATCAATTTCCAACGCTGATCGGCCGATCAGCGTTGGAAACAACTGGCTTTTTTCCAAATACTGGCCCCAATTGACCTTCGCACTTGTTTGCAATCTATTACAAACCTATGAACGGGTACGAGCCAGCTAGACTGGTTCCCTGACCTTACAATTCCCCAATATATGTAAACTGCTCTGTTTCTTCTTATATGGAGTCAGGGAACCAGACTACAGGAAAATGATCGTTTTTCTTGGTTTTTATAGCATTTTCGAACCCAAAACCTAAAAAAAGTCAGTGTAGCTATATATGCTACATATTTCCAACCCCCCAATTCCATCCATTTCTGAAAATTACAGCAAAAGCAAATGATGTATATTCCCTTTAATTGAATGTTGACTCTAAACGTGCATCCAAATTCGTGCGAAAATGGGTGATTCGTCATCATTTTGGATGCCAAATCCATTAAACTGAGCGGGAAAACCTTACTTTATAAATTAACTCAATGACATGGGGACACCGACAGGGAGGTTGGTTTGAACCCCCCCCCCCCCCCCCCCCCGGCCGGAAGACTAATTTGATGTAGGGGCACGTATAATTATTTGTATATTAATACACTTATACTGCCTAATTTCTTTTCTCTAATACATGTATTATACAGACCAGACTTCAGTTACATTTTTACTGCCGCCCACGTATATTTTTCTTCATTAAGGCTTTTTGAGTATACGTTTTTGGCAATTTATAAAGTTAAGCCCCTGACCTAAATTTCTCAAACCATTACATGAATCCCGGATTTGGCCCTAAAATTTAAAATTGGACTCAGGCCTATGTGCTTGGACACCTAAAAGTTAACTTCAAATGGGTCATTTCCTACATAAATTATTGCCGGCCCTTGTTTCAAAATAAACTGTTTATGCAAAACAATCTTCCGCGAAGAAATGGTTTATAGAGCATACTGAGTGACTATTTTCAGTAAATAATCCAGGTGGACATAGAAAAGTCGTCTGCTGTGAAAAGTCGTGTCTCACGAAGTCTCGTGCGTGATGCGAACGGATTTTCTGACGGGCCACGGAGGCAAAAGAAAACATTGCGCCCTGTACGACTGTTTACGTATCATGACAAATTAGTCGCGAATAGTGAATAAATTCCACTCCTAGTCCATGGAATTAAATTAGTTTTTACGTTATCTGTACTTCCTTCGCGAGACAGTGTTAAGATAAATTATATTGCAATTTGTTCTAGGGCAGGCCCTGTTTTGTTCAGTGCAGATTGACCGGGAGTAGTAGGCCTGCACATTCGGTACACAATATGCGTTCCGACAAAATACACAACCTAGATTTCTTGATGAGACAGAATATTCATGAAGGGATCAAAGACGATACTCATCTAGTAAAAAGAGGCCGTAATCCCTTCAGCGGTCATTCTACTTATTCTACGTGGCCTGACGTGCATTTTCCGGAGTTCGCACATCACTCAAAGCGGGTACGTGTTTCATCAGTTTACTTGCCTTATTTTAAAGTGTATGCATTGCTTGTGACAACCGTAAGGTAGGTCTTGCTTAGCGCAAATTTGATACGCAAACATGTTTACTTTTCTGTAAACATCGCCGCCGAGCCGTCAACTTTGTACAAGATGAGGCTTTTATTACTGATCTGATCTGCTATGCCATCCATGGCCAACCAGTGGTCTTAATCGAGTGAGGCTATAAGCCAGGCACTCCGTGCATGACGTCACAGCGTAGAACGGCTTCACCCAGTGCCCATATACGAATTCCCAATTGAAAGAGATTGTGACCCGATCGAGGTCAATCGTTGCTACAGACGCGCAATGGATAGTCTACGCGCGCGTCGTCTGTACGGGCCGCGCCGGGCGCGGGTCATAAGTCATATGATTTCGCGGCAAAATTAAACCAAAAATTTTAATATTTCTTGCCGGCGGGCGATATAGCGCGCCACTAGCCTAGCAAGGCTTGTTGCAGCATGCAGAGCGACAACGATCGTGCCGATGCTCAGTAAGATGGAGTGGATGCCTAGCTGCTTCAGGCTGGAAAGCCAAACGGATAATCATTCATTTGGATGGGTCTCCAATGAAGATGAGCTGAACACAGTTCTTGATTGCCACAGTCGGGCATCGATGACATCTTATGTATTTTGGTAATTATAAAACAATGTTCAAGTTCGCATGGAATCTGCATGATTGGTTATGTTTGATTTTTATCATGTTTACTGTATAGTGTTGGTATTACAGTTGTATTTTGTTGGACAATTTAATGCATTGGATGTGCGCCTTCTGCATAAAAAAAATATAATTATTCTGCGCTTAAACAAAATTGGTAATTTGTCATTAAAAATACATTAAAAATTTTGGTGAATTGGCAAAAAAAAAAAGATTTCTTGGTTGGCTTAGTTTATCAATCATTCAGTGTCAATGTCCATCTTTAAACTTCACATTTCAAAAGGCCTTTCTGAAACTAAAGTAGGCCCTATTAAATAATTATGAGCATTATGATTGGAATGGGTCTTATTCTGACTTCTAGAATAGGCCTATAAATTAGAAGGCACTCTAGTGCTTTCTAATTCTGGAAGTAAGGCTTACTGTGCTCAATCTCTACTTTTTCATTTTAATCAGTAATGCATTCCTCTTGGACATTTTTTGGTTGTAGTTGTCTCAATTGTTTATTAACAATCCTACTTTTTATAAATTTACTCAAACATCGACAAAGATCTTGTTTAATGTGTGATTTCTTGAGCATTGTTAAACTTCATTTTGATAGATAATATAGAGAAAGTTGTTTTTTAAAAAGAATTTTACATCACACTTATAAGTTTGCAAAAGTTGTCTTTGAATAAAATATGTTTGTTTTGATTTATTTCTGTTACCTCACATTCATTGTGTTCAGTTACATTTTGTTGGTGTTACCTTACTGTTACTAGTGGAAAAGTGATGGGAAGAATGTAGTATCCTCGTCATGCCACATATAAAATCTTAGAGTCAATCCAATCATTGTGTATTTGGAGATTAAATAACCCACAAGTGACATGTACATTTTGAACATTGAATTTAGAATGAAAATACATTTTGTGAAACAAACCTACCACCAAAGTAGAATCAGTATACGGCATTCTTCCCAAAGTCTATGATTTCCAAAATCTTACAAATCCTTCATAGCCTACCCTACGTTGTGAAGGAACTTTCGATAAAAGCAAATCTACCAAAAAAAGAACCTACCAAAAAGGTTGTTTTTAAATTGTTTTGTTAGTTATAAAAGACAATAACAAGTGAGTGGATGAAGATTTTGGAACCAGAATGAAGAAAACATGTTCACTACAATAAACGTACATGTATGTAAGCTACTACTACTGATATTGTACTAGTTCATAAATACAAGTTCCTCATTCCTATTGGTCCTATAGAGCACACCACTTGGGCATAAGGAAATAATATGTATTTGGCCACTTTTAAGCAGTTCCATTTCAAACTGGGCAGTGGGCTATATGCATAATAGGCCTGAGACCTACATTGTAATGACATCACACTTTGTTTACTTTGTCTTCGCTTCCATAGTGTGACACCAGGGGGATCGGTGTCGAAATGGGAATGAGGAACGGCTGAAGCAAATTCTCTGTTATCTCTTGTTTTTTTATTTCTGTAAAATGAAGAGAAGAGTAAATCTAATGTTGTCTCTTCAAATACAGAAGATGGAGTGCTTAAATAAATATTTACAAGAATTATAAAAAATATCTGTAAACAAAGCCAGATAAAGTCTCAGGTCTTTAGGCCTACATTGTAATCGGAAGGTGAAGATCATTTTTTATTATGGACAGGCTCTCGACCAATAGGGATGGGTAGACTATCTATGAACTAGTAGAAGTGTTTAAGAACAGCCACAAAACTTGACCTTTTATCCAGGACAATTCAATTTCTGCTTTAAAAAATGTATTATTGAAATTAGTGAGTTTAAATTTTTGAATTTCCTTTTTGGGGGATAAGGCCAAAAAAAATTAATAGTAATCGGTCTCTGGTCAGACTGAAGTTCTGCAATTGATGAGGCGATGCGGTTTTTTGTGTGTGTGTGTGTGGTTTTTTTGTTTTTATTGTTTTTTCCAAGCTTGAATTGTACAGACAAGGTGGGTACTATTTTGTGTCCTCATTATACATTGGTGTCCTCCATAATCTGCCTTGGTGCCCTTTATCATTTGCCTTGGTGCAATTTCCCCATTCCTTGGTGCTCCTTGGTACAAAAATTTGAAATGCGGCAATAGAGGGCGCTGTTGTAGCTTCCGTGTTAATTTGGAAAAGAAAGGTTGACGCGTATGGTTAAAATCGACACGCGCGCTGACCAGAGACCGAGTACTTTTTTGGGGGGCCTAAACTTTTAATTTTCTTCAACAACAGGTTCTTATTTTGCCCTTCAGCGATAGATATACTCAAATTCATCTAAGAGGAAGAACACACAGCCTAAGAAAGAGAAAAAAAGTTGCATTTGTAAAATTTACACTTCATAACTACACTTGGGCATGTTTGCTTTATGTCTCAAGAGAAATCAAAATGGCAAAAAAAAATAGCAATTTAAAAGAGTACAACTGTACAACTTTAAAAAGGTCGCTTCAAGACAGATTTATTTCCATCACACTCATAAGATTCGGGAGTAAATTTCTGTGCAAGGCATAAACCTTTTGATAAAATTACTTGGAACTTTCAAGTTCCTCTTGCCACATGAACCGTTTACTTTATATTCCAACAGGTGACTCGATCACACAATGTTCATTCATTTTAGTAACAAACTCACAAGAGAAATCTTTCCAATCAACTTGTTTCCCAGTTCCCATTACAGGCGCAAAGCAACCATATTACTAAGAGACCTCTATCCTTTCTTACAAAGGCCATCAGCCTCAGCCAAAATTTTGGCCGCCGGTATCAAATGAGGGGAATAATTGTCATTCTGATTTTTGGCAAGGTATACACCTCCAGAGTTGAAAATATCACCCTGACTGTGTTTCAAAATGTCCACCAAAATGCTTGTTACTACTCTAGGAGCAGTGAACATTGTACCTTGCTCACTATAATCATTTCTGCCCTGATTTGATACTGACCAAACACCAAACCCCAGGCTGATGGCCTAATAGTCTCAGCGTGTTATTCAAAGTCTCATGATAGAAGAGTTTTTTTACAACACCTGAATAAATCCCCGTCATCTGATTGGTGAATTGTAGATCACGTGACATATTATTATTCGGTATAATGCACGGTGCGACCATGCGTTATACCCATGCGTTATACCGTTTCACTTTGCGCTTGTTCCATGACGCGGTATTTGCGTGCAAAATGCATGCTGGTGTGCGCGTTCAGCGTAGCGTGTATTGTTCCAAGGAGCCAGCGCTACAGCGTTGGGTTCAAACATTTTCGTGAAGGGGTAGTTCAACATCTTTAAAAATCAAAATAAATTGTAGTTTATAATTTACCAATCAAATGACGAGAATTTATTCAGGTGTTGTATAAAACAAATAACGAATGTTTTACGGTCGTGCGATGGAAAGAATAATTTCATTTGATGACAGATTGAATGTTCTATTCCACTCGGCTTCGCCTCGTGGAATAGAACATTCAATCTGTCACCTCATGAAATTATTCTTACCATCGCACTCACAAACATTCGTTATTTGTATAATGATAATCAATTAGAAAGTTGTTAAGGTATAACGATCTATTCATACTGTTTTCAGTTTCTCTTCCTCTGGAACTATGCACGATTCCCCGCTAGTACCGTGAATTAGCTGTCCCATGGCGAAGATTGTCAGGCATCCTGCCGTCCCGACTCAAATCTGTAACAATGAATAGTTAAAAACGTCATTAACCTATGGGATTAAACCTCAAAAACGGCACAGGGAGAGGAACTTCAACATTATTAAACTTATATCTTCAAATGTACTAGGACAAAAACCCCGGACTCTTCTCTATACAATTTATGTGATATTTTGCTTGTCAACTAGATACATGTACATGGAACTTTCCACATTCATTCATCCAAATCCTCACAAATAAGAACCTTTGTTCAAAGGCACTGAAATGACAATTTTGACAAGTATATGGTTAAACCACTGTCACAAGGTGGTCATGAGAGTTTCCATGTCTGGAGATAACCAACAAGAGAAGTTGCCAACACATACAAATGTATCACTACACTCACTCATCACTCATGGCACAGAGGTCTCTCTGTTTACCAAGTGTACCATCTGAGTCGGTCACAGGCTTAGTTACTGGTAAAATGTTAGTTTCTTGAATGGCATCCCTTTTTTTGTGTTTGGTCCTCCATCCTGATTTGAACAATTATTGACAATGAATACTAGGTTTAAACGCGAAATATTGTATACAGTGGAATCCAAGGAGATGCAACATCCTCTTATCATATTTTAGTTTTTACTGTACCGGTTTGCCACTACAGCAGCATAATGCAAGTAAAAGCAGATCTACTATACCTTTAGACTATATCAAAATATGGTGTTATTGGTTTCGTGACAACAAAGATACATTTGCAAAGACCAATGAAACTACAAATGCTGGGAGAATATACACATTTCAATGGCATTGTTAAATTAAATGTAAGATCCACACGAGTGCTACTGCATCTTCTTTTGATCAGGTCATACTTTTCCTTTTTTTTCTAACTGACTGAAACTACTTCAGAGGCAAAAACAACCCAGATGACCAATAAGGGAGCCCTAAGTAAAACCATTTTTAATAATTCCATGTTAGGATTATAAGAAATTGTTGAAAAATTTTGCATGCAAGTACATCTATGATATCAAAAAGAAAACAGACTGCGCAATTGTTTTACAACCATGCTGGTACCTGATAACCTGGTTTTTCCTGGCAACTTAAAATTGAGGAATTTTATATTCCAGAGTGATTGTTCAGAGAGCATGCACGGTTGATTTCCTATCCATTAAAGGGAAGATACAATATTTGCAAACATAAAAAAACAAAAAGATCAAATTACCACAACATTCTTTACTCAACTGTTAGGGAATGACAGTCTAAAGCATCCCGTACAATCATGCCCCCCAATGTGCCGATATTTTTACGTAAGGTGTATTTTTGTATCAACGCTGGTCGGCTGACCAGTGTTGGAGAACACTGTTCATAATTTCTCATATTTAGTTATTTGCATTTTCTTTGCAATTTATTTTTTTCCAGCATCTACAAGCCCAAAACGTGAAACAAGTCAGATGAACAATGTTTGCTTTAACATACTATTCTTCCAAATCCATTTATTTCTCAAAATAACTGCAAAAGCAAATGTTGTGCATTCCCTCTAAGTGTCATCCTAGTGTTTACAAGTACAAGGGCCATTTTTCAAAAGTATGGTCAAAAGTGTGACATTTTTCCTATTCCTGCAAATATTTGCCATCAAACTACTGGATCAATAAGAATGATTTCAAACAATTTGTTTTAGAAATCAACAATGTTAGGCACCAAGGCGATGAGCTTAGAAAGACATTCAGACACATGACAATGGTACAAGTGAATAAAAACATGCAGGTGACACACAAGTATATGCAGGGTTGAAAGGAGAAAAATAAATAAATTACATCATCAATATTTCCACCAGATCTAGGGGTGACAGAATCAGGCAGGGACTAAAAAACCAATCCACTTATTGGCACAGACGGGAGTCAAACCCAGGTCACGGTGACAGATGGGGAGGAATGGAACTGCTATCCAACCTGACGTACACGACGAGACATTAAGGACAAGTGTCTGAGGAAAGCCACAAGCACCGACACGTGTCAGACTCTGAAAATATTGTGTGATTGCCCAGCCAGTGCACACATTGTTCAACCTCGACATTGGAGTTGGCAGTTAGGGGACTCTCATCTCATCTATGAGACAATAACAAACAAGTACTAGACAGTCAATAAAAGGTTTTGACCTTCGCAGACCTACAAACACGTATACCATCAACCCCCCCCCCCCCCCCAGTGAAAGTGAGAAGTCGTCACTGGGGTGGGAAGTGAGTCCCACAACCTTCTTGCTTTCTAGTGCAGAAGTCTTACCACCTGACCACCGAGCTTGCCAGGATCAGCTGGCTGGTTTGAATCTGAAGTAGCAGCAGGTACGACATTGAAACTATTCATAAGAAAGAGTATGCGACTAAAGGTAGGGGGAAAGATCTAAAGGAATGTGACAGTGAGTCGAGTAGAGATACAGAGGGGAGAGTTTGGGAGGAGAAAGGATTGGAGGGGATAAGGTGGGAGGAAGGACCAAAGCACTGTGGTAAAGTTTAAAGAAAAACAAGAAAAATGAAAAAGGCTGTGTAACCTGGCAACAATTATCTTTAGTTGAAATGCACTTGAATCGGAGCTGCATTGTCCCAAAGAGTGTCCCCCGTCACTGGTACAGATGAAGAATACACTGTAAGTGTACCACCACCAAATCAGGAGGTAATATGAATAGGCACGTTAAGGATGGGCCATGCTTTAAATAGTGTTCATACGGCAAGAAAACATCATTGCTGAGTTGTGTGTCCTGTCTTAGCCAGGACCAAGGAGCAAGCACCTTTTTAAATTGATAGAGACATGACCATAGTTTTTGTTTTGCATGTTGTTTTTCAAAAATTATGGGCCTTTCTCTCTGCGTAAAAATCACAAAATCACATAAACACTTATTTTTTGCATAGGAAAAACAAATACCAAAATTACCACCTTAAATCTATAAATTTAGCCTGAACCGAATCTTTTGAAAAAATATACCTTTGACAACATTCTATCTCACTGACAAACTACTCAAATAAAAGGTTCACTTTTCATCCATGACCACTTAACCTTGGCATTGCCAAACTACAACACCAACAAGTCACACAAACATTTCAGGCAACAACTCAATAAGATAAACCATTGGCTACCTCCAGAGCTGCTTATGTTGGTGGGTGGGTGGGTTGGTTGGTGGTGGACACTTTACTCGGCCCCCTATACTGTTTCCATGTCACACGTGTATCACAGCTTTGCCAGTGAGTTCCTATGGAATACCTGAAGTTTTGTGACACTGATGCATGCATACATGTACGTCTAATTTGAATATTATATCCTGCCCCGTTGCATTGCAAAATTCGCGGTAGTATAGTTCGTGGAACTGCCGTGGGTTGTACCACTTGGTACTGGCCTTGCTTGTGCACTACTTGGTGCTTGGTCTCAGATATCAGTTTGAGGCATGGATTTTTTCCCTCCTAAAGCAAAAACATGCTGATAAAACCCACTTATTTCAAGTCACACAATGAATATGCACAGATATTCATATATAAAATCTATTCTTAAAGTAAACTTGAATTCTCCATCCTGATAAGTCGATCTATGGCAACAAGCCAAAGTACATATAACGCACTCCGCGTATCGCACTGTTCTAAGATGCAAGCGCCATTCTGTACAAACTGCACATGTTATAGTGTAACTGCTGAAAAATTTGTGTACTGCATGCACGTTAAATATTTTTAGTGGTCAAGTTTGCTTGAAGATGAATTTGTTGAAACATGGAAAATGAAGTGCATCTGTGTCCCACATAGCACAGACGCACTACATCATTATGTGTTCCACTTGTGCTTGTGAGATAACTCCAGGTTTTTTTTCTAAAACAATATCTGGAAGATAGGGAAAGTCGAATAAATCTAGACATTTTGTCCAGGTAAAAGTGTTCCGTATTCTGAATCGTTAAGCTTGATAACAAATTAACCCTAACCCTAGTAAATACAACAGAATGCAACAGTAGTAAAAAGTTGTTGCAAGTTGTTGCATTTGGCAGAGTCCTGATCTGATGCATTCCATCCCTGCATTAGATTAGTAGCAAAAAAGTGAAAAGAACTTTTCTGACCCCCTCTGATGAAATGAGATTTTTTCTGTGATATTCCCTTAGCGTGATAGCATTAAAATAAATTCTATTGCAATTTGTTCTAGGTCAGGCCCTGTTCTGTTCTAAATTTACCAGACCGCATCATTCTTTTTCAAATTGTTTGTCATAATACAAAGTACCCATGATTGCGACTGCACACTACATACATTTATAACATTAGGTACGGTACCTGCAATTGTTTCATCCACTTTGAATGCTGTCATGTCTAGATGGAGCTAGATGCTCAGTCTCTTCGCATATTGCCTCAGCTACTACATGCAAATAAACCAAGGAATAATCATTTCAATAATAAAGCTAGCTGAGCATTACAACTTTGATAATCTGCTCACGGACTAACTTGGTTTCTAGGTCTGATGATCTGAAGAAACAATCAAGAAAGCTGAAAGAAAGCAGAAGGTTGCTTTGGAAGCTTCACAGCATTGATGATGGAGTACCACTTATGGTTGACCGGACAATCATAAGGTCATGCCAATATGGCAAACCCCACAAGAGGCCCGTCAAGCAGGAGAGTATGGTACAGTAGAAATCATATTTAAGTATATGTTTGCATCAAATCACTCCATGCCTGGTATAATCACACACACAAAAATACTGGACTGAATATCAACTGCAGAACATGGACGAGGTATAGCAACAAAACTAAGGCACTTTTATTCATTGAATACGGGGGTGATGGAGCTCTTCTAAATGTGTAGTTTGTACATTCATAGCTGCTCTATCACACTATTATCCCCATTCAATAACAAATGAACATGTTTACATTAGGCTTTTTTCACAATGGAGGGTTAGGTTAAGTGGCACATAGCTCCTCAGTGTTGAAAGGTCGTAAACCAAATCACAGCAGTCAATAATAATGTTAACTAAGTGTTCTAATTAACAGTCTTACTTTGAATTACTCCCAGGCACTGGATCCTGAGCATGCATACAGCTCCAAGAGCAAGAGCAGATTCGCCACTCAAACCACCAGGAAAGTGTGCTGCAGAGCCCAAATCATCATCCGTTATGTTAGCAGGTACATACTAACCTGTGACAAATGACATATGATAAATGTGGTAAACATAAAATTGTATTTTTACCATTACCCATATGGTGCACAGGTGGGGGAGGGGGGGGGGCAAGTCTGGCCGGCCTTTACAAATCCCAGCGGACCTCTCTGAACCTTTGTTGCCTATGGTTGTTTTGAAAAAAAAAATTAGTTATCTATGTTTAGTGGACTTTGTTAACTGCATGTATTCAAATTTTAACCATTGGGGTATTCAAGAACTAATGCAAGTGCAGCTTAAAGGCCCAGGGAAATCTGGGATTCTAAATGATCTGTGGCCCCCTATAAAGTACATGTAGCATTAAATACACATTGCATGCTCGTACGAAATTGGTTTTGGAAATAATTCTTTAGAATTTTTGGTGATTTATGTACACATTGTAGTTTTGTTCTTAACAGCAGGGGGATCAAGGCCCCCCTTGGGGCCCCCAAGGGTATAGTGAGTTTAAAAATATGAATGTTAATCCTCTCTGCGTTACAGATTTGAATCATTTAAAATGCCACTGAATGCAAGCAGGCAAACCCGTCAGCAAGCACTTGATGCAATCCATGGCAGCTATATGAGCAACACATCATCTCCTGTTAGCTCTACAAGACGGATATACCTTCAGCTGCCTAAGGTCACAGCCCACACTGGCCATGATGTCACTCAAGAAGAAGGCTTCTCCCATCGCATCCATCCTATGGTCAAGGCAAAAATATACCAGCTTGTTGGGTCAGGAATCACATCGTGTCCACTAATTAAAACACTGCTAGACAAATACATCATCAAAGATCTTTGCAGGTATGACATGGTCAAACCCCAAACGAGCGATCGTGCTTACTACCCAACCAGCAGGGACGTGAAAAACCACATTCACAGGGCCCTGGTTGCTGGACAATATTCAGCACTGGACGTGGACAACACTGAACAAAAAATAAACGAGTGGAAAGTAACAGAGCCAACGTCAAGCTTCCATCTTCGTAAGTGTCAAGAGAAATCTGGCGACGAGGAGGAAGACGACACAGGGCACTTGTTTCTGTTTGTTCACCAGACACAGCAACAGCAGGAACTACTGCGACGCTATGGAGAGATGGTACTCCTAGATGCAACCTACAAGACATCAAAGTATGCACTGCCTCTGTTCATCATGGCAGTTCGCACCAACATAGGGTACATCCCAGTTGCAGAATTTGTCCTTGAAGAGGAAACATCTAGGAGTATTGCAGAGGCTCTTCATGTCATAAAAGAGTGGATGAACAGCGATGATGCAAAGAAGTCTTGGGAGCCAAGGTAAGTTTCAGTTTACTTTGAAAAAAAGTAATAATAAGAAACATTTTGTTTTACCAAGCTCGCTTGTAATCAGTTTTGGGAGTTTACTGACTTTGAAATGCTTCACATTTAGTCACAACATATAATGCAGTTTTTTTCTGACTAAACTGTTTTGAGGTGCAAAACCTTTTTTTAGGACCAAATAATTTTTTTATTGCATAGTTTGATATGTAACTGAAATTTAATTTAACCAGTTTGCATTGGATGATTTGTATAATTACACGCAAAGGCTTTGCGGTATTTGGAAAGAATGACAGATAAACACGCAGGGAGCGAGGCTGGAAATATCTGTCAGTGACCCGCTTACAGCGAGCAAGGTTGGAAATATCAGGGTGTTCTACTCACAGATGACAGCGTGAACCCATCTGGCATGGAGCTTCAAGAAAACTAATCTGATGCCACGGTCAAGTCACTGTCAAAATAATCCCGGCTTGAATTGTTAACAGAGAAGCGTCTGAGTGATTTTATTTGAAATTCATAAAAATATTACACTTAATAATGTTTTATTTTTTTTCTCCTCAGCTACTTCATGACCGACTACAGTGATGCTGAATACCAGGCTATCAAGAAAACATTCCCAAACAGCAAATGCTATTTGTGTGCCTTTCATAGAGAGCAAGCATGGCTACGGTGGTCACGGGACTGTGAGTTCAACATTGATTGATGACATTGTCAAACAACTGCATCTGCAGAAACTTGACATGGCTTGAAATATTAACACAAATGGTTCTCAATCCTTGATTCTAAAAGAGTGACTTATCACGGCCAGACTGTTGGAGGTGCATTGGCAAGGGCAACTTGACCTTTTGATGACTTTTGAACTTGGAATTTGACCTTTGAAATCTCTATTATATGAAGGTTGCCACTTTGCATAGACGACCCAAGTTTGGTTCCAGTTGGACTTAAACTTTTCAAGTGAGACAAAGTCCAGGCGAGACAAATATTACAGAACTGCAACACAACTAATTGTTCACGTTTCAATTTTGAGATATGTTTTTCTTGTGTACAGCAAAACATCAGCTCTTGCCAACAGAGAGGGAGACTTTTCTCACAATGATGAGGAACATTGCAAGTGCTCCAACTGAGAATGAGTATAATGAGGCAGTGAGATGCCTCAAAGAGAGTGCACTATACAGGATGAACAAGCAGTTACAAGCCTATGTCAACTCGAAGTGGCTAACCATCCCTGAGGTAAGTGTTGAATATGCATTATTTGATAGTTTGTTTGGCTGTTTCCCTAAGTCACACATGGGGTCTGTCTAAGACTTCTTAACACGCCTTTGGCTCAATCACACTGTAGCTGGGCCCTTCAGAGTTTAGTTTCTCAGCTTGAAGTAAGAATGATACCCCCCCCCCCCCCCGAGTCATTCATTATCACTTGGCATTAGCATGTGCCCCTTACACCATCAATTCATTCCTAATATTTTTTGACCAGTTCACCCGTGTGTCCAAAAATGGCCGCTGATAAACGAATGTTTGAAGTATACATACAGTGAGCTTGTATATTGATTTAGCATGCATTTTGTTCCTGTGTACATTTTATTTTTCCAAAAACAAGCTGCAGCTTTCAAAAAGTAAAACTCATCACTTGAAACACAGGGAACCTAATAAGCGACAAAATGTGAGCCAGGTGAATGACAATGTTTCAAAATTGAATGACAATGTTTGGGGACAGATCAAAGATGGCAACTTGTCCTTTATCAAGCACTCACCTGTCTCCCCAATCATGGCTTCAAACGACTAATGTGGTTTTCTAGTATGTTATCCAGACAGTTCATACATGCAGAGATCAGTGAATCTGCAACATGAAATAGACTATCACTTACAAAAGAAACATACATTTATAGTTTTCTATTGAAATAACAGTATAAAAAAATATGAGCAACATTAAAAATGTTATTTATCTACAGAGATGGTGCCAGAGTTTCTTTGAGACTGGATTCCATGTGCAGGTTACAACAAACAATGGAGTGGAATCCCTTAACCACAGTCTGAAATCGTTCCATTTACAACTGCGTTCTCTTGGATCACTATCAAGTATGCTAGAAGTTCTGACACAGGACTTTGTAAGTGCTCAAATGCAGCGATACGCCCGTGAAAATTGGAGGCAGAGCACTTTCAATAAGTCATACAGCATGAAAGTACCAGATTTTCTTCACAACAGACCCAAACATGTCATTAAACACATGATGAGCAGGCTGGAGAATTCGAAGGTGTACAAGAAAGATGATGTAGCAATGACAGCACCAAGATGCTTCAAAGTCAGAAGTGAAAGCGGAAAGCAGGGTCAATCATACGAAGTAAGCTTGGGGTCAGCAGATCAGGCTCCCAAGTGTGAATGCCAGGATTGGAAGCATACATTCTTACCATGTAAGCACTTGTTTGCAGTTCTCTCCAACTCTAACTTGACATGGGATGACTTACCTGTTTCATACAGAGAGAGTCCTTATCTGACTTTGCAGCCCCACTGGCTCACACACCCCGAAGATTCCCTGCACAACCTCCATGACCATGATGATTCCGGTACAGAAAAAGCACCGTGTACCGAATCCTCATCTAGTCAGTCACAAGACAGGCCAGTAGAAGAGCCCAACAAGCAGGTCAAATCTTCTGCCAATGAAGTAACAACTAGACAGCATCACCTTCAGGAAGCCATCAAGCATCTTCATGATGCATCATTCCTATGTCAGGATGCTGATATTCTGAAAACAGCATCACTCCAAATAAAATATCTCACCGAGAAATTGAGCACAGGGTTTGTCAAGGATGGGGGGCTTCCTCTGCATTTACAGAAGGACAAAACCGCTCAAATGACACCGCGGCAAATACCTACCAGGAGGAAGAAGAAGACCAAAGTAAACCGCCCAAGTAAGAAAACAGTCACATTATTTTTCAATGTAACCAATTAGGGAAAACAAGTTGTAGCCACTTTGTGTAAAAGTGAGGCACTGCCACTGAACAGATCCCTATGCACCTAGAGATGAAATAACATGGTAATGAAAAAAGGATTGGAATGTATTTCAAGGCACAAGGCTAATGTTTATTAGACAGAAAACCACCTGTTGATCAGAAGGATGATGAAGTACTAGATAAAGCCTGCATGTACCTCTTTTAAATCCTTGTACAGGGTCTAGTACATGTACCAGTGCGTCCCCAACCCTGTCAACAAAGAAAAGAAAAAGTGAGCCAGTTAATTCAGGTAAGGGCCAAGTTGCATTTGTTTCATATATATGTGCATGTTCATTTTTTCACAGATTTGTATATCAGGCGGCCTAAATAAAAAGCAACCTTGAAAGGAAATCATGCAAAACTAATCCTTAGTGCAACAGGATAAATTAAACTAAATTGTCATTTTCAGCACCAAAGAAGAGTGTCAAGTTCACAGACCAGAGGACTGTTCAAGCTACATGTGATAGCTCCTGTAAGAAGATGACAGGTGAGTCTCTCCAATAATTGAAGGCCTTTTGTGTTCTCCTTTTCATTGGTTATTTAATCTCATTCATTGCCACTTTCTACCTTGTAAACTACAGTGTTCTATTTGAACCCCCCCCCCCCCCCCCCCCCCCCCCCCCCCCCCCCCCCCCCCGTCTAAATTCACATTTGATAGCATTAAATAACTGTTCTGTTTGTACTGACTTCGGACATTGCTGCTACAACTATTTGGACGACACAGATGTAATCTACCGGAAGTACAGTACCTTGATGAGGTTGTTCGTGATGGATTCCGTATATTCACTGAGGATGTTATGTCATATATACATACATCATTTGAACATCATACTTAGCACCATAAAGTTGTTTAGGAAGTTTTTTTAATGTTGTGATACATATGTCCTGCTGCAGAAATTGATCAGATCTGGACGACAAAGCAAGCATCTACTGTCTACCTGTGTGCCGTGGTCCGTGGAGTTCCCCTTTTTACAGACGATATTCTGTCACTATCAGGGAAAAGATGGCTGACAGATGCAGTAAGTATATGTTCATCTTGTAGTTCTGTCAACTGTGAACACAAAATTAATGTGATTATAATCTCAAAACAATCTTTCTTACTCAGATCATCGATGCATATCTGGCAAGTCTATGCAGCCGACAGAGAGGAGAAGGCCAACACATCTGTCATATTGGAGTCATTGAAATGACAAAAATATGTTGGCAAGGGGTCTTTCATGACTCAAACAAGCCCAAGGCATTGCTCCAGTCAAAGGTTAGTCTTGGGGCTAGACCTTGTTGTGCTTTAGAAAAAGTTATTGTAAGCAAGTGAAGGTGCGCTGAAGCGCTCTAGGGGGCTGGTCATGAATGATGCAACGGACGTACGATTCTTACTGATGATTACAGGCATTTATTGATCTTGAATCACCGTGAAAACTGAAAGAAGATAGATACAGATATAGAGTTCAATGAGCACCAGTTAATTAGAGAATTACAATGAAATCAATTGACTATATAAACAACCACTCGTATGAAATGAATAAATGTGAGCGCATATACTCTCTTAACCAGTACGACGTGTCTGCGCTCTAACGAAATACATTAATATAAAGTAGCTAATATAAAGTGATTGGAATAGCATATATCATACCGTTTACGGCTTCAGACCGGAATGGAGTTTGGGTGGAGTCTGATAAAAGTTTGCCTCTTGATTTTGTGAATTCATACATGTAGATGCACAATTTGAGAAGGATGCATGCCATTATGGGATGCATCAACACAGGGGGACACTTCACACTTTTGGTAAGTATCTTTTTAGCTAATTGCAAAAGTTATTAACATGTGTAGAACATCTACATGTATGAGGGAGGTTTTTAGCAAGGCACTCTGTGCATGACATCACAATGTAGACAGTGCCCATATACTACTTACATTGTACTTGCATGGCGATTCCATCGGGCATTAGTGATAGCTTTCCAAGATTGTTGATCTGTCATGCAACTATGAATCTCCCTTGATTGTAGCTGGGTGTCTTGGCACAGTGTACATGTATCAACATATGTGGTCGTTGGTCGTCCCACATTTCACCTCCCTTGGCTGCCAGACAGTAATATAAGAATTCTCAATTGAAAAAGATTGTGACCCGAGCGAGGTCAATGGATGTTACAGATGCGCAATGGGTAGTCTACATTTTATCATAACTGATTCTCCTCCTTTATACTCCATACATTGTAAACTCACTGCGAAGTTTCATTATAGTCAAACAATTTAACTTAATTACACATAAAAGCTTTAGAATTGGCAACCATGATATGGACTGAATTTCAATTTTTTCCAAAACTCCTCTTTTAGGTCATACATCCAGAGTCTAGTGAAATGTTTTTCTATAATCCCCTTGGAGAGACCAGGTACCAACAACAGAGGATACGCAATAACTGGCAGTAAGTAAATTGACATAGTAATTTGAAAGTCTTTTACAGCTAAAGCCCCAACTCCTTAAGGGGTGTGCAAAGTCATATTGGAAGATTCAGGACTGTTAGGGTTAACCATGTTAACTGCAACAGAGTAATTCTAGTACATGTAGGCATGTGCAACTATGCGACAGTTGACTCATTCTGAGCTTCAATTTGCTGGGGTGTGGTGAAGGGTCACTCTCTCGGCTATTGAAATTTAATAGTTGCCCACAGCTGAGTAATAATACCATGTCTGTCTAGAGTTCAAACACTACTCTTTTTGGCAATCTTCAAACCCCCCCCCTTTTTTTTTTAGAAACTACTGGCTACTTCGTGTCATGTCTGGAAAAGAGAAAAAAATCATCACCTGGACAATGAAGAACAAAGAACATGTGAAACAACAGGATAGCAGCAACTGTGGTGTTTTTACAATACTGGTAAAATACAGAAGTTGTATGAGTTTATGCGGTTTAACCCTAACGCCTTGGGTATTTTTACTAAAACGTATCGTGAATATGCTAAAATCCATCAATTTTGCCATGCACAAAAATGTTGGTAGCCAGTGAGTCCATCAGAGTCCACCAGGTAGGCAGGGGTAAACCTGTTGAGATCCGAATCCATCAAAGTCCCGCAACTGCTCAATATGAAGGTACATGTATCCTAAATCCATAGAAATCCCGCAGTACCGCGAGGCTTACTGTCCTGAATCTATCAAAATCCCCAACTTTTTCAATATGGATGTATCCTGATTCTGCCACAGTGGTGTAGATTTTGATGGATTCAGATAAGCTAGGGTTAAAGCACTACCTGTAGGCATACTTTTTATCACATGATATAATGTGTTTACATACTGGTATTTTACTAACATACCAGAATGTGCAACTTATTAGAGTCAAATTAACAAGTTGAAAAAAAGTGATGTTAACTACAAATGCACATAACATTAATGATTTACCAATAATGATACCAAAAGGGAATCATTCCACCAGAAGTAAACTGATGTGTTAATTAATGTGAAATTCTTACATGTACCGTAGTTTGCAGAAAACCATCTCAGCAACAGAGAAGACATCCAACATTGCCCTGAAGTCAGATCATTCAGAAGGGCGATTGGAGAAGCACTGCTGTCATCATCCGGTAAACAGAATATTTTGAATATTTAGGACATCTTTTATTTTATCAATAACACACAACACAGTGAGTCTTCAGATCAAAGCATCACATCCAGTATGCCTTCTTTCCTTTTGACATTAGACAATCTTGACAACTACTGCCGCGGATGTGGGCAAGTACTACATGAAGCAACAATGGAAATAGCGGTAGGTATCATACATTGTATGCATTAATATTATTATTATTGTTACATGTAACTACCATTTTATAAGCAAACAATGTGTTATTTCATGACTTGCAAAAGTACATGGACACCTAATAATGCAAGCAATACTTGTTGTTTGTAACACTTTCAGAAATGTCTTTCCTGCGGAGGGAGATATGACAGTGAGTGTATTCCCAATGAAAGTTTCGCCAGCATGGCTAGTGGGAAAGGGTGCAAGTGGTGCACATTAAAACCCTAACTCCCTATGTTCAAGATGTGAAATTACAAGGCCAGGCATCTCATGTACACGTCAACATGTGTGTAAATAAAATGTGAGTACTTAAAAATGTCAGGAATGCATATGCCAAAGTGTGCCAAAACAATTGTGCTCAAAAGAATGAGATTTTGCCCTTGCTTCTATGCTTATTAATGCTGCACCAAGTGCCTGGCCTTCCAAATTTACAAGGCCAGGCATCTCATGTACATGTCAACATGTGTGTAAATAAAATGTGAGCGCTTAAAAATGTCAGGAATGCATATGTCAAAGTGTGCCCAAACAATTGTGCTCAATAGAATGAGATTTTGCCCTTGCTTCTATGCTTATTAACCCTTACTCTCTGAGGGTAGTTTACTGCATGTCAGTTGGTTATGCCAATGCCCTCCAGCTGCAGTTTATTGGAGGATACTTTGATGTAGCAGTGAAGGCTCCAATTGGCAGGAGTTGGAGGCCCTGGAGGGTGCCTGATACTGACCAGCTGGGGGTACTCACTTTGTTATCAGAGGACTCTCATTGTTCTCTGTGGCATGTATTGGAGTGCCTGTCCAGTTACCCTTGAAATGACATGGCAGATATTGGAGGGCCATGCAAAAAACATAGGAGATTTTCTTGAGGCACAATTGGCATGCGTTGGAGGGTCAAGTAGGGTAAGGGTTAATGCTGCACCAAGTGCCTGGCCTTCCAAATTTACAAGGCCAGGCATCTCATGTACATGTCAACATGTGTGTAAATAAAATGTGAGCACTTAAAAATGTCAGGAATGCATATGTCAAAGTGTGCCCAAACAATTGTGCTCAATAGAATGAGATTTTGCCCTTGCTTCTATGCTTATTAATGCTGCACCAAGTGCCTGGCCTTCCAAATTTACAAGGCCAGGCATCTCATGTACATGTCAACATGTGTGTAAATAAAATGTGAGTACTTAAAAATGTCAGGAATGCATATGTCAAAGTGTGCCCAAACAATTGTGCTCAATAGAATGAGATTTTGCCCTTGCTTCTATGCTTATTAATGCTGCACCAAGTGCCTGGCCTTCCAAAATTACAAGGCCAGGCATCTCATGTACACGTCAACATGTGTGTAAATAAAATGTGAGTACTTAAAAATGTCAGGAATGCATATGCCAAAGTGTGCCCAAACAATTGTGCTCAAAAGAATTTGTTTTTGCCCTTGCTTCTATGCTTGTTAATGCTGCACCAAGTGCCTGGCCTTCCAAAATTACAAGGCCAGGCATCTCATGTACACGTCAACATGTGTGTAAATAAAATGTGAGTACTTAAAAATGTCAGGAATGCATATGCCAAAGTGTGCCCAAACAATTGTGCTCAAAAGAATGAGATTTTGCCCTTGCTTCTATGCTTATTAATGCTGCACCAAGTGCCTGGCCTTCCAAAATTACAAGGCCAGGCATCTCATGTACACGTCAACATGTGTGTAAATAAAATGTGAGTACTTAAAAATGTCAGGAATGCATATGCCAAAGTGTGCCAAAACAATTGTGCTCAAAAGAATGAGATTTTGCCCTTGCTTCTATGCTTATTAATGCTGCACCAAGTGCCTGGCCTTCCAAATTTACAAGGCCAGGCATCTCATGTACATGTCAACATGTGTGTAAATAAAATGTGAGCGCTTAAAAATGTCAGGAATGCATATGTCAAAGTGTGCCCAAACAATTGTGCTCAATAGAATGAGATTTTGCCCTTGCTTCTATGCTTATTAATGCTGCACCAAGTGCCTGGCCTTCCAAATTTACAAGGCCAGGCATCTCATGTACATGTCAACATGTGTGTAAATAAAATGTGAGCACTTAAAAATGTCAGGAATGCATATGTCAAAGTGTGCCCAAACAATTGTGCTCAATAGAATGAGATTTTGCCCTTGCTTCTATGCTTATTAATGCTGCACCAAGTGCCTGGCCTTCCAAATTTACAAGGCCAGGCATCTCATGTACACGTCAACATGTGTGTAAATAAAATGTGAGTACTTAAAAATGTCAGGAATGCATATGCCAAAGTGTGCCCAAACAATTGTGCTCAAAAGAATTTGTTTTTGCCCTTGCTTCTATGCTTGTTAATGCTGCACCAAGTGCCTGGCCTTCCAAAATTACAAGGCCAGGCATCTCATGTACACGTCAACATGTGTGTAAATAAAATGTGAGTACTTAAAAATGTCAGGAATGCATATGCCAAAGTGTGCCCAAACAATTGTGCTCAAAAGAATGAGATTTTGCCCTTGCTTCTATGCTTATTAATGCTGCACCAAGTGCCTGGCCTTCCAAAATTACAAGGCCAGGCATCTCATGTACACGTCAACATGTGTGTAAATAAAATGTGAGTACTTAAAAATGTCAGGAATGCATATGTCAAAGTGTGCCCAAACAATTGTGCTCAAAAGAATGAGATTTTGCCCTTGCTTCTATGCTTATTAATGCTGCACCAAGTGCCTGGCCTTCCAAAATTACAAGGCCAGGCATCTCATGTGCATGTCAACATGTGTGTAAATAAAATGTTAGTGCTTAAAAATGTCAGGAATGCATATGCCAAAGTGTGCCCAAACAATTGTGCTCAATAGAATGTGATTTTGCCCTTGTTTCTATGCTTATTAATGCTGCACCAAGTGCCTGGCCTTCCAAAATTACAAGGCCAGGCATCTCATGTACATGTCAACATGTGTGTAAATAAAATGTTAGTGCTTAAAAATGTCAGGAATGCATATGCCAAAGTGTGCCCAAACAATTGTGCTCAATAGAATGTGATTTTGCCCTTGTTTCTATGCTTATTAATGCTGCACCAAGTGCCTGGCCTTCCAAATTTACAAGGCCAGGCATCTCATGTACATGTCAACATGTGTGTAAATAAAATGTGAGCGCTTAAAAATGTCAGGAATGCATATGTCAAAGTGTGCCCAAACAATTGTGCTCAATAGAATGTGATTTTGCCCTTGTTTTTATGCTTATTAATGCTGCACCAAGTGCCTGGCCTTCCAAAATTACAAGGCCAGGCATCTCATGTACATGTCAACATGTGTGTAAATAAAATGTGAGCGCTTAAAAATGTCAGGAATGCATATGTCAAAGTGTGCCCAAACAATTGTGCTCAAAAAGAATTTGACTTTGCCCATGTTTCTATGCTTATTAATGCTGCACCAAGTGCCTGGCCTTCCAAATTTTTCAAGGCCAGGCATCCATGTACATGTCAACATGTGTGTAAATAATGTAATAATGTATCCAAGTGCATGGCCTTCATATTTTACAAGGCCAGGCATCTCATGTACATATATGTCAACGTGTTAAAAAAATGAAGGCCTAATGTAAAAACAACACAGAAATGTAAATAAATGTTAACATGTGGCAAAAGGTTGTTGTTGCTCACAATAATTTGGATTTGAGGTAGTTGTGTACAATTAATGTTAAAAATGATGCATCCAGTGCCTGGCCTTCAAAAATTAAAGGTCTGGTAGATAACAACATTAAAATCACGAAATGCAGAGGCAAATGTACAAACAAATAATTTGTGCCCTCATATCTATTGTTCAATATTGTTGCACCATGGAGCATGGAGGTAGAATGCATGGAGCAAGTGCCTGGCCTCCAAAATTTAATAGGCCAGGCATCTCATGTTTATGTAAACAAGACACAGAAAAATTAAAAAGTAATGTTAAAATTCAAAAATGCAAAACGTGCAAAATTTGCCAATAAGTTGTTCTTTGCTGAAAATCATTTGAATTTTGCCCCTTAACACATGCTGCACCAATTAGTGCCTGGCCTTCAAAAATTAGAAGGCCAGCACCCGATTTCACGAAGCGCTGCGACGCGTCGCAACTCTAGATACGACGTGTAACACGTCGCAACTCGCGACGCGTCGTATCTTCCATTTCACTAAAGTTGCGATGTGTTGAACGCGTCGTAAGTTCCTTGACAACGGCTTTAAACACGTCGCAAGTTACGACGTGTCTAGTGGTCATCGCAAAATAAGAAAAGTCATTTCTAAGCCAGTTTTATGCCACAAACATTACATTAACGAGATTATAATACCGAGGCAATGTGTGTGTAAAGTTGTAAATAGAAAATTCATTGAATAATTATGAATTAGACCGGAATATTAGAGTTGAAATTTCAAAGTAGCTATACAGTCCAATGAGAGCTTGTTTTCCTTCAAAATTGCATCGCAAGGCCGCCATTTTGTTTTACGTTTTAACAAATTTCGAGCTGAGATCCGACGACTCTTTGTTGAATATCAGACGACTATTTACTGTGCGCTGACTAAAGACATAAAACAGTCACCGAGTTGTGCTATAAATACACCTACGACGCGTCGCACTTACGACGTGTTTCGTGAAATGGATCGCAGGACGCGTCGCAGCTGCGACGCATCGTAGAGATACGACGCATCTCATCGCTGCGATGCATCGTAAGTTACGAAGAGTTTGATGAAATCGGGTGCTGGCATGCCAAGCATCTCATGTACAAACTTCTACAGTTCTAGGTAACTAAGTATTAGTAAGACTCAAGAGTAGGCCCCTAAGCTGAATAATTTCAAGTTCAAGAGCCTGGCCTATAAATTCTCCCGCCTTCCTAACAAAAGCCCAGGGCATAGTTTTTACGCCAAGCTTAAGTTATTATTTGCTTCCATTGGATTGACAATTTAGTAATCAACCAGCACCAGCACCATGACAGCGTTACCTGCACGTGATAGCCTCACCATAGGCGATTGTGTAGCATACAGATACAGATACAGATACATCATACATGTCATACACGCAGGCGACAGTGAAAAACCAAAAAAGATCTCTCGACTCTAGCGATGTACTTACTTTGTATTATTTCGATTCTGCCATACATCATGTACCTACGTTCTCCAAAGACTGATTTCCTAAGCATTTTTGTGGCCATTTTCGCTTACAAAACATGCAACTTGTTTGTTTTGCAGTTGTACAGTGACAGTCGACCGTCGTTCAACACACGTGTGTTTGTTGTGAGTGCGTTCTTATCCGGGCGTCTGTAATTGGGTTATCGATGCAGCGGTTTTGCGTTGTGACGTCATGCACGAAGTGCCTGGCTTATAGCCTCACTCGTCTTAATCATTGATCTCCATAGAGTGCGCCCCCTCGTGTTTGTCAAACAAACTTTCTACGCGTGGAAGTTCAATCATGCATGCATTTGTGGCGTGTATGTGGACGGTGGAACATATCTGACAAAACTTAGCAATGCAAAAGCAACATTTGCGACCTTTTACCGGAAGACAGTAACATGAGATGGTTTAACACTGGTACAATATGATGGTAAGGTTGACGGATAACGGAAAGTATCGCTCTTTGGACATTAATCTGACATGTAATGTAATAAACTCGTTCTTTTGCGTTGTCGTTTTGCGTCACGCAATGTCAGCTCAGATCAGGAGGATGAGACGCCGGTGTTTGCGGTGCGGTGCGGTGCGGTGCTGTGCGGTGCGCGCATGCGGTGCTCGGTGTGCAAGACCTGTCAAGTGTCACATGCCTGTCAAGCGTTAGCCCCATAAATGTGGCCTATTTACTGGACTGCCTCCGTAAACATAGGCCACACATCCACATGTACAAAAACGTGTCGCACTTTGCCAAATTTTGATTTTCACATTTAGGCTTAGTTTGTAGGGTTTTTTGCTTTAGAAGCATACTCACCCTCTTTATAGGCTAATCAGAAAGTGCTGCCTTTATCAGATGTCTATTTTTCGTGAAATTTCCAGATTCATTTGCACACATTTGCGTATCAAAATTTTAACATGAAATTTCACAAAAAATAGCCATCTAAAAAAGGCAGCACTTTCTGACTAGCCTATAAAGAGGGTGAGTATGCTTCTAAAGCAAAAAACCTTACAAACTAAGCCTAAATGTGAAAATCAAAATTTGGCAAAGTGCGACACGTTTTTGTACATGTGGATGTGTGGCCTATGTTTACGGAGGCAGTCCAGTAAATAGGCCACATTTATGGGGCTAGTCAAGTGTGTACCTCACACTCACAATCACACCATAGAGCAAGGTGTCGGTTTAACTGGAGTGTAACTGTAAGTGTAAGGTTTTCTTTTTCAAACCTTCTTCTTCCAGATGAGCGCTAACTTCACAATTGAAGACTACAGCACTTTTGGTGGGGTAAAACAAATTGCTGTTCCAGAAAATTGTCAATGTAATATCAAACCGCCACTGACTTCTGAATTCTGTCAGTGTCACAAAATGTTTGGCATGTGTTGACACTTTGACCATGCTTTGACAGGCATTATTTTGGCTACTTCTGATTCTAGAATTAGAAGGCTCCGTTACGTTGGCCTCTTCTCCATGACTCTACCATGGTGATTTTTCGGGGGTCAATACGCTATATTGGAAATGCACTTTGAAAGACGAAATACCTTTGAATGGAATTCCAATTTCTGAAACACTGAAAATGTTCTGAAAATGTTTTAAAACCATGGACATTTGGATCACGGGAAAATTTTTAAGTGGAAAATCGGAGTTTTTACTCACCAGCCTCGCGTTTCTGATCCAACGAACACAAGGGTCATGTGTGTTTACATACGTTGCATGTGTGCTGATCTTCGCGTGACCTCAGCAGGTCAACTCTACATTCGGCTCGACCATTTGGGATGGAGGGGGATTGTATGCTTTGCATCGCGCAACGGTGCATTTTGGCGCGGAATATGCTGCGCTATAAAAGTTGTCAGTTTTGGTGGACTGTTTATTGATGGATCTTTTCATCCCTCTTCTGTCCAATTTAAAAAACAGTCAACCAAAACTTACAGCTTGTAACGATACAGCCCAGCGTATTCAGTGCGCTGTATTTGTGTATTGTTGATGTACATGTACCCTAACGTGGCACGGCCCCTAACGTGGCGCACTTTGATTTTTTTTTCTGTAGCGCCTAGCTAGAGCAAAAGTTGTAACTCAAATTTCACAGAAATTGAAATTTCATCAAGTTCTAAACACTCCCGTTCATAAATTACGAGTTAATCTACCCGTTACAAAGTTAGAAGGAAAATTTATTTTGGCGTTATTTGCCGATTTTATTTCGAAGTGGCGTCACATTTGCATAATTTTTGCACAATTTTGGAACACGTATCAGGAATAGTCTGGTGCCTGCCTATGCGTTACATTAGCGTTTGTGTTTGTATGCAGTGTCTGGGATAAAAACAGAATCAATTTTTGAAGTTTAAATGTTACAATCTTATCCCGCCAATATGAAATATCACGTTTCATATGAGCAAATGGAAGAGGTAAGGAGTGTTTTGAGAAGGCGTTGATGTTACAAAGTTACAATGAACATGAAAACACATAATGCATGTTGGAAGTAACAATACCAAGTACACGATATAAATCCATTACTAGCCAATTGCGGTATCGAATCAGGATACAGGAAGAAAGTTTCCTATCCAGGGCTTACTACTGAAAACAAGGTTGGACCTGAAGTAAGCGCTGGGGACGAGGTTGAGCTACACATATTTCTCATCTTGGGGAATTCCCTTGTACATAAGCACATGTTGAATGACCTTACTGTCCTCTGATTGGCAAGTTGGTCTCATTGCCTTCTGTCCATGACTCCCATCACATGATATTTTAGATGCAGGGATGTTTCTCATCTTGGGAATTCCCTTGTAAATAGCACATGGTTTATATACATTCATTCAATCACAATTTAGTCACTACATAAGGATAACTGACACACTCCTGTAAAAATATTCCAAGACTGGTGGGTCGACAAAAGATTGGAAAATTATAATAAAATATTCCTGAGAATATGGTAGGTATTTGATTCATTGTCAATGTTCAAACTTCTGAAGCTACTTCCAAAAGTCTTAGATTGGCAGAGTCGCGAATAGTATACGTTGTTGTCCCATTGGGTTTTTTTTATAGATGGCATGAAGTGGCTGGTACGTGGCAATTAATTGCGAATGTACTTATGTTGTGGTAAATTCGTTTACAGTGATCCTGGTGATTCATTTAATACAAATGACCACACCTTTGTTACTCAGTGATACTTGAGATTAATTCCTGACAAGAAAACCTAATATAGGGTGGTCCAAATTAAAAAAGAACCTCATACTTCCACTACCCTGAGACTCAAATCATATAACCAATGCATGGAGAATCTTTTTAGAAGAAAAAATAAACCAAGATCGCCCGATTCGGTTGAGTACTTTTTGTTCTGTACTTTTTGTTTGAGCCTATATTGTGAAGCAAGGTGGGGGCCATTTTTGTCCCGATGAATAACTTAACTACATGTACATGTACGTCCGGGAATTAGCTTTTATTGTATACCGTTATGTAATCTAGGGATCCATATGAATAATACCCACATGAAAGAAGTATCCTTCACAAAATAGGCTCTGCAGCAAAAACTACTGGAGCGAATCGGGATATTTTGGTATCATAATTCTTCTAAACGGATTCTCCAATGGGTACAGGTGGTTTGAGTCTCAAGGTAGTGGATGTATGAGGATCCATTTGTTGTTGTTTTTTTCACCCTGTTAAGTGAAGAAAAACGATAAATGTTGACTACATGTTGAACCTTCGACAGGAAACCATAGTTGTTCCTTTACGCGCTTCCTTTCACAGGCAAGTAATAAAACGAGGGGATTTTCGCTGAACTGGATCGTGGGTAAACAGGGTAATGTTTGAGCGATTTAATTAAGTGATCCGGAACTGTTGCACTGACTGTATCTCTGAAACAGGCCATACGTGTATTCATTTCAGGTTTTTTGTTATTTAGGAGGGCCAATGTTAGCCCAGCTACACTGGTGAGGCACGCAGATGAAACCCCACGTGGCCATGGATGTCGGTGATACTATCTACCCGGCCTGCCTTTGGCACACCGACGCAGAGAGCAGTCCGGAGGAAACGCTGACCACATACGTGGAGCAGGCCATGGAGAGCTCGCCCTTGTTCCAAAGACTAGAGGCAGACTTGAAAGAGTGCCGAGACTGCATGGGCGTGTACCATGAAGCCAGGGAGCGACTGATACAGAGGGACCTGGCGTACGATCAGGTAAGGGCCGTCCAAATCATTTTCATGGTCGTACAAAAAGAACAATCCTGAGTCAAACCTGTCAATGTTTTTATTGGTCATATGGTTTTCGAGGATTTTACATGTATAATGAATTATACTGTTTTTGATAGAGGAAACGAAGGCATAGAAAAAAACAGTGATCATCATAACCTACTTTAATAACTATGCTGTTGCTTTGCTATATGGGGTAACTGTATACTATAACTGTATAAGGTAAGGTTGCAGACTAAAGAAACCCAAATGATATACCCCCCACTTCCGAAATTCAGAAAAAATACTCACAACTCTCCAAAGAGTGGGTTTGAGTCTCACGAGTGAATTTTTTTCCAACTTTCAGTCGGGAGGTAACACACTGAGTATACAGTGTTTATACGTCTGTGAAGGACAAAACCAAATATTGATTTACATCACCCCGGCGCAAATTCCATCTTGTGAATAGTTTTATTGTGGTGCCCGCTGCTACATCTGATTCGAACCAGCCAACTGATCCCTGTATATTTACATTATAAACAGAGATGAAACTTTTCCGATTTTAATCGGAAATCCTACTTTTTGAATTTTCCAACAAAATTTCTGATTTTCTTACAATGTGTCCCACAAAATTTGAGTTTGTAAAAAAAAAATCACAAAATATCATTTTATTTCAATCATTATTTCGAGGAAAATCGACGAAAAGTCGATGAAAATGGCACGTTAAAATCATTGCGAACGTAGTTTTAATCTCTTTCACCAGTCGTTATTGGAGTGTTTCAACGGTAGAAACATGGGGCATAACACTGATCGGAGCCTCTTCCGGCTGGTCAAAAGGTTAAACATCGACAGGTGACATGGAAAAATCACTGTGTTGCACGTACTGTACAAAGATGATATGCAATGGTACCAGCGTACGCACCGCACCGTACCGTCCGGCCGCTGGCGCTAGCACATGGCCGGTCGGGGAACGGGTAGCCTTGTGAACGATCCAGTCGATAAAATCATTATGTTGTGCGTTTTCGGATGTTTCAGATTTAGTTGTACAAAATGCAGTGCTTTAAAAATCATTCATGATGATTATCTCGTGGATAACAAAGAGAGCATTAACGAAACATTTCACTGGCATTTGTTGGAAGAGAAACACGATAATGCCTGATTTTTCCCCACGTACAAATGCAAGTGGAGTAGTGGAGTTGTGTGGTTGAATCGTGGACATGATTGAAGCACCATTAACGGTGCCCTTGTCTTTCGGTCTTTTCACCTCGACTTTCTCAAGTAAGAAGTGAACTCCTTTGTTGATGACTCCATTACTCTAACCGTAATTCAGGCGTTTTATGCAATGAAAACACTGACCCTTTTTTTTTTCATTGTAAAATTTTGTTTGAATCAAAAATAAAGTAGAAATTGGTGTCCGGAAATTGGGCATGAAGTGTATTGTACATGCATGTACACGTGTGTAACTGCAGCGCGGCCCAGATTTTGGAAACGTATTTTTGTTCGGCCTGTTTTCCAATTTTTTGGCCATATGCCAGTTTCATCTCTACCTATAAAGGGATCCTTTAAATGTTGAGGAAATTATGTTTACAATCACAGCCCAACCCATTACCTACCCAGTTGAAAAAGTTAACTAGGTTATTTTGTCAATGACAATGGCAGCTGTGTCATGAACCAGTGTTGAACTTGAACACTGCAGTAAATACATGTAGACGTCATTGCAAACTCATGCCCATGTGTAGGATTTGTATTCAAATGCATGCACTGCCGAGAAATGTTTCCCTACGGAAACTGGGTCCGTGACCTGACACTGATACTACATGTCATTTGACAGGTAAAGGCTAGTCGAAGATTAACCCTCCTGCTGTCTGAACAGTCGCAGACAGTAACAAAAAATCAATCGTCTTCCCCAGCCATGCCTTTTACACAGGCTAGTCACCGTCAGTCAGATCATATTTATAGCAAGCCTTCTGACTAGTCAAATTCAGTCAACAACACTGGTCGGCCGACCAGCATTGGAAAACCCTAGTTTTTTTCAAATACTGTCCCCAATTTACCTTATTTAGTCAGTCTGCGTTTTGTTTACAATCAATCACGCAACCATTGAATGGGTAGAAGCCAGCTGGACTATTTCCCTGACCTTGCAATTCCCAGATGTATATAAATTGCTCCATTTCAATTTAAATGGGGTCAGGGATCTAGACTACAAGGACATGATTGCATTTTTTGGTTTTTCCAGCATCTCCGAACACAAATCTTCAAACAAGTCAGTGTAACAATATTTTCTACAAAATACCAACCCCCCAAATCTTTCCGTTTCTGAAAATTACAGAAAAAGCAAATGTTGTATATTCCCTTTAAAAGATGTTTCATCCAAATTCACCACTATCATTCAAATTCGTCCTCGAAAAATTCCACATGCTTTTAAACAGAACCAACTTAGTCATTTACCATTTGGTCACCCTCTTTAGTCACCGGGTCAAGAATATTTGTCATTACAGATCAAATTTGTCTAAGCTTTTGCCGAATGGCAGGTTTCAGAGATCGATTTCTTCTATATCAAAGAGACGAATATGATTACTGAATTACAAGGTTTGGCATAGACGAGACGAAATGGAATACTCTGCGACAAAAACGTGTGCTCATCGTTCGATTTTGCTTGAACTGAATTTGAAATTGTCTGACAGTAGACGAAATTAAACATTGGAAGTGCACTAAATCGATGTTGATGGACAAATTTGAATATTAGAAACGGTGAATTCGAATGATAGACGTTTAAAAATAGCCGGGAAAACCTATATTCAAACCTGAACCAGGAAAAAGCTATTTGAATATTCGTTTGGTGATCAAATATTTGGTATGTTAGGGACAACATTAGCCCCCCCCCCCAATCTTTGCTCCTCCCCCCCTCCCAGTCTTGGCTATGAAGCATTTGTATTTCGGTTCAACTTCAGGAACTGTTTGAGCTGGAAGGGAGACGGTTGACGGAAACCTTGAGCAGAGACTCGGACGAGCAAGACATCTTGGTGCCTGTCACTGAGGTGCTATGGCATCCTTTTCTCCTTTTCAATCCAAACCTAGGTAAGATGACGAGGTCTAACAAACAAACAAAAAACATGTTTATGTTAAATTTGATTTTTTTTTTTAGGCCAAATTCAGACCTCAAACTTTTATTGCCATATTTGGCCAGAAAATTAAACAAAGTGTATTTTGAAAATAAAAAAGTCTTCCCTATGTGACTTATTTGTGTATGTTATTGGATAATTAAACTTTAAAGCAGGTTAACTATATACAGAATACAGAGAAACATATTAACATTTAATACTTTTCTACATAGTACCTGGATAAGTTTTAGGGTGTTGCCATAAACACACAATCTTTTATCGGCCTTACAAAGTGGTCATGAAAATCAATTATTTCGCGACACTAACTCTATGTTTTTGTATGTGTTTGAACAGGCCAAAAAGTTGGCTCGGAAGCATTTTTTTTTTTCACTTCCAAAGTCAAGTGAAAAAATTTGAAAACAATAAAATGACTTATTAAACTTAATAAAATGGGTACTTATATAGCACTTTGAACTAAAGATCAACGTGCTTTAGATTATTATTACCCCTGATCATTAGGACAATGAAACATTCCAAATACAATTTCAGCTCCCTGGGGAGTATACAGCTCGATGCTGCCATTTCAGCGCAAGGCAGCTAAATCAACCACAATAACCATCTCTACCCTCACAGGTACCCATTTACTCCTGGGTGAGGAGAAGCAATGAGTGACAAAGTGCCTTGCCCAAGGGCACACGCACCACAACCCCTGGTTGATAATATTGTAAAGCACTTTGATCTTCGTTAGAAACGCTATTTAAATACCTTTATTATTATTTATTATTATTATAAATATGAATTTGCCTTGTAAATTATTTCACTTCGGAGTACCATGAAAGTGGATCAAGCTCAAATTGAATTTTTTTTTGGTACATTTGAAACTTACTCATAAAAATAAATCTCATTTACAGATTTGTCATTTGAGAAGAAATTCTCTCGGCAGAACTAACAGCAACTTGTTGATTCTCGAAGAATAACAATATTCACATCAGAGTTTTTTTTGTAGAACTCTATAATATGGCTGTGATATTGAGAAAAAAGGGGCCGTAAGTTTGTAATATTTTCCACCGGTTGAATGTATGTTTCGCATCACAGAGGCAGCGTTCTGCAGGAGGCTGTTGGAACTGGACGAGACTATCGGACTAGAAGGATTCCTCACGGAATGCATCCCTACCATGTACCTTCTCTTGATACATCCAAACAAAGAGGTAGCTTTTACAACAGGGTGTACCCCTCCCCCGATATTGTTTTCCGTACCCGATGGGCATATTTCGAAGTACGTTGAGTTGCAAGTCAGGCTCTCGGATTTTATTTTCCCTTGAAAAAAATTCATCCAAACCACATATTGGTAAAAGAAAAATGTTCCAAATGACTAACAAACCTTTTTAAGGGAAAAAAAAAAGTCAAGAAGAAGAAATTAAAAAAAACAACATCCAATGTGAATCAAACTCACACCATCGGATCGGATTTGTAATCCAATGTAGCATTCATGACACTACAGCAGTGACTCGATCGATGTGGTAGTTTTAAAGCTATAGTCCATCATTTGCAGCTATCCGAAAAGTAACTGGCGTAATTATTGTTGAAAAACATACTTGGTTGAAAGATAGTAAGGGAACTAAACTCCCTGTGAAATTATTCTTTCTGGCAAGCTGTCATTTTGAAGTAATCAACGAAAGAAGGCATTTCCAACGGTGATTCTTAAGAAGCACCGTAGGAAAATTTAAATTAGTAGTTCGTTTTGTTATTCAGCGCAGCGCGCGCAAGTATTGGAACGACGCACACACGCGCGCGGTTGTTATAATTCGTCGGATCAGTGCGCGACGTCGCGTATAGCTGCAATTCAAAACATGATTCAGTAACTTTTGATTTGAAATTGAGATCTTAGAATGCTGGTTTTTCTCGGAATGTACAGCTGAAGCTTAGCTGAAACTTTATCAGGTTAGTTGCTTAGTATCCCTTATTAGATTTTGATCTCTTTTGTTGCTTCAAACGAACAAAATGCACAAATTACAAATGATGGACTATAGCTTTAAACATTATACTATTGCATGTATACATGTGTATGTAGGGCCCTCCATCATAATTCTATATACATGTATAGTAGCGAGCATGTGGTATGGAAAAAAACTCTCAAAGCGCTCTCTTTCTCACAGCTTTTAAAAAACATACCTCACAAATATCGATACTTGGAGAGTATTGTTCATTATCTTTCTAACAATGACAAAATCTTTCCAATCGGGTAAATATTTATTGAGTTATGGCCATTTGAAAACAAGTGCCGCTTTTTCGTTTTGTCCACAGCGACTGAAATTTGATTGCCGCAATAAGAACACGGGCCGAAACTTGCATCCGTGAAGGAGAATCCAAGTACATTGTAGAGGGCAGCGCAGTAAATATCTCAGAAGTTAACAAACAGGGGCCAATTTCATAGGGCTGCTTAGGCACAAAATTTGCAAAAGCACAGAAACGTCTTGCTTAATAAAATCAGGTTACCGGCCAAAACTCCATGCGATTGTTATGCTAAGTAAACAACAGCTAAATACCAGTCACAAGCAATGTACATCGCATGGAGTTTTGGCCGGTAGCCTTGTTTACTAAGCAATGTTTTTTTCGTGCTTAAGCAAACTTTGTGCTCAAGTTAAGCAGCTCTATGAAATTGGGCCCAGTCCTTCTCAGGACTGCCGTCTTCCAAAAGGAGAAATGACTGTTGTTGCAAAACTGAAAAATAAAAGAACCAAATAAAGAAAGAAATATTCAAACATTAAACACAGCAAAACTACCCAGATCCGCATACACTGGTCATCATTCCCCCATTTAGTACATGTATCTGATCTCTTTTGAACCTGAACCTGGTGTTGTTGCGGTACAAGGGGATTGATGTGGCATGTGCTGACATTTGTTACTAACCAACCAACAAACAGAGAGACATGATGATCTCTTGAGCTGCTTTGCACAGCTATGAATACAGGAATCTCATTTTCGTTCAAAGGTCATTCCCTAGAAGTGGCAGGGGCCTTGTGGCCTCTTGGCCTCTGATACAGTCCAGCTGGTGGGTTTCATGGTCATCAATTATAACTTCTTGGCTATTTTTTTGTCCTTTGTTCCAGGTCCGTGACCTTGCCTGGCAGTGTCTGCAACAGCCTGAGTACCACATAACATGCAACAACTACGAAGACATTAGTCAGGTACTGCATTGGGTCATCTCGGCACAGATGACGGGTCTGGCCACGGCCTCAGCCAGAGGTCAGATGCCAGAGGTCATCCGCTCCCCAAACCAGGTCAAGAAACTGCCTGCTCATCTCCTGTGTACTGCTTCAAAAGCTGCTTACTGGCAAGGTATGTGTGACTGGTTCATGCAAACTCTAAAGCCTTTTATGGAATTATTTACAAGCACACAGGTTTTTCTGTAGTCTATGTAACCGCATCTTGACATGTAGATTTTGACCAATCAGCAGGCGCTTTCTATATTGGGGTTTTTGGTCATTCAACCGTTGTCACGTCATAGACACGGATAAAAATTAAAAATACTCTAGACATATCAACAAAGGCTGTGTCACACGCTCTGTATTATATTACGCGATGTGCGCCCGGCTGTGTATTACAAAACGCTGCATTCAAATTGACCAATCAAACATTAGTCCTGATTTGGGAATGAATCGACGTCACTATTTAGTAAAATCAGCTCCGATTGGCTGAGGTGCAAGATCGCATAAATCTGCATGCTTTAATATATCAGACGTTAGACAGGTGTCTGGGCTCCGTGGATAACGGGTGATAATCAGACAAGTTTTTCTAAACAAAGACCACGATTTCTTCATTGAATTCAAAGTGCAAGCACTCTGTGTTAGGTGCTTGATGAGAGCTCGCACGAAACTATTAAAGGTAGGGTAGATCATTTGTCATTTGTGCATTTTTTCGTTTGAAGCAATAAAAGTGCTTAAAATCTGAACATGGGTGCTCAACAACTAACCTGGTGAAGTTGTAGCTCAGTGAATGTTGTATATTTTCCGAGAAAACGATATTCTAGGATCTCGATTTTCAATTCGAAAGTTTCCGAGTCATGTTTTGAATTGCGCCTAATATCAGCTAGGCGATGTCACGGACTGTTAACTCTTGCGCGCAACCCATTTCACGGATTTGCCGAATTACAAACCAACTACTACAATGTACCAGAAATTTCCAAGTTATTCAGCCGAGTAATTTGGACGTAGCCTTTGGATTGCTACTTATCTGCAGGTCTGCATACATGTACATGTATATTAGGTCCCCCCCCCCCCAAAAAAAAGTCTTCGGTTTCTGTTATGGAGCTTGCCCCAAAAGTGGTGTGGAGACGCAGCTTTTTTTTTCCCCCTTCTTTTTTTTCTTCACATGTTGGCTGATGTTGCAGATGATGACGCTTCAAAAATATCCTTCAGGGAATTCTGCACCCACTTATGATCTTGACCGACACGAACATTCTTTGGGAAATGTGGATGGTCAAGACAAAAATCAGAGAAAATGGTAACATACAGCGACATCCGACATGGTGCTTGTGCTGCCAGGCTGCGTAGTTTTGCCAGGCTGGTCACTAGTCTGCTTCCTTACATATTGCGGTAATTAAATTTTTTTTTACAGGTTCCAGATACACGACCATCACTTCCACACACACGTCTGGCTTCCACACACACAATAAAGAAATACAACACCGTCTGCAAATGGTGTCCGACTATTCTATGCAAAATATATGGGAGCCCAGAAAGGCCACATAAAGCTTATACTCAATCGTAACCCCATCTAAAAACATGTTAAAATTGTGCAGCAGCAGGATTCCAGTCAAACCAGTGAGTTTGGCAGTTTTGAGACATCATCTTACATTGAAAAAAAACTTTTAATTTTGCTGACGCGCATGGCTACGGCAATGCTCGCGCATACAAGAAACCAGAGCCTTTTTGTTTGGGCCTGATGCAGATTTTTGTGGCTTATTGATTTTATCCTTGTTTTCCTGCTCCCAGGAGTTGCCCAACTTCTTGAGATATTCAACCTGGAGGCTCTAAAACACGGCTTCATGATGTCCAAAGACGTGAAGAACCTCATCCCAACGTTGATTGACCAAATCTCCGACAACACCCCAGGTACTAAACTGTTGTTGTTTAAGGCCAAAAAAAAAAAGTCTCCGGTTTCTGGTATGGAGCTTGCCCCAAAAGTGGTGCGGCGACGCGGCTTTTTTTTTTTTTTTACCTGTTTTTTTTTTTTTTTTTGGCTTAAAATGTCGGCTGATGACTGCAAATGGTGCCCGACTAAACTTAGTGCAAATATATGGGAGTCCAGAGAGGCCACATAAATCTTATTCTCGATCATAACCCCTTCTAAAAACACGTTAGAATTGTGCAGCAGCAGAATTCCAGTCAAACCAGTGAGTTTGGCGGTTTTGAAACATCATCTTGTATTGAAAAAAAAATGTTTTCATTTTGCCGACGCGCATGGCTACGGCGACGCGCGCGCATACCAGAAACCGGAGACTTTTTTTTTTGGCCTAATATAAAAATGATTTTTTTAAAAAGTTAAAAAAAGATTTTTCGGTAGCCCGCTCTGAAAATTTGACATAAAACAATCTCGCTTGTTAGGCATCCACAAAGAATGGAAGCCGTCCAGCTCATTTGTTACACTAAAATCGGGCCGGCTCTAACTTATTTTGGTGGCCACTTTATAACAATGATGAGAAACTGACTAAAAAAGACCTGGCCTGCACTCGTTGTAAAAATAATAATAATAATAATAATAAGTATTACCCTGGATTGGACATTTGGGAGACATCCCCATAGACTTGTGCACACAATTTTTCAAACTAAAACTTAAATGTGCCCTAACCCAATATTCCCTTGTCCTTTTTCCACGAATTTCAGTATGTTTACTAATTAGACCACGAGCAACAAAAATAACCTAATTGCGACAGCAAAATTTTGCCTCTAAAGGGGGGCTGTGACATTAAGGAGACATGATAATGTCTCCATAATAGTAGTATGCATGTCTCCATAACAGTAGTACGCCGACTTAATATTGACACTGGACCGTGGCTGATTATGGCCTTAAAACGACCCTGTGTTCCTGCTCAATTTTTTGTTTGTATCTCCACAGCGGGAGCAGAAGATGGTCCATCCCCCTTCTGGCCCCAGCTGCGGTGTCTGACGTCTCTCATGGACAAACTGGGCAGCACCATGTGGCAAGACGTGTCCAAGGCACAAATTGAGAACATCTTTGACATCATCAAGGGCCAGCCCGTTTTCACGGCGGCAATTTGCGACATGAGTGAATGGTACGCATGGACGCCAAAACCTTCATCAGTAAACTGAAGCTGTTATGGGTTAATAATAATAACAATGTGGCTATAGAGCGCTTTCCATCGTATCAACAATCTCAAAGCGCTTTACAATTATTCCCCCATTCATCAGGCCACGAGACCACGCGGCAGCCGATAATATCAGCTCTCAATCGGTCCTCAACCCTCACAGGTACCCATTTATGCTCCTGGGTGGAGAGAGGCAATTGTAGTGAAGTGTCTTGCCTAAGGGCACAAAAAAACCATGTTCCTGGCCGAGTTCGAACCCACGCACCTTCGTACAGTGGTCAAACACTGTGACCACTGGACCATGGCGTTCTATGGGTTTTGTTATGTGTGCCTAGCCTGACCACTGTAAAGAGATTCTATGGTCTGAGTAGGGTGCTCTGTCGCCTTGTTATGACTCCATATGGACCATAAAACTCCTGCCTCTCAAAGCTGGGTGATTGGTTAAGTGAACATAATGGGACTCCAGGGATTTTTTAAGCAGCAACGTAGAAGTTCTTCTGATCGAGCCTCTCCCACTTAGCCGGGTGGTATACCCTGCATGATTTGTGGAAGAGGGGTATCCCCCCATGTCCCTATACCCTATACACACCCTAGACTATATTGTTACCTAAAACATCCCCCTAGAAATCTCAAAAGAATTCCAGAGATTCCGGGAACACAATGACCCAACACAAAAGTAGGGGGGTTTCCCTCTGTCGTACAGTTTGGTACATATGCCGGGTAGGTAGCATCGCCTTCCAATGCCCGCTTCGCACCTGATCAACTCGTTAACTTTTAACTCTTGAACAACACATGAACATACCCACCCACTCTTGTTTTACTTTACTCCCGAGGACAATGCTTTGTGTTTTCCTTTGTCCCTGTAATATAACACCCTCCCATAGACAAAGCACACAGACCTACCACAGAGGACCTACCCGAAGACTGATAGGATCTGTTGTTCTCCCTTTGTGTGTCTGTCCTCGGGGGTTATGTAGAACAAGTACCTTTATAGTATAACGGTAATAAAGGTATGTACTGTGGCTTTACCTGCATTATTGGCCCATGAGTATAGCATGGCATTATGTAACTTGTATCGTTTCCTTGTTCCAATGTAGCAACATTGGGGAGCTCCCGTCCTCCTTTGAGACTTCCGTCAGTCCGACTGAACCCTTCCTGTGGATGACGTCTTACATCAACTCCCTATTGGATTTTGGCAAATCAGCGTCCGATAACATCACAGGGGTTAACAACTTCCTGTGCAACAACCTCATGGACCTGTTCGGTTCCAAATCCGACCTTTCCCTGGATTTGCTGATCGCAAAGTTCATGCGCACGCTGGTCAAGGTCCTCCAGAGCTTGCTGAAGACGTCCCTTCTCTGTCATCTGGTCGGAGAGATCCAGACAAGCATGTGGCTCAAGACGTGCCTGACCTTTCTTCAGCGGTATCCGCCGGTCCGTGCTCAGCAGGTGATCTCTGTCGTCGTCGACGTGGCCAACAGCTCTCGCCAGTTCCTGATTGATGTCTTCAAGCTGGCGGGGAAGAGTAAACCGAACGTCGGAAGATCCACGCAATTCATCAAGATGCTTGGACTGCCCCTGCAGCCTTCTGCTAGAGCAGGTAGCATCTTCTCTCCAAGCAGCTCGCAGATGAAGTTATGGGAAATCGATATGGAGGGCGGAGAGTTTGATGGGTGTGCCACATTTCTGGAAGAAGCTCTCCAAGAGCACCCTTCGGCCATTTCTGTTTCCAGCTTCAGCATCTCACGAGGGAGGCGAGATGCAGCACGGGCCTCTGCGTCAACAACACAGTTGCCATTCAGTCACCCCAAGAAAAGCCCTCACAAGTCTAAGCTCGGAGGCCGGCTCTCGGCCACCCCTAAAACAACCAAAGATGCGAGTGCACGCGAGCGGAACTTGTTCACCGATGTTGAAGCCGGCATGAGTCCTAAGCACGCCTCCAAGCCTCATGAGGTCGAGGCCGTGCATCCTCCCGCAACGACTTCCAAGCTTGCTGCGCCTGTCTCGACCAAGTCTGCGAAGAAAAAAGCGGCCAGCTCACCGCGGATGCCCTCCAGCGCGGCTCCCTCGACGTTCCAGCCCGGAAGAACCGGCAAGCCAAACAGGTCCTTCCAGAGCTCAAGCGATGAAATTCTTCTTATCTCGGACGTGACCTCAGATGAGGCCTCTAGCATGTCTAGAATGACGGCAGGAGGACAAACGTCCAGCGATGAGCACGTCATTACCTGCTACATGGCAGACACTAATGAAAGATCCTCCACTAATTCCCAGAGTGATAACAGCCAAGAGGAGGATGGCATTACCTGCTACATGTCAGACACTAATGACAGATCCTCCACTAATTCCCAGAGTGATAACAGCCAAGAGGAGGATGGCATTACCTGCTACATGTCAGACACTAATGACAGATCCTCCACTAATTCCCAGAGTGATAACAGCCAAGAGGAGGATGGCATTACCTGCTACATGTCAGACACTGATGACAGATCCTCCACTAATTCCCAGAGTGATAACAGCCAAGAGGAGGATGGCATTACCTGCTACATGGCAGACACTAATGACAGATCCTCCACTAATTCCCAGAGCGATAACAGCCAAGAGGAGGATGGCATTACCTGCTACATGGCAGACAATAATAAAAGATCCTCCAGTAATTCCCAGAGCGATAACAGCCAAGAGGAGGATGGCATTACCTGCTACATGTCAGACACTAATGACAGATCCTCCAGTAATTCCCAGAGCGATAACAGCCAAAACGAGGACATCATTAGCTGCACTGCTGAAGACATTTATGGAAAAGTCCCCGTTGATCTCCAAAGTGACAACAGCCAAGCCGGGTCAGCAGGTAAATTTTGGGAACATTTTTACTTACACATGTTGGTGTTTGCCAAGAAGTTCAATACCTGTAAAGGGAATATACAAAATTTGCAAACATCAAAAAGCAATAACAGGAATTTTGCAGGATTGAAGTTGCATCCTAGCCCAAATAAAAAAATGCCTAGAGGGAGTCTAGGGGCGGATCCAGAACACACATTTTTTTGCGGGGGGGGGGGGGGTAAAAAAAACTCTGGTCACCAAAAAAGCCCCCGAAATTTTTTTGGATTCTGGATGCTCTGTGGTGATCTGAAGCAATTTCTCACCCTCTAACCATGTTTTTTTTTTAAGGAAAGATGGGGGTGTACCCAGTGCCTGCCTTGATTGTGATGTCATTTCAGAAAAAATAATAATTGGGGTTTTTTTCGCCGGGGGGGGGGGGGGGGGTTCCATGGCCCCCGTTTTGCCCCCCCCCCCCCCTCCTGAATCACCATTGAGAGAGTCGGGGGGTTTATGACAGGAATTAATTTTACTCCAGAATGAAAATTGTTAAACACTCGCAGACAAATTTAAAGGGTGCAACATTGCTGAAACAGGTGCCGACAGCGTGACCTTCATGCTATGCAACCTGTCAACATTTACCACTTGCGGGCTGATGTGTAGTTCATTTGTTTATTTCAACCAGATGCTTTTCGGGATGACATCCAGCATGCTCAGAAAGCGAAATGGCGGCCGACTGTTTCGATAGAAGTCATTCCAGAACTTGAAGGTAACACGTTGGTGCTACATTGTACATCCAGTTTTATTTCCTGCTCTGCTGAGAACGGACTCACTGAGAGTTTTCTAACCCACTTATTTTTAGTTCTAAGATCAAAGTCATTCATCTGCTGTGCCAATGATATTCTGTGTTTCGAATTCTATACATGTGACACTTTCAGCATCGGGGGAAAAATTGTGAATTTTGCCCAGCACCACTATTTACTATGTACATATACTACGTGTAAAAAATAAGACATTGTCCTACTTTGGAGCCTAAATACCGATAGCTCTGTTGTTTACAAATGGAATTAAACCAAAGTTTCAGATCATGTAAACAAGGCATGACACATTCTAAGAAGGGAGTTTCATCAGCTTTGTGCCAGAGGGCGAGATGTAAACGCCATACGAAAAAAATACTCACTTTCAGAATCTGTCAATTTTGACTTTGCGTCGTCCAATGTCGATACAACACTGCAGACGGTGGCGGAAGGTGCATGCTGCAGCGGAAAGCTTCTGGAGGGATGCAGGATCACCCCTGATGTCATTGCACACGTGCTTGATTGTTTGGCACAACACAAGTAGGAGGAAGAGTGCAATGACATAAGGGTTGTTCCTGCCTTCCTTCGGAAGCTTTTGGCCGCATCATGCCTCTTCCACCTCTTTCTCCAGCAGACTTTTTTTACACATAGTATGTCGGATGTGGAGAATGACTTTGTACAAAAATACATGACTTGGAAGTGCGTCTTGTTGAGTGCAGTCTAGACATTTTATTTTATTGGATGTGGGAGCTCCAACGCCACATTTATTTTTTATTTTCGTTGTGGTAAAAAACCACGGATTCCTCAAAAGTGCCCTTGGCACTGTAGCTCAAAAGCCTTAAGAAACCGGTACAGAGAAGACAATGAGAAGAAATTGCAGTTTTAGAGGTGGGAGGAAAAACCCCTGAAGTATTTCCTGGGGAAAACCCACGGAATCAGGCAGGGACTGAAACTCAATCTACACGTGGTCCAAGCAGGAATCGAACTTGTGCGTGGTATATCATTATTTTTATACTAATAGTGTTGTGATTGCATTGTAGATGTCACAGAGTCGGAGGGCCAGTTTATCATTACTTCAGAGGATCCACTGAGAATAAGAAGGGCGGGACAGAGAAGGATCAAGAGGGAGTTGAACTCTCCCACTAACAGCGAGAGCTCCCTTACTGAAGTCGACGTCTGGGGGAATAAGCCAAAGTCATCAAGGAGAAAACAAAAGAAGACCAAGCGTTTTCAACGTTTGCGAGAGCTTGAGAGTTCAAGTGATGAGAGTTCAAGTGGTGCTAGCCCTGGGCCTTCCAAAACACTGCAATCCACTCCCCCAAAAATCCTGAGTACGGTTTGGCAGGCCTCCTCTAGTTTATCATCGAGCAGTCCGTTGAGCAGTCCACGGAAATATCCCAGGGACAGACTGTCTCGGACAAGAAAGCTGAGGAAGATTAAGAGAATGCCAACCTACTCATCTGACGAAAATGAGTTTCGACCCGAGGGTGCTGAAACCCATCTGCTTGGAGTAAAGAAGGAGCCATTACCTGATGATGAAGCAGCTTCTTCTGAAGAGGCTTCTCAAAGCTTACTACTGCCGACTGAAGTCAAGGAAGAAGGCAGTCAAGAGAGCAATAAGAAAAAGATCCAGGAATGCCCTGGAGAAGGAGGCACTGAGAGCAGTAATCTGCTGCCACTCTCTGATGACAACGATCTTGATGCCCCGATTTCTGTCTCTGATGACTCTGATTTTGCACCACCGGAGTATGTGGCATCTGACACCGATGAAAGCATGGATTGGCAAGCTCAGACGAGAACAACAGAGGTCACTCAGATGGAAGTATCAGAAGAGGTCGACAAGAGGAAGCAATCAAAAGAAATCACCGGAAAGAATAAAAGCTTGTTCTCTGTAGATCAAAATCATGACTATCTTGAAGATGCTCTGAGTCCAGTCTCTGATGATTCTGATACTCTAGCAGAGGACTCTATGACGCTCAAAGGTGACGACGTTTGCAAAAGCAAAGGAGCTGTCGTTCCAATAGTAGAGATCCAGACTTCACATCAAGCGTTAAAGGAAGAAGGATCAGAAAAAAGGAAAAAGCAGATGCGTCCCTCCGCTGAAGAAAATACTAGGAGCAGTAATCGCCCACTGCTGTCTGATAACCAAGCCATGGACTATCTTGAAGGTTCACTAAGTCCAGTCTCTGATGACTCAGACAGTAATGACTCCAGTAACAGTAAAAGTATGCTCACACAGCAGGTTTGCAAAACTGAGAAAGTTGCATCCGGCCCGACTCCCATCGAGTTTAACTGCCCAACGCCAGAGCTGAAGCGTTCCATTGACAAGCTGGTGTCTGCAATGCGCAGCGATGACAGCAACAGTTCCGATTCCAGTATTCCAAATGTTGCCCAGACCTCCCCCTTAATCAGCAGTGATGAAAGTACACGTATGTCACCTAATTCTCCAGAGAATTCCACAACCGTCCCCGCTGATCAGCAACAGGAAGACGTCAAGCCAGAGATCCACTTTGTAAGGTTCAGGAGAACATCAGCTTCTCTCTCCAACCCGCAGTCCAGCCAGGGCTTCAGTGACAGCTTCTCCTTCACAGAGGATCGCCAAGAATCGGAAGAGGTCATTGACTTGGACAACTACAACTGCAGCGAGCTCTACGATGAGGATCCACTGAGCCAGCTGATTGAAATTTCAAGTGATGATGATGATGTTGATCTGGACCAATCAGAAGCTCAATTGAAGATTGACTTGGATGCTCCAGTCAAACAGGAACCGGAAGATGACCTGCATCCTCCGAATCAAGTGATGACAGGGTTTCAACGAATCCACTCGCCTAGTCTGTTGGACGATCGTGATTACCTATGTGCACTCCAGGACCATGAGGAAGCCACATGGTTCAACGACGATGAGGATGATTACCATCAAGACCCAGAAGAGGAAGATGCAGTTGCAGAGAAAAGACCATCTGGAGAAGGAAGGATGGAGCTGGAAGAGGAAGACATTGCCACAAAGGAACCATCATCTCGCTCCTCCAGCCCCTTGGTCGATGCAGCAGTGGCAAGTGCTCTCCAGGACCAAGAGGACCCCGTCTGGTTTGATGACAGTCCTCTCGACAAAGAGGCAGAAGTAGAGGAAGCAGGAGAAGGTTCACTGCAAGAGGAAGAGAACAAATCCAAACACGAGACAACGTTCGAAGAAGAAATGGAGGATTTTACTGAAATGATAGGTTAGTGCCTTGGTTGTCGTAGCTTGAAGTGACCTTAAGCATTTTGTTCAAACTTCTTATATCAAAGTTATTAGGCTCATCCACTCGCAGATTTATTTGCATTATCAATGATCCTTTTATCTTCATCTTTAAACAAAGAAGAACAGTCTGTAAAATATTGCATCAACTTTGACTAGCATGGAGAGAAAAGGGAGCATCACTTGACAAGTAATCCTTGGACAGAATCTGTTGAAAATTTAAAAAAATTTATAAAGTTCTTCAGAGGGAAAAAAAGGTACCAAAGAACAAGTAATAAGTAGTGTGGATGTACTGTGTAATCTTTTTTTGGATGTTCCGATAAACTCTTGTTTATTCTTATTCAGCAGCTGCAGCGGAAAGGGCACTGAAAGCCACTTCACAACAAAAGAAGAGGAAAACGAAAGACGAAACCCGCAGTCCCAAGAAAGTGCGTAAAATTTCTGTCAGGAAGCTTCAATCCGTACCCGGAGCTTCACAAAGTGGGGGCACAAAAGCCTCTACCTCTGCACAGTCCGATGCTCCTGCACCAGTCAGCTCTGTCAGCGAGCCCAGCTCCCCTCTGCCCAAAGTCCAAGGCTCCTGGAAGCATTCCAATTTCCACCAGCCGGAGTTCACACCAACAGATGCTGAGCCCCTCAAGAGATTCCGGGGCAGCAACGAGGACCCCGAGTTAACAGACATGTACGTCCTGGACAGCAGTCAGCAAAAAAGGAAACCCCGAGCTGCGAATCTGGAGGAGGACCGGCACACGGCGACCGTTCAGTCTTGGGTCAACAGGTTCAGCTCCCGGACGGGGAGTCTCTTCCAGACGATGAAGGAAGGCCCGCCAACAGCACAGAAGGGACACCAGGGCAAGGCGGCAGTGCCGCCCCCAAAAATAAGACATTCGTCCGGTCCTCCTTCCGTTTTCAAGACCGGTAAAAGTCTGGACACTAGCTCATCGGTTACAAGAACTTTGTCATCTTACGTGGAAACACTACCACACTATGCCCAGACTGTTTATGCACATGCGACTGTTACCGCATCTTCCATCCCACAAATCGCTGGAGGGCAGAGTTCAGTTCTACCAGCCGATCCGTCCACTTTGTCATCAAGTGGAATTGATGGAGGGAGCAGAAACGATGATGCGAACGCACCTGAACAGCAAACCGATTCCGAACCTGGGAGTCCTGTTGTCGATAATGTTCCGTTGGTCTCGCAGCTGCGATTCCAGTTCTTCACTTCGGATCCCCAGACGGCGCAGACAGCTGCCAGCCTCCCTTCTCTTGTTAACAATGGCTTAGTCAGCAATTCATCAGCTGCCGCTACTACGGAGCAAGGTCAAACCTCGACATCCACCAACAAGTCATTGAGAACTCCAACAGAAGCACCTCCCGCTAACTCTGGACCACCACCCCAACGGAATGTATCCCAGCCAGGAAGATCCAGCAGGGGAGAAGCATCCAACTCAAAGCCAAAGGAAGCTACCACGGGTCCTGCAGTGTCGTTGCAGCCACGAGCAGCAGTTCAGCTTCCAAAGACTGCTAGCTTCTCCGAGATAGATCTGTTCTACTGGGTGATCGGGTGGAACAGTCAGTGGCTTGATATCTATGGTCCGCCGGCAGAGGGTCAACCGCCCACTTGTAAGTAACTCCGCCCATTTTTCAGAATTGCATATGTATATGAACAGTTAAGGGTACTGTCCCGTCTGCTCAGAATAATCAAGTGTGTGAAGTTTGACAATGTGCATGACCCAGTTAATGGATGCCCTACCCCTCCTGCTATCTGAACAGTCACAGACAGTCAAAAAAAAATCAATCTTCTCCCCTGCCATGCCTTTTACACATCCTAGTCACCAACAGTCAGATCAAATTTTAAACAAGCACTCTGACTAGTCAAATTCAGTCAACAGACAAAAGCAGACAAGTGGTAGGCACAGCTGGCTTATCAATCACCTACTGTCAAAGCATAGCTGCATCAAGTAATATAAACAGTCACAGCCAGTCAATCCTGCTTTGTGTAGGCTGGGAGCTCTTAACTATTGAAGACGGTTACTTTGTTGATTTCGACTGAAAGGACAACTTGGCACAGAATGTATGTTTGCGTAGGAGGGTTTAGCTTAACTTATAAAATGTACAGTGTGGACTTTGTGTACAATTGACCTATCGCCATTTGCAAGTTAGCCACGCCCCTTAGACAGCCCTATGGATTTTTTGTACACTAAGTTTTGTTTGTCTCGGATTTTGCCCGTTCTGCGTTCATTTTGTATATAAATTGGACAATATTTTGCAAGCTGTGTTGACACGATTCTAACGCGATTCTACCGCGATAGGTCAATTACCCTCCAACGGTATTTTGTATATAAATTGGACAATATTTTACAAGCTGTGTTGACACGATTCTAACGTGATTCTACCGCGATAGGTCAATTACCCTCCAACGGTATTTTGTATATAAATTGGACAATATTTTACAAGCTGTGTTGACACGATTCTAACGCGATTCTACTGCGATAGGGCAATTACCCTCCAACGGTGACAAAGAAGCGTGTCAAACACTTGGATGCTTTGGGTGGACTAAAATTTAGATGGAAATTCCTTGTGTGACAGCACCATTTACCCTCTACACATCTGCAGTCCATAATTTTCAGATTACCAAACAAATAGCCACAAAACTTATTTGCCACTTTCCTTTTTTGTCTTGCAGCGGTTCCTCAGGCTATTTTGGCAGACTGTCCTTACAAGAGACTCCTTGATGTTCCATTTGCCTTTGATTCTTTGGAGGACTATTACAGAGTCTTTGTGCCTCTACTACTTCATGAAATATGGGCGCAGGTAGGATGTGGACAAATTCAATAAAATAATAATAAACGCTGCAAAACAACGTCCACACTCATTAGAGGGGTCATAATTTTAAATCCAATCGTCTTATGATGACGTCATTTATATAAACGCGTGGGGATTTTGTTAGCTACATTTTGATACCATGTTTGCTACCAAAGACTGTAAATCGTCCAAGATTGACAACGGTTTATGAAAGATTATGCAGTTTGAAAAGTTGCAAGTTTAAAGATACGCTAGGAGAACTTGCCGAGCGCAAACACACGTGCCCGTGATTCATTGGCCCCTATCGACTGCACAGTGCCCAAACAAAGCGCGGGTTTTTCAATTTCACGTGCTCGCATGCATGCAAGCACTGTGCGATTGATATTCCCTGCCGTTCATTTCGGGCAGTGTCACATTGTCACGCAGCAATTTCCACTCGACTTGCGTACTCTTTAAATTTTCAGCTTTTCAAACTGCGTCATATTTCATAAACTGTTGTCAGTGTTGGACAGTTTACAGTCTTTGGTAACAAACGGGGTATCAAAATTCAGCTCAGTCTCATGTCCCGCAGGACATCCAAACCTTCAGTTATCAAAGGGTATATCACAGTGATTTAATTTATTTCTTACACAGTAAGTTACAACCATTTATCTTTTTGACTTGTTGACACGATATAACAAAACAATTGTTGACTGCTGTGATGTGGGATATGCTGCCCAAAGATAAAGGTTTAATTGAATTTCGGTTTTGAGTGAATCGTAAATTTCTCTATTTTTGTAGATACACAATAACTCTGACGTTAAGAAGCCTAGTCTCACTGCTGCGTTTGTTGAATGCAAACACAAAGAGCAGCGACCAACTGGTTTTTTGCTGAACTGTTCATTCAGGGGTGAGTATCGGTTGTTGGGACATGGAGATATTATGAAAATATTATGAGAACAAAATTAAGATGTTAAATATTTTAGCAGAATGGTGTAAGATTTTAGCAAGGTGGCCCAGTCACTCAAAACCCAATGTTGAGAATTCCTCCAGTGAGAACAGCAACTAATTTTGGATGTTTTTTTTCTTCTCTTCTTGGACACAGTGCCAGCAAGTGATGGGGCTTGTCCCATCAGCCCTAACGATGTCATCAAGGTGTCCCCCAGCGATAGCGCAGCCTGTGGCTGGTGCCCGTTGCTGGCTGTGGTCACCGGTGTTAACCCGGTCGTCCCCAAGGTCACTGGCGCCAGGAATCTGACCAATCACAGTAAGTTGTGCTAGTTCTGTCTGTTTGGAGATTTTAAAAGCAAAATCGGGATGCTGATAGAAGCAAATCAGGACGATGAAAATCGGTAACGGAACGAAAATTATTTTTCCCACGCAATATTTGCCAATGAATGCCTTTCGCCACGAGTGCCATTTTCACGAGTGCCTTTGTTGCCACGGGTGCCCTTGTCTTATCTTATCTTTTAACGCAAACGTCTTATTTTCCGAAAATTTCCAGTTTGAACATTGCCCCCATCCGAAGAAGGTGTTCAGGACACCCCCCCCCCCCCCCCCCCTCCCCAACACAATTCTTGATTTTACAGAGTCTGGGAGTCTGGTGAAAAAAAGCTGTCTACCTTTCAGCACAGATGCCGAATGTCCTTTTCTCGTCTTTACCCCGAATCAAAATGACCTTGCCATATGCCACTGCAACAAGCAAAGAAAGCCCTGGTTACTCGCCTGGATCATACTCGAATCCCGATCAAACATTGAGTGTTCGAGTAATCCGTTTTGAACAAAATTCTTGAAAAAAAAATAATTTGGGGGCCATTTTACAGATGCACAAACTAATGGACTCAATGGACATCAGGCCACAGAGAAATTGTTTGAAGTCTCGCTGCTCATTCTGGCTAAAAATGAGGAGACATATCGAGCGCTATCGTCCAGCATAGGCCACAAAGTCCAGCTGAAGGTAAAAAAAAAACAGTCCTTACTTTAATGATAACAACTGGATAATTTGGTCATTGTAATGGTTTGAAATTGTCTTGTACAAGTGTTAGAAAATGCACATCCACCATGCAAACCTACAAGTCTCATTTAAGTACATAAAATTGACAAAAAAATGTTGTAAAAGGTAATATCGAAAAAATGCGTTCGCCTTAATTTTCAGAAATGGATGGATTTGGGGGGTTAGTATTTTAAGGCAAATATTGTTACACTGACATGTTTGAAGTTTTGTGTTCATAGATGCTTGAAAAACCAAGACAAAAATTTTATTCTTCTAGTCTGGTTCCCTGAACCTACTTCAGACAAAACGGTGCAATTTTAGATGTCAGGGAATTGTCTGGTCAGGGAACCAGACTAGTCTGCTTGCACCAGTTCACAGATATGTAAACTGATTGCAACTGAAATGTTTGGTCAATTGGGGGCAATATTTGAAGAAGTTCTGGTTTTTTCCAAGGATGGTCGGCAGACCTTTGTTGGAAATTGATACAGAAATTCAACTTTTCTTGAAAATGACAGCACACTAGGTGCCATGATTTCACAGGATGCTTGAGACTATTATTCACTAAGTCAAGTAAACTACCAGTATTTTTTAATAATTTGGTAATTTTTGTGCGGTTTTTTTCATGTTTGCAAATGTTGTATATTACCTTTAAGTATCTGTTTCTTGGTTTGTTGTTTGTTTTTCTTTAAATTCTTTGAAATCATTTTTTAACAGTTTTGAATTTATTATATAGGTATGCCCCTATAAGCTTCGGCTTTTTAAAACCATGCCTCCATCTTAATAAAAACTAGTTTTCGTTCTCATGATGGTTTTACTTTGCTTTTGATGGAAATAAATGTTATTGAAATTGAAAAAAACCCAGAAATTGAAATGGAAATATGTCACAAGTTGCGCAACAGGAAATATTGCAATTAAAGTCACGTATAAATGTTGCATAAAGTTTTGGGAAACCGGCTGCTGATCTCTTTGCCCGACTCCCTGTTTTTTCTATTAGGTTCTCCACTCCCTCGTGTCTGCAGCACGTCAGTTCCAAGGCCTGACATCCTTCCACAAGTGTGGTCTCCTGGCCTCCGACATCTTGAGGTTCCGACGGATAGATGTCTTCTGCCCACCTCCCCCGAGTGCAGCATGGAATGCGAAACCAGTGAGTATCGCACAAGTCTGCCTTCTCTTTGGAAGACTCCTATTCTTTCCAAAATGCCCCTTTTTTTCCAACCCTATGTTTCTAGGCGTGTTTGTTTTGCTTTCTGTTTTTTTGGTGGGAGTGGGGTGTATCAACTTTAATCTCAAAGAAGATACTGGTACAGTAGTAGCTTTGGTCGAGGCGTTCGACGATAAAGTCCGACGATTGGTAGTTTGCCTCCAACAATGCACTCACATGTACTGTGTGAAGCGCGAACAGCGACCTCACGCCTCTACGCGACACTATGCAAATCTGGTGGGGCTGAGTGAACCTTGTAACAACCGCAGCGATGGCCTATCGTTTATTAATTCGTGCAGTGGAAGGAATATTTTCATGAGGTGAAAGATTGACTGTTCCACTCAACGAATTGAACAGTCGATCTTTACCAAATATTCCTTCCATTGCACTCATAAATATTCATTATCTGTATATTATACAACACCTGAATAAATCCCCGTCATCTGATTGGTGGATCGTTGATCACATGTCATTGAATTATTCGTCCCAACACACGATGAGCGCAGCGCACAGTGCAATGGAAGTTCTGTTGCACAGTGAATAGAACTTCCATTGCACGGTGTCACTGCTGCTAGTGGTGGTGCTGTTTTAAATCGAGATAAATTGAATATGATGGTTCTCAGCCTGTTGAACAGTTTGCATAAATTAAATTTGATGAACTTGTCCAACTTTTAAACAGTTTTTAACCTGAATAAATTGGCTATTAAAAGTCAACCAATCAGATGACAAGGATTTTTTCAGGTGTTATATACAACAAATAATGAGTGTTCCACGCTCGTGCAATGAAAAGAATGGAACATTTCATCTGTCATCTCATGAAATTATTCTTACCATTGCACTCACAAACATTCATTATTTGCCTGCTTACCCTACTGCAGCTTGACAATGCTTATCAAAAGTAACGGCTACGTTGGGCTCCAACGCAATCAAAATCCAATCCTTGGACTTAGACTAGGTAAGGCCACAAAAAAAAATAAGTCGGTCTCTGGTCAGCGCGCGCGTCGATTTTAATCATGCGCGTCGATCTTTTTTTTTCTCCAAAATGTTCCGCGGTAGCTGCAACAGCGCCCTCTATTTCCACACCTCCTCAATTTGTTTTACCAAAGAGCACCATGGAATGGGAAATTGCACCAAGGCAAATGATCGAAAGCACCAAGGCAAATTATGGAGGACACCAATGTACATGAGGACACCAAAAAAGCAAAATATTACCCCACCTTGTCTGTACAATCCAAGCTTGAACAAAAAAAAAGCCGCGTCGCCGCGTCAATTCCGGAACTTTGGTCTGACCAGAGACCGAATATTTTGGGGTTTTTGGGCCTAACAGTAGCTTGTGGTAGTTTGTACTGCGACATTTTACTATTTTTTTTGACCTTGGCACAAAGCAGGATAAATCCCTGAACCCGTGCCAGCTGCAAGCCGTCAGCGTCGCATCCATGGCTGTCGCGTTGCCCGACACCCTGCCCAGAATCTGCCTGGTGAACGGGCCCCCGGGAACGGGCAAGACGAAAACGGTCATCGGACTCGTCAAGAAAATCCTGGAGGTAAGTGTTTTATCTTGGCAGGAAGGGAAGATTTCCATACATGGACATCACTTATTTTTCCCCTGTAGTGACCTATCAGCCATCAGAAAGCGATAACGTGTCCTAAAAAGTCAAATTTTGCTGGGAAAATATTGGAGCATCAACTGAGAAAACACTTAGAACTTTTCAGACCAGTCTCGTAGAGTTTATACCCATGTCAAGTGATGTCCAGGTATAGAAATCCTTCCGGCAAGAATTTCACTGAATTGTTCGGGGAGTGTGTAAAGGTCTCAAGCTATCCGCTCCGTTCACAAGTACCCCCTCACCGGCAAAGAAAGTACAGTTGGGGGTGACCGAACGACGCCATCTTGCCTGACTGCAATATTTTGCCGCGAAGCGCGGCCACTGCGTGTACATAGTACAAATCGCCTGGTGTACGTGCGTCACACACAAGGAACGATGCGCGCGTCAACCAGCAAAATGTATGTGTCCCGCCCATGGGACGTCGTTGCTAGGTAAAAGGGCGCCCTCTTCGATGACGCACGGAGCCCTTAACTTGCTTTGCTTATGCTTAGTCATGCATAAATTATGCTTAGATTATACTAGATATATATCATCCATTCTGCTTCTGGATACCATCCGTACTGCTCCAACGTGTATGAAAGTGAGTCATAGAATTGAGGCAGTGGTCACTCATCCTCTGAACAAATTCAAGCAATAACAGATGATTTTGGAGGATTGAGGCTGTATCCAGTTTTTCTATGGTTGCAAATCTGAGGTTTTGAAAGATTGAGGATTTGTCCCTAGCTTAAAGCTGGGACAACTCTGCTGCTCCATTTTCGAATTTAGAATTGTTTTCAAAAAATCTTCATGGCAACTCTACTTTTTTGATGAATCGTTTTCTTCAGTTGCTGATTCTCGTTCCCCAAGAGTTACTTTCGGGAGACGAGAAAACAGGATGAGGCAATTCTGAGCAACAACCATAGAGCTATATTAAATTACTAGAGCGCTAACTCCTCATTCTTCCGCACGAAGACACTTTGAAGCCGTCCTGGGCGCAGACATTTTGAATTCATGTGCGTGTTTGTAGAACACAATGATATTAGATGGATTGAATTTTGAAAGTGTACTCTCAATGCAATGCGCATGTAGAACGTACGCAAACAACTTAAGCGCGTCATGAAGGTTTTAAAAACACATCGGGTTAATCATCTACAGCAAATATGCGCACGCGTTGCACTGTTTTTGTAGAGCAAATCGAAACGTTCATTTGCTGATCGTGCGTTTCAGTTTTGGGCGTATCAGCTTCGGTAACGCACCTGTATAGAATACAAACGCAGATATGCAAATAGACGTACAAAATACGTACAAAATTTCGAGTTCTCCATAGGTTTGTGTACAAACATGGATGCGCCCGGCAGGCATCACTTTGTGCATGAGTCAGTGCTCTAGTAATGTAATATTGCTCTATGGTAACAACACACTTGAACCATCATATTGAAATTGGCATCCTTGTGGAGTCAAGTGACCCTAAACAAATTTTGACAGATTTGTAGATTAAAGGGAATGTACATCATTGGCTTTTGCTGTAATTTTCAGAAATGAAGTATTTGGGGGGTTAGTATAATAGATCAAATATTGTTACACTGACATGTTTGAAGTTTTGTAATCGAAAATGCTGGAAAAACCAAGAAAAACAAAAATATTCAAGTAGTCTGGTTCCCTGACTCCACTAAAGATGAAATGGATCAAACATACCAGAAAATTGTAAGGTAAGGGAACCAGTCTAGCTGGCCTGCACCCGTTCATGAGCATGGAACCAATAGCTAGCAAAACAAAATTTAGACTAAAAAAAAATGGTAAATTTGGTGCAGTAATTGAAAAATAGTTAGGTTTTTCCAACGGTGGTCGGCCGACCAGCGTTGAAAATGTAGACAAATATACCATTTTCTTGAAAATGGCTTCACACCAGGTGCCATAATTTTACAGGATGCTTAAGCATGTCATTTACCAACATCCTAGTAAGGTATTTTGTAACAACTTGGTAGTTTTATTTTTCGATGTTTGCAAATGTTGTATTTTCCCTTGAACACTCCATCTTTAACTTTCTTTGCCTTTTCCGATTTTGTAGGGTCATAAAGCAAAGCAACACCAGCAACGTCTTCCAGGCGAGCGCAGTGGCAACTCAACAGCCAAGCCTCCCCCAATCATGCTCTGTGCTCCCTCCAACCCCTCCATCAACGTTCTACTCAGGCGGCTGACGGGGGAAATTCCCACGACCTTCTTGCATCAAGCCCAGCCTAGCAATAGAGGTACGACTGCTCATTTTATTCCTCATTTAGTAAACCCATTACCAAAAATCTCTGATTTCTGGTCTGCGCGCCCATCGCGCAAAATAAAAAAAATTGTAAATTCAATGTATGATGATGTCTCCAAACTGCCAAACTCACTAGTTTGACTCGAATCCTGCTGCTGCACAATTGTGTGTTGTTAGATGGGGTTACGATCGAGTGTAAGCTTTATGGGACCTCTCTGGGCCCCCATATATTTTTTGCACTAAATTTATTCGGCCACCATTTGCAGACGGTGTTGTGATTTTGTAATTGTTGTGTCTGGAAGCCAGACTGAGGGAGAGATGGTTGTGTATCTGGAACCTGTAAATGCTTTTTAATTAGCGCAATATGTAAGGGAGCAGACTAATGACCAGCCTGGCAGCCATGCACGATGTCGCTGTATGGTCTGACGTTACTGTTTTCTCTGATTTTTGTCTTGCCCAAAGATCCTATAGCGCCTACGGCGAGATAGTAAATGGGTGCAGAATTCTCAAGCCTTGAGGCCTTACTGGGGTCACTTCAAGCGCCACCCTGAAGGATATTTTTGAGAGTTTTAAGGGGATGGAAGCGTCATCTGTCGACATCAGTCGACATTTGAATTGACATCAGTCGACATTTGAATCTCCGAACAGCTCGGAAATGCTTCAGAAGTGGTTTTTAGTTGGATTTTATGAAGTAATGGTTGAATCAATCAAAGCAAAATCAAAGAAAACTGAGATCAGAATTTGTGACATCTAATCGGGTAGCAATGTTTTACGGTTCAAAGTTCAGCAGTCTTCCTAGTTCCTAGTTAATAAGTGTCTTTATCGCTTGGCTTTTCAAGCCAGATTCGTAGTAAAGGTTTCTCAGCCTCGACAGGAACTGCAAAGCATGCTAGTTGAAATTCGTTGAGTCACTTTTTTCTCCTTCAAAACATGTGTCGTGCAGATGAATGTGGATTCTAATCTGTCAGTTTGACTCTTTCTAACCAGGGGCCTCCAGGCGGTATCACGTGGTGAGAGTGTGTGGACAGTCTGACCTGGTCCACCCAAGCGTCAAGAAGTTCAGCCTGGACAGCCAAGTACAAGCCAAGAGAGACCAGGGTCAGTCAGATTACGTAGCCTACATATACTTTTGGTTATCAGAATAGTCCTGACACCTACTGACGTGACGCTTTGTTTACATGTGGGCTTTTCTATGGGAGCCAGGTGGGGACGTCAGCCGATCATCTCCACCTGGCTCTCATAGGAAAGCGCATTTGTAAACAAAGCGTGACGTCATTAGGTCTTAGGCCTATATTTAGAGGCTACATGTATAAAAAAGTAAACATTTAAAAAAATCATATAGTTAAAGGGAAAATACAACATTTGCAAACATCAAAAAACGAAATGATCAAATTATCACGAAATTCCTTACTAAATTGTTAGGGACTGACAGTCTAAAGCTTCCTTTAAAATTGTGACTCCTGGTGGGCTGACATTTTCAAGAAAAACTGTATTTTTCCGACGCTGGTCGGCTGACCAGCGTTGGAGAAAACTGGCTTTTTTCAAAAACTGTTCTTAATTTTTCATATTTAGTTATTCTGACTTTTCTTTGCAATTGATCACACACCTGTGAAGGGGTACAAGCCTGCTAGACGGATTATCTGACCTTACAATTCCCCAAAGTGTATTAATTGCTTCATTTCATCTTAAGTGGGGTCAGGGAACCAGACTACAAGAATATGATTGGTTTTCTTGGTTTTTCCAGCATCTACAAGCCCAAAACATGAAACAAGTCAGTTTAACAATATTTTATATAACATACTAATCCTCCAAATCCATTTATTTCTGAAAATTGCAGCAAAAGCCAATGTTGTACATTCCCTTTAATATTTGTGATTTAACAGCATACATGAGTTTACCACAGGAAGTAACATAACTTCAAGAAAAAGAAATTAGACTTAAAATATTAAAATTACTAGTTACATGCAAAACAATTATTAATTAATAAATTAGTATAAATTTTCCTTTGAATAGACCCTGGGGTCATTCTGAACGACTGTAGCAATCTATATCTGTGTGTGTTTGCCATTTGTTTCCAAAGGGTACTTAATTCAAATAATAAATACTATTATATAACCGACATACATATCCTTGTCATTTGATTGGTGGAACTCACATCACGTGACATTCGTTATTACTCCCATTCACGCCGCGGCTCAAAAAGTACTATCCGCCCATGGGGAATGGGGAATACTATTAAACAGTTAGGATCATTCTTGTTCCAAGACGCGGTATTTGTGTGCAAATGCATGCTGGTGTGCGCGTTCAGCATTGCGCGTCGCGCGTATTGTTCCAAAGAGCCAGCGCTACAAAGTGGATTTCAAACATTTTCGTGAAGGGGTGGTTTGGAAGAGAGAAATACATTGTAGTGAAATAAAAGTTCAAATATATCAAATGACAAGGATCTATATGTCAGTTATAAAACAAATATTGAGTGGCTTTAAATTGTGAAATGGGAGGAATATTATCACTCGGTAAAATCTGGACTTTTTCAGGGAAAAGTCCAGATTTTACCTTGCGATATATTCCTCCCATTCCACTCTGAGCCACTCAATATTTGTATAATAATATTATATTGTAGTGCTTGTATAGCGCTTTAAACCAAAGGTCTCAAAGTGCTTCACAATTGTTACTCTTGTTCATCAGGCCACGAGACCATTTTATGCAGCAGCTCGAGATCAGCGCATTCTGGTCTCTACCTTCACAGGTACCCATTTATACTCCTGGGTGGAGAGAGGCAGTTGTAGTAGAGTGTCTTGCCCAAGAACACAACCGCCAGGTTCCCCGTCGGCGATTGGAATCCAAGTAGCACTGCAGATGAGTCGAACATCATAACCAAATGATTACAAACCAAATTATTCCAAACGTTAGGGATAATTTGGTTCAGCACGACTCTAGAACACCATTCTGAATAGACGTAACTTCGCGTAGCCGTGCCGTTTTGTGGTGCCTAGCCATGAACACTCATCTTCAAGTAGTACGGAATAAATTCAAGTCAAACAAAAATCTCTAAGCTGCCGTTGTTTTTTTCTTTCCCTATATTTTTCGGGTTTCAGAATCTGAAAAGATTTTGCTCAACAAAAATCTGAAGACTGAGAGGCGGGAAAAACTGCAGGAGAGGATAACAGAGTTGGGAACAGCCTGCGGCCGACACAATCTGGACGGTGACTTGAAACAGGTAATGGTTTTTGAGGTAGTATTTCCATTAACCTTGGCCTTCCCAAATCCTCTTTGCATAATGGAGGATTTTTGCAGGATTGAGGCTATATGGCAAAGCTGTGTGGCTGATTTCGGAGGATGCACTGTGTCATTGTCTTACGCCGGGCCTTGTGTTGTGTATGCTCAGCCATGCATACATTTAGGCTCACATTTACACCCAGATTTGTCAAAAAAGTAATTTGGAATCATAAAACCTTAAAAACCAACATCAGTAGCGGTTACCTTGAAATCTCATCTCATCTTTACTTGCACAATGGTTTTGTTAATACGGCGGCCAAAGTGGCTCAAAAATATGGCACGTTGCTGTGCAATTTCTCTTGTCCTTTGCAGTTGCGCAAGGCCAAGGAGGAGAAGGACCGACTCATCAAGGACTTGAAGATGGTCAACGCCCGCCTGGAGGACCTGAGACGACAGAAGAATGAGGTGGACAACCGACCCAACTCCCACTACGAGCAGGTCATCCTGGAGAGCGCGGACATCGTCTGCTGCACCGTCAATGGCAGCGGCAATGAGCTGCTGCAGGGGACCGGCGCAGGGGGTGGCGCAAGGGACGGCACAAGGGACGGCATACGCCGGAAAATGAAGTTCTCCTGTGTCATTGTGGATGAGGTAAGAAGTAGTTCACTAGAGTTTTGTAGTCAAGACCTGATAGTTCGAGACCGAGACCAAGGCCGAGACCTGGAGTTCCGAGACCAAGACCGAGACCATGACCTTCAAGACAGAACGAGACTGAGACCAAGATGGTCCGAGACCAAGACGGAGACCTGGAGTTCCAAGACCAAGTGCGAGACCAAGACCTTCAAGAGAGAATGAGACCGAGACCAAGATGGTCCAAGGCCGAGACCAAGACCGAGACCTGGAGTTTTGAGACCAAGTGGGAGACCAAGACCTTCAAGAGAGAACGAGACTGAGACCAAGATGGTCCAAGACCAAGACCGAGACCTGGAGTTTTGAGACCAAGTGCGAGACCAAGACCTTCAAGAGAGAATGAGACCGAGACCAAGATGGTCCAAGTGCGAGACCAAGACCTTCAAGAGAGAACAAGACCGGGACCAAAATGGTCCAAGACCGAGACCAAGACTAAGACCTGGAGTTTTGAGACCAAGTGCGAGACCAAGACCTTCAAGAGAGAACGAAACCGAGACAAAGATGGTCCGAGACCGAGACTGCGGATAGTACAGAGAATAAATGTAAAAAATTCAATGCATGTAGACATGTAATTGAACTTGTAACCTTTTTATTGACATCAGAATATAGCAAGGAGCAAATTAAATAAAGAACAAATACGGGCCTGTCACACTTGAGTGATAACTACATCGAAAACAAGACGAAAAATCCAAATAGTGCTGTTTCAACCAACGATACTAAACGAAAACAACAAATGCAATGTAATGGATATTAGGAGCGATAAACGCTGCATATTGCTGGTCTCAACCCGAGACCAGTACAAATATCGAGACCAAAGGGTACCAAGATCGAGACAAAGACCGAGACCACAGGTTAGCGAGACCGAGACCAACAAAAAGTGTTCTCGAGACCGGTCTCCAGACCTACATCACTGGTTCACTACAGTGAACGATCAAATGAGGTCAATCATAATACAAAGATCAGATGAGGTCAATTATGCTACAATTCACAGAAATTTAGGTTACATTTTTGAAAAAAAATTGATGAAAATTGGATGCAGTGACACTTGGGTGTGAAGGCACAACTCTTCATCAGATTACTAAGTTCAAAGGTCATGTAGGGGTCATTAGAGGTCATAGTTCAAATATCCTTCAAATGTTTCTTTGTCTACAGAATTTGCTGGATTTTAACATAACATTGATGGAGGGTTCCCTGGGCAGGGGTACATCACAAGTCTTCCAAAATTGGAGGTCAGAGGTCATCTAGGGGTCGTTGCAATGTACCCTTGCCCTTTCATTGAGACTTTGTTTTCTCTGCATCCAGGCCAATCAGTGCACGGAGCTGGACTCCATCATCCCACTCCAGAACTGCTCCATGAAGGTCGTGCTGGTCGGTGACTCCCAGCTGATACCCGCGTCGGTTGCTTCTAAGGTTAGACCAGACTGTTATCTGTAGAGTCATATTTAACCAGTTTGCGTCGGACGACGTGTATACATGCAAAGGTTTTGCGGTTTTTCGGAACGGATGACTGATATACGCACAACAAGCGAGGCCGGAAATATCTGTCAGCGACCCACTCGCAGCAAGCAAGGCCGGAAATATTGGGGTGTGCTACCTAAACTCGTCTGGCATCGAGGTTCGTAAAAAACAATCCCACGCCTGTGTCCGGCCCATGTCGAAATAAACCCGGCGCGAACTGATTAAATTGCTAGAATGCTTACTGTTTATTCCCTCGTGTAGAATACTGAATGCCGCCTGGGTCCAGACATTTTGCATGAATGTAGGCGATTGTAGAGCGGATTCGATGGTTTGGAACTGCACAATGCTGAGCTCCCAAATTCGGTGCCAGGAGCACGGCAAATACGGCTGTAAATGCTTTTGTGAGCACGCACTAGAAATCTACACGAGGGTATTGGTTCACTGGCACACGGTTGGAAGTTCAGAAGATCCAAGATTACACATAAGAGCACATCCTAAAACAGCACATTGTTATACCTGTACAAATTTTGTTATATTATAGGTTTTCCTGGCCAATTTTCTAAAATGTTGATTCACTTCTGAAAATCGGTCATTCGTTTTCGTCTGAATTTGAATGCACGTCTTTAATTCTGTTTCAATTCAAGAAAGTTCAATCGTTTTCATTGTCCGTGCATTCAGTTTTGAGAAACAGACGGCCAAATTACATTACCTGTGCATTCATTTACGCAAGCATACCTTTTCGCGCTGTGTTCTAGAACACAATTTCGTGAATGTTCAATCAAAAGTACGTTTTCTCATTCAAAATAGCAGATAATATCACAGAACATTAAACTAAAAGTGAAATGGAATAGTCATTGTTTGAAATCACCTTCTAAAAGCGGAAAGGAAGTCTTGTAAACGAATCTGAATGAACATAAACGAAAGGTGCTGCTCAATCACTTAATAAGCCTTTTCGGAGTTCCAACTGCGCATTCATAACCTGTGACAACGCGCATTGTTTGTCTCAAATGGCCTTTGACATCATCGCGCCACTGACTTTACAAAAAGGCTGTTTGTGCATTGTGGGTACTGTCAAAGGGCATTTGAGACAAACAATGTGCGTTGTCACAGGTTACGAATGCGTGCAGTTGGAACTCCGAAAAGGCTTATTGATTGAACTGAAATGGAATTGAATGCTCTGGTACCGAAAATAAAACGCGTGTTCAGCGCGATTCTCAAATTCAGATGAAAATGAATGACCGATTTTCAGAAAATTTAGGAAATTGGCTGGGAAAACCTATACTTACAAACCCCAATCATCAATATGCATGTCTCCTTGGCACAAACACCTTCTGACAGGAAGCTCACCAGCACGGCCTGCACCGGTCCCTGTTTGAGCGTCTGTGCACTTGGTTCCAGTCGGGTCGGACCAACTCGCCACCCATCCTTCCCCTAGAGAGACAGCACCGCATGCACACGGACATAGCCGCCTTCCCTTCCAAGCACTTCTACAAGGGAAACCTGCAAAGCGACAAGTAAGGGACCCAGTTCAAGAAAGTAGTTGTTAGAACCGAGTCGATTATTTATTGAAATTGAATCTTTTGTTGTGAATGTAGTTCCTTGGACTAATTTACAAATGGAACCTTACTGGATGTCAATCAAACAGTGCATGTTTATAGTTGGTCAATTGATGGTTGCGCGACTGAAAACTGACGCATAATCATCTTAAACACAGTTTATAGTGGTCACTAAAGCCGCAGCAAGGAGTCACCGAAGGATTCTGGCGACGTTGATACAGAGGTCAAATAATTGAACTTTGACATGGTCGCTGACCTCAAATTTCATCAGTTGACCAATGGGCTTGCTGAATCAATAAGAAATAATGAATATGCAAATATGACACTGAGATTATCAAACAAAATGGAACCGACTGTAAACCGGCCTTTAGTCGGATAGCCCTGTCAATTGTCATCGTGACTCAAGTCCAAGTCCGAGTCATGGAAAACGGGACTCGAGTTGGACTCAATTCCGAGTTTTAGTCGTGAGTCATACAAGTGTGTCGGATGTACCCCGGTCCAGTACTCGATTCACAGGGAAAAGGGGATTTTTTGAAATTCTGGTTTCTTTGGAATGGAAGGTGCTCAGAATATTTTTTGTCTTTGATGCAGAAACATGGCCAAGCGGAGGTTGTCATTCTTTCTGTACCCCTACCTCGTCTTCAATGTCGTCCAAAGCAAAGAATTGCGAATTTCATCAAGGTACGGTTTACTTGAACGAGCTGTGATATGTCTTCGGCCCTGGCATACTGAAAGAATTCCACTCCTGTTTTTTTCCGTAACATTTGAAATGTGTTCCAATAACTCCATTATAAAATGTATTTAATGAATAACTTGTGAAATTGAGTCTCATGCAAATATCGCTGTCCCAGTTCAACCAAACCTGGGCTTTTCTGCCACAAAGCTGCTCTTCTGCACGAACCAAAAATCACTGAAAAATGTGAGACAGAACTTGTGAAATAGAGATCTTTTTAAAGAAAAACAATTGGCATCTTTCATGTTCATGACTACAAAACTGGACGCTGTAAGCAGTTCACATTGGATGATGTGTATGCATGCAATGGTTTTGTGGTGTTCGAAACGAACGACGGATATACACGCAACAAGCGAGGCCAGAAATATCTGTCAGCGACCTGCTAGCAGTGAGCGAGGCCGGAAATATCAGGGTGTGCTACCCACAGATGACGGCCTGAATCCGTCTGGCATCTGCAATGTGGTTAAAGGCCTTTTTCCCCCCCCCCCCCCAGTATATTACTTATATGACATGTCGATAAATGCAAACTTTAAACAGCTGTCATTTGTCGACGGAATGTCCGAATGGAGTGCAACAAGCAGTTTTGGAAGGAGCATTTTATTATCTTTTCCACCGTAATTCCTAATTTTAACCTCTGCTTAGTTCTGTCTCATGTTGCCAGAATAAGCCATGAGCAAGTTAAATCTGAATAAAATCTGGAACGCTGACTGAATCCAATGCTTTGCACGTTTAAGGCTTTGCATTCTCCCGACCAAAGAGACTTACTATCTCACGTGATTCGGGGCAAGCCTTATGCTAGCAACCCCCAGCTCCAGCATGGTCTGGTGTCTTTGTACCGTTCTCACCCATTGTGAACAAATGTATTGGTGCTGAGCGTCTCTTACGTCACTATGCAAGAGCTTGCCTCCAATCATGTGGTTAGCAGCAGTGTCTTGGGTCTAGAAAATTCAAAGTTAAAATGTACCAAGCATTCTGAGCAAGTCAGTGTACCAGACGTTTTTCAAATATGAATCCATAAGGGTATAGGTCACTCGCAAATAGCTTATTCCTCACATATTCACAAGAGTACCCCATGTTAAAAGCAAAAACATTCCCACAGCAATGGGCAGCCACACACTCTAAGGAATGCCAAGCTAAAAGTCGACTCGAAGATGCTCAAAGGTTAAAGTTAAGCAACTGGCTTTTTTTATTGGAAGTTGAGGGTCTATCTTTATTTCCTCCCTTCTCCCCTTCAATGATTTCCAGGTCTTTCACCAACGAGGCTGAAGTCAAAATGGTCTTGGCCCTTTACCGCAGGATCTGCAATGAAAAAATGATAGACAATGTCATGTTGTCCGAGCCACTGAGCATCGGGATCATTGCGCCTTACAAGGACCAGGCTAGCTACCTCAACCTTTGCCTAAAGAAGGCTGAAAAGGAACTGACTGCATCCTCGCCGGAAAAATTCAAGTAACATCCTTCTTGTGTCCTCACTTAGTTCAACCGTATATGTCCTCACTTCAAAAAACGTCTTTGAATTTAGGTCTGTCACCCACGTCCTCACTTGGTTAACATCTCTGCACTTGGGTCCTACTTTAAAAAGATATGTCCTAACATCAGTAACGTCTCTGAATTTAGGTCTACCCTTCATCCTCGCATGGGAAGCATCTTTGAACTTGGGCCCTCCCCACGTCCTCACTCGGTTAACATCTCCGCACTTGGGTCCTACTTACGTCCTCATTTCAGTAGCCTTCTTGAATTAGGTCTGCCAAGTCCAATCGTATATGTCCAATCGTATATGTCCTTACGTAAAAAAAAACGTCTTTGAATTTAGGTCTGCCCTTCATCCTTGCATGGGTAGCATCTCTGATCTTGGGTCCTCCTCACATCCTTACTTGGATAACATCTCCGCAATTGGGTCCTACTTACGTCCTCACTACAGTAACCTTCTTGAATTTAGGTCTGCACTTCATCCTTGCATGGGTAGCATCTCTGATCTTGGGTCCTCCTCACATCCTCACTTGGTTAACATCTCCGCAATTGGGTCCTACTTACGTCCTCACTTCAGTAATCTCTTTGAATTTAGGTCTGCCCTTCATCCTTGCATGTGTAGCATCTCTGATCTTGGGTCCTCCTCACATCCTCACTTGGTTAACATCTCCGCAATTGGGTCCCACTTATGTCCTCACTTCAGTAACCTTCTTGAATTTAGGTCTGCCCTTTATCCTTGCATGGGTGGCATCTCTGAACATGGGTCCTCCCCACATCCTCACTTGGTTAATATCACTGCACTTGGGTCCTTATGTCCTCACTTTAACGTCTCTGAATTTAGGTCTGCCCTTCATCCTTGCATGGGTAGCATCTCTGAACTTGGTCCCTCCCTGCGTCCTCACATGACCTACAACACCAGTTTTCCTTATATCTTCACTGTGGTAACATCTCTGCATTCCCCCCCCCCCCCATGTCCTCACTTTGGTAAACCTCACTTGGGTTGTCCCTGTGGCCTCAGTTAAACATCCCTGCGCTTGGGTAACATCTCTGATTGTCGATTCTCCTTTATGTCCTCACTTGGGTAACATATCCGCACTTGGGACCTCTGTTTTCACACAGGTTACCTCATGTAGAGATATCGACAATGGATCAATTTCAGGGTCGTGAGATGGAGGTGGTCATAGTCACCTGTGTCCGTACCCAGGCCTCTTCGTATTGTCTGGGGTAAGTATTAACAATGCAATTAAAATTGGCTTGAGGAGTCTGGGCACTATACTCTTAAGGATTCCTTGAAAACACTGTTTTGCTGAAAGGTCCCCCAGGTTAAGTAAGTTGTAAAATAAATGAAACGATTGCACAGGCTTGCTTTTGACATAATGTGAAAAATATCTTCCAGTGCGGGCTGTCGTACCCTCATTCTAGCTCCTTCATCCCACAGGGATGCAGAGTGAATGCTGAGGTTTTATGTATAGAATGCTGTCTAAAACACTGCCACTGTTCACATTTCGAAAAGTACATGCTACAAGCGTTTCTACGTTTTAAAATCTGCTTTCTCTTAATTTCAGGTCATCGTGTGGTCTTCCTTCCAACTTCCTGAACGATAGAAAGAAAATGAATTTTATCCTGACGAGAGCCCGTTACTGCCTGTACATAGTGGCCAATCTGTCATCCCTCCAGGTAAGTATCAGGGCGGCCTGAGGCGCTCTGCGATGTGCTTGCGCCGCGATGAAACCGTCGGCATCAAGCAGAAAAGTAATGCTTAGGTCACAAAACTGAGAAATCGTGTGATTATCATGGAACAAGCGGCATCTCGACACAAAATCATGGCAACCATGCTCATGTCACCTACGACCTGATAAGGATTCTGCGGCATAGACGTGATCGTGTGACGTCTTCAAAATGGCAGTGCGCCTGTTGAACGATCTTCCACGGCCGCATCTGTTCCTTCAACAGCTTTTGCCACATGCTGATTGGCTACACCATGAACTAAGATGATGCAGATGTGCTCACGACGTCGCAACTTCACACAGGTCGACTGCGATTGGTCCCCGCCTGTCGGGAACACGTTCCGTCGCGGCGCAGAAGTTGAAATTTTATACTCTTGCGACTTGAATTTTTTTTAGCGCATACTGATACCAATCGTCTTCATATCGTCGCAGTTACACTCAGGTTGCAAGAAATCAGATACGTTCTCGACGGTCTTAGCTCAGGCAGAGTATGATTCTGAAAAGTCAGTCACCAATTGTTCTGTGTTGTCCCAAGGACGACCTGAGGGCGGCCTAAAGTCTGCAGATTTTCTGCAGAATTCTGTAAAATGCTGCAGTTTGCCACGGAGTGGCCATTCCATAACCTGATTGCCATTCTGTTATGCCAGACTAAGTACATGAGGCGGGCAGAAGTTGAGAGTGTTTTTTGTTTTTCCAATTTCTCCTGTAAAGTAATGCATGGTTTGCAGACTCTCATGTCCAGATTCACTGGAGTGTTCTGGATCTGGATCAGGTGGACAAAAGCAGCCTGACTTCCATAGGTCCAGCTGAATCAGCAGATGGCAGTGTAATTACTTCAACAAGGGCCATTTGTTTAAAAATGCAAGTTCACCTCGACAAGCGGGCAGGCAGGTTTGGAAAATATGAAACCTTGTCAACTATTCCGTATGTAAATTTGGCAGACTCTGCTTGTGGTCTGTTTGTTGAAGCCTACCCTTAGTCAATGAAGAGACGTGCGCTCAGCACCTATCCCAACCTCTTTTATCTTTACAACTTGTTCTACAACTCACTTTAATAAAAAAAATGCACCATTTTGCTCCGATTTGAACAGAACAGCAAGGATTGGGGGGCCTTGGCAGCCGACGCCGAAAGGCGGCGACGCGTCATCCATGTCCCCGTTAACGACTTCAAGAGGGCAGCCGCCCGCTGCAAGAAAGTACCCGGCCATCCGCCTCCCGGCAAAGCCCAGTCCAACAGGGCAGCAGCCCAGGAGCCTCAGTCCCTAGCCCAAACAAGCTCTGGAAGTCCAAAACAGACGGTAGAGGGTGGCCTCGCACCTGGAAGCGGGAGTACCGGCAGCAGATCCACAGGGTTGCCAAGTAAAGCCAAACATAAGTCTTCATCCTTATCTAAACAAGGATCGCAAAACAATGGGTTCACAGGTAAAGCAATCTTATCATTTGCCTGGAGCCGAACGGCCAGCATATTGTCATCTGACTGATTGACTCACTGACTGACTGATTGACTGTTTCAAGGAAACCGTTCCTGTATTCAGTGTGATTTTTCAAGAGCAAGGACTTCGAAAATATGACTTTGCGAGGACGCATGCAAGTGACAGTTGTTTTACAGAATCCTCAAAGTAGACCTTTGTGTGCCATTTACTTGTACGTGTATTTTCTCTCTGTATCAATTCTAGGATTTTCCCGGTCCTTTTATTCTAATTTAATATCCATATTCATAAAAATGTGTCAAGGAAGTGTATTGTTAAAATTTGATCATAATTTTTTTTTTTCAATATTTAGAAAGGACAGAGGTCCCACAGGTCCCTGGATTAACACCGGCGATAAATTCTCACCGCTCAGCAAAAGCCAAGAAAACCACCTCTTCGTCCCAAAAGAAGGTGACTTTTCAAGAGGCCCTCGACAAAGGCTCATCACGTAGCGGGGCATCGTTGTTGCCGAAACCAATGCAACGAAACCCAGATATCCAATCGCAGGGGAAGCAGCAGAACCCATACAGACTGGCTATCAGGTCCCCGCCTAAAAGCCCAGGGACCAGGAGGTCTCCTAAACTGTCTCCTAAACTGCCTCACTACCGACAGATCCTGAAGAAGCACCTCTTCATGGCAGGGGGAAGCCCTCACAGGCATCCAGGACGAAGCAGCCCCGCAAGGATCAGGGAGAATAAGTTGACCCAGTCGAGAGTTCAGGGGTTGTCATCCACGAGTGCCAGACTCCCAAGAACCCAGGAAGCTTCTCTTGGAAGCCCGTCAACCAGCTTGAGTGCTCAAGCTGGTCCCGTCCCAGACCCTCTCTCATCTGTGCATGCTGGGCCTGGATATGTGAGGTTGGCCACCACACCAACCAAGAACCACCTCCCAGTGAGGATGGCAAATCAGTCCCAGAAGGAGCCTGGTCACATCTCAGGGGATAGGACCTCTGTCGGAATGACAAACTCCAGGCAAGAAGGAATTCCTGTACTGAGGGAGAGTGGAGTACATCCTGCACAGCATGATGTCCACTCCAAGCTTGTGGAGGACCCACAACCAGCTTCACTCGCAGAGACACGTAGCCCAGCGAAAGGACTCCCAGTCCAGCAGCCCAACAGGAACCTGACCGGTACAAGCTCAGCGGAGCAGCTGCAGATTACCATAGAAAACCTCAAGAGCCGTGTTGGGAAGGAGAAGAGAACTATGCCCCTCTCTGGTCTCCAACCGGATCCCAAACTGGCCCGGCGGCGCCGGAGGTGGGGTTCAGGAGCAACAGCTCCCACAGCCACAGCTCCCACAGCCACAGCTCTCGATGCAGAACCCGGAAACTCTAACGGATCTGATGGCCCTACCCGTATTCCGTATTTACCCAGTAGTGACTCAGATTAACCTGTACTGGGCTCCTACTGCTGCACATTTTCAGGCAAGCCACACAGCTCATTTTCCGAGACACCACACTGCCAAAAAAAAAAATTATCCTACAGGAATATATTGTTTATCGCCAAAACACTTTGGCAGTCCTACAGCCACAGATAGTAAAGGTCTTGGCAGTTTTGGGGTGAAACGGTGCCATTGATAACATTTTGCGTGCAGTGTGCCAATAAGCTTGACATCAGTTGCGCGTGGTTTTGTTTTTCATTAAATGAAGAATTGTAATTAGTCTGCCAAAGTTAACATCATCTGTTCCTCCCCAATCCTTCGAAAAAAACAATGTTGCAGGTTCAGATGGAGCCCAGCCGCTATTGACCTATCGCGGTAGAATCGTGTCAACGCAGCTTGTGAAATACTGTCCATTCACGTGATATTGAAATGGATGCGGAACGCACAACATCTGAGGCAAACAAAATTTTACATGCTAAATTCCATTAGGTTGCCGAAGGGGCGTGGCAAACGGTGATAGGTCCATTACTGCCTGCTTTTGCTTTCCTCCACAGTGTTGGATTTTAAGGGATTCAGGCAACTTTCTGTCTGCTTTCAGTCCAAGTTTTTGCTTGTCTGTTTTTTTTTACCAGAATATGCCATCAGGTTGGCGCAGCGTTACTTTCTTGGCCTTCCACCGCCGTGGCCCTGGTTCAAATCCAGCCCAGGCCAACATGTGGATTGGGTTTTCAGTCCCTGCCTGATTCCGTGGGTTTTCCCTAGAATATCATTCTGGGGTTTTCCTCCCACATCTTCTACCAACCAGGGACCCCACTGGAAATAAGCCGAAAGACTTTCATGGGCTATCCCGACCAATTGTCGAAGCCACATTTTTTTTAGTGAATGAAAGGTGCTGTAATGTCGGCATTTTCTGGGTAAAACCAACGTTGTAGTCGAGTACATTTCCTTGAGTACAAGTACTAGTACTTTGCCATGAGTATAAGTATGAGTGCGAGAACAAGGCAATTTTTTTTTCTTGCAAGCACGGGTACGAGTACATTTTCATGAGTACAAGTACGAGTACTCAAAAATGTACTCGAGTACGAGAACTACACCAACGGTACAAACACAGCAGAAAGTCATGTCCACAGAAGCAGTTTAGTATATTTAAAGTTAGAGTAGATCACTTGCAGCTTTCCAAAAAGTAACTGACAAAACTGACGAAATTATTGTTGGAAACTTTACTTGGTTTAGAGATAGTAATGGCACTAAACTCCCTGTGAAATTATTCCTTCTGGCATACTGTCAATTTTGACAAAAACATTAAAAGGCGGCCAATTTCAAAGATGCATGAAGTGACGCATTTTTGGAAATTTCCGTTAGTAGGTGTTTTGTAATTCAGCGAATCCGTGAATGGGTGCGCGCAAGCGTTGACACTACGCACATGTGCGCGTGGTTGCTATTATTCTTCAGTTCAGTGCGTGACGTCACTTAGCTGCAATCAGCTGAATGAGAACGTGTCCCGGATGTTGATTTCAGGCGCAATTCAAAAATTTTGATTTGAAAATGAGATCCTAGAATATTGTTTTCTCAGAATATACAGCATCCTCGGAGCTAAAATGTCATCAGGTTAGTTGTTAAGCATCCTTCTTTAGATTTTGAGCTTTTTTTGTAGCTTCAAACGGAAACAAAACTGCACAAATGACAAGTGATTTACCCTACCTTATAACTTAAATCATCCGTAATCTTCCATTCACTTCCATTTACATCACCGAAATTGCATTGCTACAGCGTTGTCATGGTGTCAAAGTCAAACTATATGGCATTTCAGTGTCTTTCAAGACCTAATTTTCTGCATTTGCAGAAATGTAGAAGTTAATTACTTGATCACTATGACAGTAAAATGGTACTTAAAATAAATAGCAACGGATCCTACAAATGGTTTGTATAAGCATTGTTTTGTAGACTGATCAGTGATAGTACTGGTCTATCAACAGCGGTTAAGAACACCGGACTCGTGCTCTGGTGTTTCAGAGGCTAGTGGCGTGGGTTCGAGCCCGGGCCCGGACACTTGTGCCCTTAAGCAAGGCACTTAACCATTATTGCTTCGTCCTTCGGATGGGACGTTAAGCCGGAGGTCCCGTGTGTTGTATAAAGCCTAACGCACGTAAAAGAATCCAGTAACACTTATCGCTAAAAGAAGGGGTTTGCCCTGGTGTTTCTGGCCTCCTAGTTATACTCCCTTGTGGAAGTCCTTAGGAGAAGAACCAACCAAGTAACATAAAATTGGAACCAAGAAATTGTTGTAGACAAATTAGCAAAGTTTTGTGTTTGTGGTAGCAGTGTTTTAATAGGTTTGTGTAATTCTTGTGAAGAATTGTCCACACAAATGCGAGAAAATGAAGTACTTGGCTGAACTGCATTTTGCATACATGATTTTATTTTGTTTTATTGGCAAAAGTTGACCTCGGAATTCAAATCTTACAATTTTACAAATCAATTATGTATTAAGAAATAATTGTCTATTAACCATCCTTCAAAGTTGGGTACAATATGAAAGTAAAGACAATGCTGCAGTACCTGTTACTAAGATGGAGATACATGTTGATGTTTTACAACTGAAGAAAAAAAAAGTTGGTTAAAAAGAGCTGCTTTGTATGAAGAAAGTACATATGAAAAAAATTAACATTTTCAAGGTTAACACAATTTATACAACTTTAATTTATTTTTTTTATCTCGTTATAAATGATTGTTTCAGTTTTGTAATAATCGGTCCATTGTAAATAAATTTATAGAAAAAAATATGCAATGCAACACAAACGCAAAAAGTCAGCTTTTTTTGTAAAGTTTATTTAAATCATTCAAATTAGTAAAACAAAAGTGTAGAATTCATCATTGTCGTAATGATTAGATTTGTAATATTTGTATCCTTTTATGGAGTCTTTTTTTTATTTAAGAGTCAAAAGAAACAATGCAGTTTTCGTTACAAGTTGCACGTGTATACAGCAAAAACAATTTTGTAATTTTTCAATTTTTTTAAAAGCAGATGTCTTTAATATGTTCTGGTGCTTTGGTAAAAAAAAATTCCTACTTTTTGTTATTACTGAAGCGGAATGTTTTATGGCATCATATAAGTCCAAAATTCATTTTAAGTATTCAGACTATGCAAAGGAAATAAAACGCTACAAATTTTGTACAGAAAAAAGTAACAATGTTGTCGTCTGTATACTTATTTATAAGATATAAATTTCATTCTGAATTTATTAACATGCCGATCACCTTGTTGTAAACCTTCCATATTAATCATCGGAATATAAAGCTATTACATTTAGTACCCATCTAATCTTCCCAAAAAAATGCCTACTTTTTCCTCAATTAGTCTGGGAGTTGTACCAATCTCTAGTTTTTAGTTTAAAAAACGGTTGGGGTCAGGGTGCAAGTATTCTGTGCAGCTTGCCCAACTGCCATGGTGCAAAATGGTTGTCCTGTTCTGTTATCTACTACGTTTAAAAAAAAAATGTTCTACTTTTGATCCTAAATAACTTTCTTGTTTATACAATGGAGTAAAATCAAAATTTCAGATCATGTAAACAAGGCATGACAAATTGTATGGAGCGAGTTTCATTAAGAATTAAGAAATAAACAAAATATGCTTGATGATAAGCTAAAGTGATGCGTTAAAAAAGCTCAAAATGGCTACCGTACGTGTTGCCATCAACTTTTCTAGCGACCCCAAAACTTGTGTACAAGCAGAATGTTACTTTCGCAAAACTTTCTAACGAGTTTGCTACAAAAGATAGAAAATGTGCCCACATTGAAAGAATACAAAAAATATTAAACAATCGGGCACTTCTGAGTTCGTTTGTAATGCATTACGCTTGTTGGTTCCATTCCAAAATACACTTGATTTTTGCAAACACTTTTTGCCTAAGGTTTTGAAAGACGGTCACTGATACAACGTTCGATGACACTTCCTATTTTAATTTTTTTTAGTCGAGAAATATCCACAAGTGAGCACAAAAGCTAAAGGCATTACAAATTCTTTCAGTTTCAATTTATAAAACATGATCATGCAATTGCCTGCAGTACAAAAAGATACAAAGTGGAAGAAAAATGCCATTTTGAATAAACAATTTAATACGGGATAAATACCGTTTCGTCACCTACTGGAATACCGCCCTCTCCTGGTTGACCCAAGTCAGTGTGGATGGCTGTTCTACAGTATGTCCCCCAAAACGTGTCCGTCTAAATATTTTGAAATATTTAATTGTGCAGATACTCCTTATCCTTGGCTTAAACCCCTATGAGTGTTATTAAATTCCCTCACGCATAACTGCACAATGGTCAACTGATCACAACAACATTTTTGGACACTGTGACCAAGTTCCTTGCCTTAATCAATTTCAGTGCTGTGTTATGTAAACTGTGTAAAATCCTGCATGTTGTGTATAAATTGTCAACATTTACTTCGTGGTTTAATGTTATTTCAAAAATATTTAGACGAACACTTTTTCAGGGACATACTGAATACATGTAGTAAAGCTCAATTGAAAAACTGAACAAATGTAGCTTAGAAAAAGCTATCATGCTGTGTATAATGCAACTTGCTCATTTTTGTAAACAATGGATATATTGCAGTTTAGAAATAAACTCTTCCATTACAATGTGAAGAATTTACAAAAATTTGATTTTGCTTGGTGGGAAGCATTGAAAGATGAACACTGTTAGAAGTTCTAGTTCCTCAGATAACAGCCACTGTTTTGGGGGGTCGTTTTTTTGCCAAGTAGTGATGGCTTTTTTGTCTTCTTGGTTAGTTTCCCTCAGGATTTATAAGATGACTCGATACAGACGATATAAACTTGACCTTACTGATGAGCGGATGTCTTACTGGAGTGGAATCGAAGGTAGTCGGTTTTCATGTCGTCTCTATTGGAGCTCCACATAGTTAGCTGGGAACAGTCCTCTACTGCCATGACACGTTCCCATCCACCAACCGCTATCGATCTGTCAAGGTCAAAGGTTAAAGTAAAATGCCGTGTCTAAATTACTTAACCATGGCTTGAATTTACATACTATGGCTTTTATTTTGATTTTTTTACTTTTCCAAACTGCACCTTTAAACTATCGTAGAAAGTGCTTTGTCTACAGTAATCTATAATATTCATGCATTGTATATTTTCGTTAAAGGGAATATACAACATTTGCAAACATCAAAACAATCGTCTTAATCGTCACGAAATACCTTACTGGACAGTTAGTGAATGAAAGTCTAAAGCATCCTGGTACAATCATGGCTCCTGGTATGCTGACATTTTCAAGAAAACTATTTTTGTATCATTTCCAACGCTGGTTGCCTGACCAGCAGTATTTGAAAATAGCAAGTTTTTTCAAATACTGCTCCCAATTTATCATATTTAGTTAGTCCGCATTTTGTTTGCAATTGATTACACACCTATGAGCGGGTCAAAGTCAGCTATACTGGTTCCCTGACCTTACAATTCCCCGATGTTTATAAATTGCTCCTTTTTATCTGAAGTGGGGTCAGGGAACTAGACTACAAGAACATGATTGTTTTTCTTCGTTTTTCCAGCATCTACGAACCAACAACTTCAAAAAAATCAGTGTAGCAGTATTTGCTATAAAATACTAACCCCCAGATCCATCCATTTCTGAAAATTACAGCAAAAGCAAAAGCTGTATACTCCCTTTAAGTCATATTAAGGCCTTAAAACTATTTTGGATCTTTCTGTTTTAGCCTCTGAAGAAGAACTTGCTAAGTTCGCAACGTCAGGCCACATTAATTTTTAGATTTATATATTTCAGGTCCATCCAGTCAGTAAGCAGTGTGCAGCAGTCTTACTTTTTTTCATATTTTGGATCTTAGTACCAACTTAACCTACTTTAAACTACAGTAGATAGTATTTGAGCTGTAGTCAAACCACAGATGGAGCTGTCATTGTAGCCTTTATTGTTTACTCTCACAGTGCTAGGGATAAGAGTTCCTTGCCCCCATACCTCTGCACTTAGTGTTTATGCAAATATCTCTAAGTATGAAAGACACACTGCATTAGTATTCTCAATCTTGAAATGCCTTATGCATTTTTTGACCCAGCCCTATAAAACCCCTCTGAAAGCCCCAGTGGGGCGTGGACTTGCGACTGTGGCATGGTGGTGTGCATTTTAGTTCCATATTTTCCAAGTTCTTTTACATGTATGGCTGAAGGTGGAAGCCTAGTTTAGTTTGGCCTTGTTTATATGTGCAAGACACTGTGTTCTTTACTTTGCATCATCATCACCACCGTTACTTCACACTAAAGGGTTCAGTGGTCTGCATAGTCTTGTGAGTACATTTCCAATTTTCTTTACCCTTGCACCCATAGTAGTTTTTACCATGCCTACTGGTAGACTACGGTGTCTCATCATAGTGGTCCCCAATTCACATTATTTGCTCTGTCAGCAACTAGCCATTTTAGAATATTATACTATTCATATTCATTCGCATGCCCGCCCGCCCGCCCGCCCGCCCCTGGTTAATTACTTTGTAAGCGAAGAAGCCTTAATTAAATTTCAAGTATTTGTATTTGCTGTTATGTTCAAGCAAACTCGTATCCTCGGTCCTGATTGGTCGATCCATAGCAAAAATAAAGTGTGATATTATACCGTCTCGCATGGTCCATTTCGCACTCCGCGTCTGGCGCCATTCCAAGATGCGAGCGACATTCCAGCTGCATGCGCCTAACCGCTAAAAGTGTGCTTGTTCCAACACACATGTGCACTTTACTGGGCGTCAATTTTACTTGAAGATAAATTCATTATCATGCTCGTGAAACAATGAAAATGTAGTGCGTCTGTGTCCCACACAGAAGCACTACATTATTCCGTGTTCCACTCGCGCTCGCGGATAATCTATAATATGTGATGCGATCAGGCTAAATGAGTTGTTTGTCGGGAATTTTTATTTGGAGATACAGGCCAAAATAGGGCCACTTCATCACATCACTTCATCACATCTCTTGGTGTCTTGACTTCCATAATTTTTGAACTAAAGATGGTACCAGCATGCGGTTTTCACAGTAGTAATGCTGAGATTATGCTCTGTTCAAAGCTGTAATAAACAATTTTTGACCAGGGTCGACAAACGACTCATGTAGCTTGATCGCATCACATATTCTGTTATTTTGTCACATTGGCCGTGAACAACGCACATGCATTTTAGACTTTATAGATCCCCCCCCCTTCCCCAACTGGCAGTTGGCCTCTTTGTGTTGCCGTTACAGAACCCTTTACGTTTCAGAAGCTTTGGAGGGTATTGTCTGTCAGTGTCCTGGCATGTATCTATAGTCTAGCCTCTTACCTGTTCTATGTCGGTGATGACATCACCGGGGTCAAAAGACACCTCATCTTCCCCAGCTGTCGGCAACAAACAAAACATCAATTATTGGGTGAGACTCGGTAGAACATAAACACAGAGCATCACATGGGTCTATCCATGACACATTTATGGATTCCCACAATAAGAAGGCACGCCTTAAAACTACCCATTGCATTCTTTCATATAAACCTTTGACCCAAAATATTTAAAAAAAACAAGTGCCAGCACACAATAAGCTTTGGCCGTCTTGCATTAAAGTCTCGCGTAACGTTGACCGCAGATTGTGCGTACAAGACCAGGCCGCCATCCCACGCGAAAATCACGCTGCGCTAGTGTGTCCCCAAAAATTGACCAAAATGAACCCGCTAAGCTTCCCATACAATATAGCGTGCCATATAGCACACTATATAGCACGTGACTATAACATTACTGCACATATTTTGCCTCCATATACAAAATTTTGATAAACAACTTTACAAATTGTTACAAACAACTTTTGTTTAAATATTGAAGTTATTTGTTTGCTTTTTTGTTGAAAATTAAAATTTCATAGTTATATTTTATGGGAAACTTAGGGGGCTCATTTTTGGTCAATTTTCCGGGAACAGACCGACCGACCGACTACAAAGTGACATGTAGAAGCTCCTGCCAGGGCTTAAAAAAAATAAAATCTTCTCATTTCTGCTTTCTTAAAATCTAAAAAACTGGAAAAATCCCCCCAAAAATCCACCCCTGCCCCATGAAACTTGAAGTGCAAAGAATAATATGCCAATGGTTTCCTAAACAGTGGATGATTTGAAGGAATCGGAAAGGTTCTCAGCAAAATAAACTTGGAAGTGAAGGCATGCTGAGTTGCTTATACCAGATATTGATAAGAAGCTGACTTACTGGCTTGGTAATCATAGGCGGCCACGGCCGTCATTCCACCTCCCCCTTCCGTGTTCTCGCGGCCTGCTCCGGGCATGTCCTCATACAACGCATCTTCCACTGGAGGGGGCTGTTCGGGTTCCACTGCTGGAAAAAACAGAATGGGGACTTGAGATAGATCACAAGATACTCATAAATACGCCACTAATACATCACATGTACTGCTGGGCGAGTTCCCTCGAGTACTCATGAGTAGTTAATGCTACTTGTTGATCTTCAATTGAGTTCCTGTCTATTGGAGTACTCCTCATGGCATGAGCAGAAGCAATTTGATTTTAGAAGTATTGACTTTATTCAGTGCAGACTGTGTTCTGAATGCAAATGCAAATTTGCTTGTTATTTTGGACAAATTCACATCATAATAACATCATAATATCATTTTTCTGCTTTTGTGGGAATTCAGTTAACTTCTCACGAGTACACTCACCCAGGCCTAATCACAGGTAAATCACAAATCAACTCGCGATTCCAGTCAAGAGTAACATGGCGAATATTAATAAAAGAATGCCTCTGTCACAGTTCATTTGAATGAAATGAATAGCCTGTGAAAGGACGTGGATCTCAGTGACTTGTGCCTGATGAGTGACTGACTTGCGATTGACTTGTGATTGGCCTGCAATTGACCTGCGAATGACTTGGGATTGACTAAAGAGTACATCAACTACCGGTACAACACTGATCAGGACGCCAAAACTCTTACCAATTCATACCACATAGTGCCACACATGGTAGGACCCTTGCACCCATGGGCGTTGCCAGGATTTTTTCTAGAGGGGGGCAAAGCACGTCACTTTTTCGAGGGTGGGCGGGGGACATTTGCCCACCCCACCCATTAAATTAACAGCATTATGACTTCGCACCTCTTTTTCTCTTTCGTTTTTTCTACTCCTTTTTCTTGTTGTTGCTTTTCCAGGGGGGGGGGGGACCTGCGCCCCCCCCCCCCCCCACCACGCCCATGCTTACACCACATTATGCCACAGTTGTAGTTAGGTCATGTGATGGTAATATAGTAGATATATGTTTTGCACATGGGCAAAAACACATGCTCCCCGCCAATGCCACAGTGTATTTTCCTGCCGCCCGCATCATATGCACGGTGCATGCATGCCAGACTTTTATGCACGCATGTCGGCTTAATGGTTTGGTCTATTGTTAACCATGCATCAGACACGTTATGCCGTGCAAAAAACTAAATTAAATAAAATAACACATGCACATGGCAAGTGTGATCGAAGACCAGTTAGACAATATCCTTAACAAATGTCTGAAAAGAGCACCACGGATGATCCTTAAAAGCACCCCTCACCCCTTCAGCAGATATGTTTGCTAGACTACACTGGGTCCCATTTTCTGAAAGAGTGAAGTCTAAAAAGTGAAGTCCATTCTTGTTTTCAAAAGTCTAAACAAAATCACTCCTTTTCTTCATGAGAAATCTTACACAGATTCGTGAATCAAGACGATCAACAAACAAGGCATTGAAAGTCCCTTTCGCAAAAAAGGAATGCTATGCCACAAGTTTCGCGGCGAGTGGTGCGAATATATGGAATAATTTGCATGAACAACTGAGAACTATATGATTCCTTAGGTAAATCAGAATTATTCCAAGCCATCAGTTAGTGATATTTCTGCCGATAACACACTGGTTCAAAATGTGCCAATCTAGGAGTTATATGCTTGGTTGCCATGATATAAATTTAGAGCCGGATCGGTAATTTCCCCTTTTGTTTTTTTTTCCCAAAGGGTTTTTGCAGGGTTTTCGCCCATCCTATGATCAGTAATTCATGCCTTATACTAATGAACTTCTGTTGTGTATAGAGCTTTATTTCTGTAATATTTCTGAAATACTTGTATTTGTAAATATTTATGTTCGTTGTATGTTTCACCAATGCACTTTTTCTTATGACATTAACTTTGCTTAACATTATTTAATAATTTGAAATGTATGCAGGGCCCCAATGGAAACCAGTTTTTAAACTGTTTGAACATACCCCAGATAAAGAAATGGAATAAACATAATAAACCGTTATTCACTTTTTGATAAAGGTCTCTCCAACAATGGTTAACCGTAGGTCTTGTTTGCGCCGATTGGGCCAAATCGCAGGTTAATTCTTCGGCCGGGACCTAAGTTAAAAACAAAAAAGCATGCTACCTGCGCGAGGGATTTCTTCATACGTATCAGCAGGCTGGGGCTCATGCTCGGTTTCAAATGCTTCCTGATACATGTCGTCAGCGGCCGGCGCGGGCTCGCTACTGCTACCACCTTCGTTAATGTAGTCCGGGTCGGCGTACATCTCCGATCCCTCGGGCTCAGGCTCGGGCTCGGGTTGCTTGCGTGGAGCTGCCTGCCGCGGAGGGGGTAGCTCAGGGGGCTGGTCTTCTTGCTCCTCCTGTCTGGGTTCTGGCTCCTCGGGTTCGTCGGGCATATTCCTGTGATGCTCTTTGAGAATGCGCTGTCGTTCCTACCAAACAACAACACCACCGTATGGTCTATTCAAGCTTTAAAAATGTTAAAGGTTCATTATCTCTAGTTTTCTTAACTGCATTTAAAGGTAAGACATCTGCACTAGAAAGCAGGAGGTCGTGGGTTCGAGTCCCACCCGAGTGATTTTTTCCAACTTTCACTCGGGAGGTTACACACTGAGTATAGTGTTTATACGTCGGTGAAGGGTAAAACCTAATTTGATTTACATCACCCCGACGCAAAATATTCCATCTTATGAATGGCCTATGTAATGTAATGGTTTTAATGCAATCCTTGAAAATTCACTTTTGTGTCCCATTTTAGCTGATTTTCAATCAATATTTTGCCATTTTTAAGAGATTTTGGTGGCTCTTTATTTTGAATGCCCTTGACCAAGGCTACAACATGCCAAGATAACGAGACAAAACATACTTGCTAAAACTATTCCACATTTTTTTTCAAAACAAAGTTCGGAATCAGTTCCAATTGCTGTACCTCTTCGACTCTCTTCGACTCTTCCTTCTCTCGCTGTTCTCGCTCTTGTCTCCGTTGCCTCTCCGCTTCTGCTTTCTTCCGTTGCTCCTGAAAAGAGAAATCAAGCCACACCACAAATGAGGTCATTTATGGCATAACAAGGAATCAAGCTCTACCCTCCGCCATCCATGCATGATAACGTCGTGTCCTTGGTGCACTGACGCAACGATAATTACGACGGCTTCGATGTGTTCTGTGTAAATCGGAGGATAGCCCATTTCTCAGTTCACACTTTAGCAGCCACCGCATGGGAGAAGAGTTTGTCCTCGATGTCTTACACCCAGTATACTGCCAGGCTTATCCTGTCTTGATGAAAACTGCACCAACACCCCTGCTCAGGGGTCACACGAGCAGGGTATACACATGCATCCTTCCTGCCAGAAACACCGGGGCGAGCCCCTTCTCTTAGCGATAAGCGTTACTGGGTTCTTTTATGTGCGTTAGGCCTTATACAACACACGGGACCTACGGCTTTGCGTCCCATCCGAAGGACAAAGCAAGAATGGTTAAGTGCCTTGCTTAAGGGCACAAGTGTCCGCGCCCGGGCTCGAACCCACGTCACTGTTGCCTCTGAAACACCAGAACATGAGTCCGGTGCTCTTAACCGCTAGGCCATGACACTCCACTAACAACATGGAGTATGAGTTATCAACACGAAAGATCTTCTCTGTTGCTTAACCCTAACCCCCCAGGGTGCGTATGTTTGTCACGACCCTGCCAAACATAGCAACATGCAACACTTTACTAAGTGACAAGCCTGCCAAATGTAGCAAGATCCATCAGGGGAAAAGTCTCAAGGCCACACTGCCTCAGAGTCCGTGGTCACCGCACGCAGCAGGATACAACTGTGGCATTGTTCAATGGGGCATTAGCTCTCTATTGTTTCAGAGCTGGCCATTCGTGCACTGGTGTTGGTAGCTGAACGCATCAAAGTGCACTTCTTTTCCACATGATGCGCTGTGTTGCGTCTGGTAGGGTTAGGGTCAAGACAGACGGAAGCTATTGTTACCGACTACCTCACAGCCGACTAAATTTGCAAATCTGACAAGGAGGGTTTTCTAACTTCATCTCCAGCTTCGGCTATTGAGATTGAAGACACAGCGGAAAACACAGCATTTTCTTATATCTTTCTTTATTTTTTTTCTTTAATTTGACTCACCTCCTCCTCTGCTTTGGCCATATTTTCAAACTTCGCTCTCAAGTTGCCCGAGCCACCAGAACCTGTTAAGGAAAGAAATATTGAAAGCTTACTCCACATCGTTTACTACCTAGCGCAAAACCACTTGCCATGATTAAAGCTACACAAAAATACTGTATTCTCGCAAAAACTGTGCTGGATTATTCCGCCAACTAGCCTTTACTAGGAGCCACTCTCGTGCGCTGATACGAAGACGAAACTCCCTGCATGTCGTCGAATGAGCCCGCTGACTTGTCCTGATGATCCGCATCCACGCCAAACTTGCCCCCGAAGCCCTTCGACATGTCTTTCTGGGATGGGTGCAGCTCAACTTTGCTAGACTCGTCAAAACCCAGGGCCGCTTTGTCTTGCCTGTCGGCCTGAACGCCATACTTTCCACCAAAGCCAGCCGAGTAATCTGTACGACATTTCAAAAAATAAGAGATCAGCAAAATGCATTGCAACTCTTTTGAGTAAAGCGAGCAAATATTTCTGGTTGAAATACCACCTCCTCATCAATGCCGAAGTGTATAGTTTCGTTGTGTCTTATTGTCCCTTTCTTTACATTGTTTATTGACTTGGCTCTCCCCAGAACCCAATTGTTTGCTCAGTCATGCAAAATTCACAAGAGCATGAAAAATGGACCACAAATAGAAAACTCACTTTTTTTCAACCTAGTTTTTCAATATCAAGAAGTGACTGAAAACAAAAGTGTTGTGCATGAAGTTTGTTCCCTGAACTTTAATCTTTCATGCGAGGTAAAAATCAGTGTTGTTGTACTCGTACTCGTACTCAGTACTCGTAATCATACTCAAATGTCAAGGTACTCGTACTCGAAATGACGGTACTCGTACTCGGGCAGCAAAGTACTCATACTCGACATGTCGAAATTGTACTCCAACATCAAAGTACTGGTACTCGAAAAGCAGTACTCGAAAAAAAATGGTATAGCTTGATTTAATACCACGGCCTTATTTTATTATCGATACTTTCAGTTGAAAATAGTTGATTGGCTTGCAGAGAAATCAAAGTTTCCTGATTTTTCTCTGTGCACGTCCGGGCAAACACATTTAACAGCTAGCCGTGAGTGGGTCTGTATATCGGTCTGACTGGGCCTGGGCCAATTACACACAATGAACCATTTGCCGTATGGCCGTATTTGGAAATGGCAGTACTGGTACTGGTACTCGTACTCAGAATACAAGTACTCGTACTCGTATTCGCACTCAGAAGTCCAATTTTTCTTTGTCTTGTTTGTCAGTCTGAAGTACTCATACTCGGAGACCTGAACTTGTACTTGGAATTACTAGTACTCATACTCGTACTCGGTAACCTAAGTACTCGGCAGTACTCGGTACTCGGGAAAAAAAGTACCCAACTACAACACTGGTAAAAATTAAGGCAAAATATGCAAGAATAAAAAAGTAGTATGTGTATGCCTGTTTTTTTTTAATCCAATCCCATTTATGAAACTGCAAGTCATTCCACCACATGACCAAATGGCACTCCATACCTCCACTTTTTTTGTGGATACTTCACAAAATGCCATCTCTCCTGGTTTTTTGCACCAAGTCCATAATAGCTATTGGATCCTACACTAACTCTATTTCACAGAAAATAGAAAAGACGATATCAATTCTCACCTTTTTGTGAAGCATGTTTTTCCGTCTTTCCCTCATACTCGTACCCTACAGCGGCCTGGTCTACTCTGTCTTTCTGCACACCATACTTCCCGCCAAATCCTTTGGAATAATCTTTTGTTGAAAAAAAAAAAATCAACTAAAGACCTCTTAAAGTAAGGTTGCAAATGTCTTTGCTGTGTTCCACTTGTGGAAACGTTACCAATTTTGTCAATGCTGAAATAATTTTCAAAATTTTTCCTTGTTCCATTATCAAAATATTCATTTACCCTCCTTTGCAAACATACATTCTGTGCCAAGTTGTCCTTTCAGTCAAAATCAATCAAGTGACTGTTTTCAACCGTTAAGAGCTCCCAGCCTACATAAAGCAGGATTGACTGGCTGTGACTGTTTATGTAACTTGATACAGCTATGCTTTGACTGTAGGTGAATGATAAGCCAGCTGTGCCTACCACTTGCCTGTTTTTGTCTGTTGACTGAATTTGACTAGTCACAGTGTTTGCTTAAAATATAATCTGACTGTTGGTGACTAGCCTGTGTAAAAGGCATGGCAGGGGAAGAGGATTGATTTTTTTTTACTGTCTGTGACTGTTCAGACAGCAGGAGGGTTAATATGATAAAATATTTACTAGTCATCAGATCCGGTCTATTTCCAAAAGTGCTTATAATACCTCAATGGAGTTGGGGTACAAGACCAAGATGGCTGCAGTCAGTCAGTCAATAATCTTACTTTTATTAATATTGAATAAATGCCTGATTATTTACCTTTCTGGGATTCGTGCTTGGACAAGCCCTGTTGGTACTCCCATCCAACCGCCGACTGCAAAGTAACACGTTTGTAATTAACGTTACATTGTTAAGGAGAACAAGTTTTGAAATGCATGACTGATTGCTTCAATCAGTCTTGGAAATTTCACGTAAAATGTGACCTGTTCTGTCAAAAGCAGATGCTTCTGGGCAGAGGTTGAAATTAAGATAGGGCCAAAAAAACGCTGTCGGGGTGATTTTTTTTTATTTTCTAATTTTTGCATATTTGTAATCCTGAACATGTCTAAAATATAATATAAAAGTTTGAAACCCTAATTTGAACTCTTAATATAGTATTTTTGATGATTTGTTAAGGCATATCAGTTAAAGAAATGTCTGTTTTGTGACATTCGTGGCCATTTTCTCCGTTTTCTACTTTTGGACACAATGAACTTAAAAATAGCATAACTTTGCCCAGGAATGACCGGTTTCAAAAAATAAACCACCTATTCAAAGGAAAATTTACATATTTTAACAATATGCAAATATCTCATTTTTGACCTTATGCCCAGAAAAGTCTGATTTTGACAGAACAGGTCACAAATGTTCATGGACATTTTTGCTTGATCACAATTAAGAGTACTTTGCAATAAGGGGGATCTTTTAAAATAATCTTTTCATAAAATTTTACTTTGTCTTGTTTGTCGGTCTGAACTCCATACTTTCCACCAAAGCCAGCAGAATAATCTGTGGATACCAATAAGGAAAAAAAAAAATGATACGTTGAAAAGCAAGTACAATTAAGGTGATTTACGAAACAGTGGTTTTGTCTGCAGCGTTGGTTTCAGGCTCAAGCTTCATGAATTTAGGACCCTGCCTGGGGAGATGAAGCCAAAGCCCAGCAAAAAAAAAAGTTTGGAAAATGCCCTTTGAGAATCTTGTGAGCCTCCGACTGCATAAACAGAGCAGTGCGAAAATAAAAATCAACCAATCAAGCTTAGGTGAAAATGAAAACTTTTTTTTCATTAATTAACGAAACTCAAGTACTGCCTGGTTTTTAACCAGCTCCTCCATACCTTTCTGTGAGGCGTGCTTTTCGGTTTTCCCGGCGTAATCAAATCCCACGGCCGACTTGTCCACGCGCTCTTTCTGCACGCCGTACTTGCCGCCGAACCCTTTGGCGTAATCACTCTGCGATGCGTGTGAGCTCAGCTTCTCCATGTGTTCGTGACTCAAGGCCGACTGAAAAAGTTGAACACAGAAATGTACGTTCAGTGTTGTTACCATTGTAACACCCCAACTACAGCACTGTCCCAACTACAGTTGGGATGATCCCAACTATACTTGGGACTGCCCCAATTACAGTTCGTCGGGTGCTTAGAAGAAGGTCGTAAGAGCAAAAAATGGGTCAAAAGGTCAAATTCAGGTAATCTTTCATTTGATATACATATTGTCTCAAGGGGCTACGTCATTCGGACGTAATTAACAAGGAGGTTTTTCATTATTTGTGCCCGGCAAAAGGTTGTTAGTGTGTAATTCTAATGTAACAAAAAATGTTCCAAGCGTGCTAACGTCCCACTCAAGTGGGTACGCAAAGCCAATTTTGTTCCCGGCAAAAGGTCGTAAGGATTTAACGTGCCGCTTAAGCGTATGTTTAAGGCTTGGGAAGTTCCTGGTAAAAGGTCGTTAGCATAAAAATTGAAATAACTTCACAGTTAAGTAATATTTTGACATACAAATGCACAATATTATTTTAATTATTTACAAATTTCATCAGTCAAAATTTCAACCTGATGTGATTTTTAATCTAGAAATGCCAGCACAAAACCTTTCAACTTGATTATCTCCAAAAGTACTTTTTGCGTGCCTGGGCTGCTTACGACCTTTTCCTTGTCACACGACGAGTTGGGACTGTCCTCAACTACAGTTGGGACTGCCCCAACAACAGTTGAGACTGGCCCAACTTTACTTGGGACTGACCATAGTTGGGACTGCCCAAACTAGAGTCCTTCAGGTTTCCAAACTGCAACACCTTTTCAATTTCGAGGAAACTTTTATATTTCATTAGCAAAAAGAATGGAAATGAAACAGTGAAGGCAACCACACATAGAAGATCACCTTATCCATTCGGTCCTGTTCAACTCCAAACTTTCCTCCGTATCCATAGGACGCCTTGGGTCCTTTCGCCATTTCGTCTTGCTTCACTTTGGAATGGTCATCCTTCACTCCTTCCCTCAGCTGTCCGATACTACAACAGCAAACATCCAATATTTCATCATGTTATCAAATAAGCCATCAAGGGCAAGTGTTAATTAATCAGTGGGTGTGGTTCTTCTTCTTCTTCCAAGTTCTGCGCCAGCTTCATATTGTTGAAGACTAAGGCACATTGTTGGGTGCGCAACTGGTGGATGGAGTGCATAGCCTACTATTTTGACATTGGAGACCCATTAGTTAGTATCTGCTTAAACACTGAAGGGTTGCAAGCCTCTACAATAGATTTGGGAAGCTTGTTCCATTGACTTACAGTGCGGGGGAAGAAAGACATCTGGTAATATTCCTTGGAGCAAGATGGGATTTTGTAGGCTTGTGAGTTTTCTGTTCGGGTAGGAGCATCTAAATGCTTGGACTCAATTGGAATATCTCGGGAGAGAAAACAATATTCTAGGATCTTGATTCCAATTTTAAAGTTGTTGAGTAATATTTTGAATTGTGCCCAAAATCAGCATCTGGAACACGTTCTCGTTCAGCCGACTGCAGCTACGCGATGTCATGCATAGCAACCTTGCGGGCGCGTGCATCTTCCATGGAACTTTTGCTTGAAACCTTCCCAAATCTTCCCAAATTCTCTACTTTTGCAGGAAAACAAACAATGGCACATTCTTTTTACCTTAATTTCGAAGGTCAATGAAGTTAAAGTGTCTCAGATCCACCTTCCTCAACCTCACAGAGGATTTGAGGATCAGGGAGGGTTAGGGTTCATGTTAGTGCAATGCCTGCACCAAGTTTCGTTCACTCACCTAACAGAGCCCTGGTGGCCAGACCCTTCCACCGTCTTAGAGCCCCATCGCTGTTCCTTCTCACTCACATCGTTCTGTTTGCCAATACAAGTAAAAATTATTTAACATAGATCATTTTTATCTATTTAGCATTACAACTATGTTAAACAATTGTGCGTTGGTGGCTACAGTTTGAACATTTTACCAATGGTGCACATTTGAAACTTTAAGAAGGATGCTCACCACAAAGTCAGGATCAGTCTCCCAGTCATCGTCATCGGCTTGAACCTCCACCTTTGCCCCGACCTGAGAACGCCACATGGTTAATCAGATGAATGTTTCTACAAAACAAAAATAAGAGAAAAAGGTCCCCGTGTGACTAGTCTTGTGTGCCAAAATATGGACTCCTTGCACAATTTTTCAGCCAACTTCTGATACAGCCAAATGCCACAAAAACTGATTCACAAAAATCATTTCAACAGAATTTGTACGATATTTCTTGCCGAAACCTCAAATGTTTGGATACTCCGAGGTGTGCACTGGAGCATAAATTGTCAAACAATAGGCCGTGCACAACGGCTAATTCAAGATCAACGCTAGGTCCGCCTCCACAGACTTCACTAACTTTGTGTGTGCGTACAAATTAAAGGCACAAAGAATTAGCGTGTTTAGATGTCACCCGGAGGCGAGTCGAGGCAATCTTGATGTTTTAACCCATCAGCCGTGCCTGTGCCTGTTATCGCAAACTGGTAAGCAAAAATCAACTGAAAGCTACACATAGTTGCAGTCAATATCCTCATGGAGGCATTTTGCCTTGGTGCACGGATCCTACACACAAGGATAACAACTCGGCCAAACTCCTGGTTAGACGCGTGATAACAGCCTGTACTGGTGGCAAATACCATGAATACTTTTCAACAAAGACCACTGCACGCGGTGGCTTTCAGATTTGCAAGGCTCTTCACTTGATCTGGCCTCGAAGTCTGTCAAGCCAGTGAATTATATTTTTGAATATTCATGAGTCTACATTTTTGGTCTTTATTGTTGAATTCTGATAAGTGATAACTACATGTACATAACCATGGTAATGCCGAGCACAATACCTTTAGCTTTAAGATGAACAATGAAATATCGCTTTTGTTTCATCGGTTCGGCATCCTATCTCTCTAAAACTTTTTAATAAAAGCCTAATTAAAAACGAAATTTGGGTAAACGGTGTTCTCTTCGAAATTTGACGTTTATTTCCCAGGTAAATACTTCATCTATGACGACAAAAACTGCACAATACCATCTGTTATATCCTGAAGTATTTATTTTTTAAATAATTTGGAACAATTATATCTTAAATAAGAAGTAGTTTTACTTACAGTTTTATGAATATTTCCGTTTTAGATGTCGTGCAAAAACCCAACACAATGGCACATCTGGAAAATTCGCGATTACGCGCCAACGGGTATTAATGCCCGTTATCACGCGTCTAACCAATTAAGGCAAGTCCACTGAGTGCATTTTGTACTAGAGCTCAGAACAGTCGTTTATCCTGGTGTCTAGGATCCGTGCTTGGTGCATGTATTTGGTTTTATTACCACCGTGTACATGTATCAAGTTGTAATTGTTTACATTTCAGTGTAATCATGTTTCACTTGTTCAGGAAGTCTTTTCCTTCAACTGCTGCTGGCACAGGCTTTATTTCCTTCCTACATTTGCTCTAAACAATTCTTGGCTCTAGAACTGATTCTGTTTCTGGGAATAGTATGGCTCATTTCTAAGACTCTCACTTGATTTCCAAGCACTTGATCTCAAAAGACACAGTCCGCGATATATTCATGGGTTCTTTTACCACAGCACTGGGGACGTGTACCATGATGCGAGTGCTTTCCGTCACTTAACACGAATTGGGAACGAACATGCGCACAACGAAATCAGCCTCCAAAAATGAATGGGATATTTCACTTTCCATTCAAATCGTAAGTTAACTTAGTACCACAATCTTAATTTTTAATCTCTACTGATATTTTAGGCGACTTGTCTGGCAGTTTTACGGCAGTTTTGGGAGGTTAAATGATTTTGTTGGGCAGTGGGCACTCAAGAAAAAGCCAAGAGGCACTGTTATTGCCTGGACCTAGTCCGAGTAATTTGGACCCTACTTATCGCCTTAGTATCGCCATGCCATGTCCCAATGTTAAAAAAGGCCGCCAGACCATGTTCCAATGTTAAAAAGGCGGTAAGTACCGGTAGGGTCAAAGTTTATACCCGGACTAGCTTCAGTCCTCAGTCTTCAGTGGTTGACTTCCAATAGCAGCTCTCTGAGCTAAATTGAAAGGGTGACTGTGACCTCACAGTCGGTGCGGTGTAAACAAATATGGTGCTGACCGTGCTGTACATGAGTAAATATCCCGGTTCCTTGGACCCTACTTTTTTCAGTTTCACCAAATTGTTAGCAAAGGCAATCATGGCAATTTAATAATACAATTCAAAAATAAAATAATATAATAAGTACATGTATTAAGTATAGCCTAAATCCATTTCATGTCAGCTGCAGATCAATGCCAATACAATTACAAATATGGAAACACCTGTAACTCGTTTTAATTTGTTAATAAATGATTTGTAATTAGAATATGTCGGAGGGGCCTGGGGAATTAACTTAAAAAAGGAACTGTTTTCAAAATTTCCAAAGTCACCCAAAACCACTTGTCATGCTTGTCATCATGATTGTTTACACAAAAATTTACGGCAGATTTTCTTTTTGAACAATCTGGGCATTCAAAACCTTAACAAAAGCAAGATTTGCCATAGAAATCGGGCTAATTAAATTACCTAGATTAGCTGTAACTTGTCTGTAACTTGTGCAAAGAAAGCGGTAGGTGTGATCGCTGATCGGCAAACACTTCCTGCTTTTTCTAATAATAACGTGTAGTTGGCGTCAATCCAAAAAGGCTTCCAACTTTGCCGTCTTCTTTTCAAGAAACGAAAGTTTATACTGTATTATTACCTCCGTATTCTTCTTATATCAGTTTCTGCGATCACTAGATGGCCACAGAGATCAAATAAATTAATTGGATGACCCATTTAACGATGAGAAATGATACAAACCTCAAACCGATGAGTGGCTAATGATGAGTAGCTCCGGTTAGTCACCGAGTTTACCAAAATAGCTCACGAGAGGGCGGTATACAAGTTTTTCTCGCTGTCAAAATCGAAAGATGGCGTCGTCCCCGACTAAAACTTCGACGCTGAAGAAGGAGAAAAAAGACGAGTCTTTCCTCGAAAAAGTCACAACACTCGGCAGGAGGAAAAAGATTAAAGATCTCAAAGAAGGTACGTGTCGGAGGAGTGGAATAAATGGGCTTCGTGTGACGTGCAACACCGGTTTAAAAAAAATGATTTGGAAAGTCATTCATTACGTTGTGACTCGCCTTATTTGGAATTCCGGACATTCCATTTGTACAATATGGTTTGATGGCTAGTAAAATGTGGGCGTTACGCCGAGATGAATGGACCATGGTATTGTGCTTAAATACAAAAGATTAAAAGTTATTTAATTCTGGAAATTATGGGGAAAAATAAAAGAAATGAAATTGAAAGCGCCAACTATCTGATTGAAAATGTGGATTATTTATATTTTTGCCATATTTTGAGTGCACTGTGATTGGCTGTTTTGATGGGAAAGTAATGTTATTCATGAAAAAAGAAAATGACGTCATGCTCTTGTTATAATGTTATTACTTAGTCAAGTAGGCCTAAAGTGACGTTACTAAGTCAGAATACATTACGGTGACGGTACGTAAAAAAACATATAATTAAAGAAACGCCTGTCATCAGGCTGCCACAAGTCTAGTTGACAGTGAGATTAGGTATGGATCGAAATGTCCCTGGTTCGAATCCACCAATGTCCATTCTTCATTTACTATTTTTCTTCTTCAAATTTATAGTTGTGATAGTTTTAATTTAACCTAAGGGAAAAGAAGAGTCCGAGAACCTAAATCTAACTTAGTGTCTTGCACTACCATGACTACTGACATGGGCGTAGGCCTACTGATGGCAAATCAGAAGGATAAACTATTTAATTCTGTGAAAGTATGGAAAAATTGAAAGAAACAAAAGAGACATCTGATTGAAAATTAATTCAATGACTTTGATTTTTGGGACAAAGGCCTGCATTACAAAAAATCTAGTAAGAAAAGTGTAAGGAAAGAATTCCATATACGAAGTTCACTAAATTTCCTCTGTATTGACTAACAAGCCCCCAGATAGCGATTTCATGTCATTAAAGTCAATTTGAGCAGTGAGAAAATACAAGCATTTTCTTAGAAAACACTTATAATTTTTCAGTCCAATCTCATAGGGTTTGTACACAGGGTGTTGAGTGAACTTCATATATGGAAATCTTTCCCTTTTATGGTTTGGGACTTAGCTAAATAGTTGGCGGCGATATCAGCGGCAGGAAAAAATATGATAAAACTGATCAGAGACATCCAGCATTCATGGACTAGACCTACAAGGTACATGTACAAATGTACTATGGTTAATCATCTTTCAACTGACCGAACCGACCGGTCAGATTTCGAAGTGGTCAGGAGATTTCGAAAAAGCAAGAATACAGTGTGTATTTGAAAAACCTTTAATTTTCAAACAATTTCCTACCAATTTGGTTTTCCTTTTGCTATCACAAAACACAAACCCCAAAACTGGCAGTCTGCAGATTATATTTCTAAGTTAATGTGCACTTATAGTGTACAAGAACTCAGAAGTCATTTACCTAATTAGCCTTTACAAAATCCTAAACATCCGTATTACCAAGCTTCTAACATCCATTACGTGGTCCCATTTCCAGTGAACTTTGTTGATCCACAGTTCCACTGAACTGTGTCACACCATACACGTGTGTTAAAGGGAATGTACAACATTTGCTTTTGCTGCAATTTTCAGAAATAAATGGATTTGGAGGATTAGTATGTTATAGCAAATATTGTTACACTGACTTGTTTCACGTTTAGGGTTCGTAGATGCTGGAAAAACCAAGAAACCAATCATATTCTTGTAGTCTGGTTTCCTGACCCCACTTACGATGAAACGGAGCAATTTATAGACTTTGGGGAATTGTAAGATATGAGAATCAGTCTAGCAGGCTTGTACCTCTTCACAGGTATGTAATCAATTGCAAAGAAAATGCAGACGAACTAAATATGAAAAATTATTCCCTAATAATCCAGTAAGGTATTTAGTGAAAATTTGATCATTTCATTTTTTGATGTTTGCAAATGTTGTATCTTCCCTTTAATACACACATGTACCGGTACATGTAGGTAGCAGATTTTACATAAATTTATGTGTGTGTCAGAAAAAGGCAAAAAATTAAAACGTCTGCAGTGTACACAAGTGTCGACACTTGTGAGCACTTTCATATGTTTTTTTAATTGATGTAGAAGATAGTTTTGGTAAATTTATACATGTACCTTCTGGAAAATGTCTAAGAATTTGCAATTGAAGTAACAAAAAAAACGTTACAGATAACACCCTATACAGCCTGTCTCAAAAAAAAATGGTACAAACGAAAACGATTTTTTTTTCTTCTCAATATTAAATCTCAACATAAGTACGTCGTTTTGAGCATCACATTAAAGAAAAAAGATCAGGCATTCCAATACTTTTTGTTTCATCTCATTTGCTTTTGTCAATCCAGAGATAACTCCAGTTTACTGCGGAACACAAAAATCGAGTTTGTGCCACTTTCTGAGTGTGAGCTTCAAGACAGCATGGCACAGTACTCGAAACAACTCTGCCCATGCATAAAAGTGGCACAAAATCGATTTTGGTGTATCGCACTAAATTGATTATATCTCTGAATTGACAAAAGCAAATAAGATCAAACAAACACTATTGGAAAGCCCAGTCTTTGTTCTTTAATATTATGCCAAGTAAGAATGACTTATTTTGAAATTTCATATTTAACCAATTTTTTTTTTCTGATTGTACCATTTTTTTTAGACAGGCTGTACATGTACATGTACATCTAGAGCTGCCATGCCCCATTAGATTTCTTGTAGTCATACAGCAAATTCCTTTTCTTCCAAAATCCTATTGACTGATCGAAACCGCTTTCCCCATCATCAATTAAAGGGAACTGTTCCAGTTTCTGGTTAACCAGCAGGAAACAGGAAGGGGGGAGTCCCTTTAATTCCAAAAGGTGAATACTGGTCAGGCCAGCAAACATTCTCAGTGACTGAAACATACGTACATGTACAGTAGGAATTCACGCACGTCCACTGAAATGAAGGCCTACATTCGTACGTTGTGCCAGTAACCTGGAGGGTCAATCTGGGTTGGGTTTCAGGCCAAAGCAGGAAAATCTATTTATGGGACTCTATGTGTATTGGTGTGTTACTGACACTAAATACCTGAATGTGTTTAATCAGCAGGCCAGACTGGCCAAAATAATCCAAACGATAGGGCCAAAAAAAAAATAGTTCTGCTTCCGGTTACCCTACATGTACCTACCCTATTTAACAGCCCCTACCCTAATTTTTTGTTGTTGAAAAAATGAGCAAAACACTTCGAAAATCATTAATTACTACCTTTTACCCTTGACTACACGCAGATACCTACATAAAATTGTACACACACAAAAGATTGCCCCTCCCCCCCCCCCCCAAAAAAAAATGTTCCCTACCTACCCTATTTTCAAATACCAGGTAATCGGGAGCAAAACTATTTTTTTAATTTTCCGTAGTATTTCTGCAAATTTGTCAAACTTTTTTGTACATACATGTATTTACACAATGTACACCTGGCACAAAAAGAAACTAAGCAGTTTTTATAATCATCCCTGTTTGGACTTTTCTCGTTGAACAAAAAATCCGAAATGTACGTTTTGTCAGGGAAACTTTCCGGTTCAATTTGATACCTCACTTGGGAACGCTGTGCAAGAAATAACGAGAGCGCAAGCGCTGAAGCTGCTGAAACCCCAAAACTAAAAGTTGCACTTAGCGAGATTTTCAATAGGCATTGCAACACACATTATTGAATGCAATAATGCAGGCCTCGCATTCAATTGTGTGTTGCAACTTGCAATGCCCATTGAAAATCTCGCTAAGTGCAACTTTGACATGTAGTTTTTGGGGTTTCAGCAGCTTCAGCGCTTGCACTCTTGTTACTGTATTTCCTACACAGTGTTCCCAAGTGAGGTATCAAATAGAACCGAAAAATTTTTTGTGGATATTTTGTTCACCGAGAAATGTCCAAACAAGGATGATTATAAAAACAGCTTAGTTTCTTTTTGTGCCAGTTGTAGGCCCTACATTGTGTACATGTACATGTACAAGTGTATTTATGTTGATCCTGAACGCCAGTACATGTACATGTACATGAAGGCTACATGTACATATTGAAATGTGTACTCATATACATGTAATGTAAACCTTCCTCTTTGTACTAATGTCAATATTTATCAATGGCTTTCACCTTGAAATCGGAGAAATGCATTCATGTAGACTCTGAGATGTACTGTAACAAGTTTCACAATGTGACAGCCTTCACAATGAATTCCACCAAAGTTTTATACAAAAAGTTGTGTTTGTTTTTGTCTCACCTGGATTTTGTTCAGGAAATGCAATCACAATGTCTGTATGTTTATTTTGTACATGGATAGTGTACATGTACCGGTAAGTACATGTTGTATATTTGGTTAAAGTTTCAAGGAATTGGTCTCATTTCAAAAGTTGAAGTCCACTTCGAACCAAACTTAAATCTTAGATGCAACATGGGAACCTTCATATGATAATGATGTCGAAGGTCACATACCAAGGTCGAAGGTCATCTGAGGTCAAGTTGTAAAATGGACTGAAAATGTACAATTGGTGTCATTTCAAAAGTTGAAGTCCAATTGGAACCAAACTTGGGTCATAGATGCAACATGGGAACCTTTACATGATAATGAATTAATGATGTCAAAGGTCATGTACCAAGGTCAAAGGTCACTCTTTAAATATAATTGTGCGGTTTCGAGAACCATCTTGTTTGTGTTTTGATTTTGAAATTGACACCGAAACCCATTTTTAAATGCATTTTGTTTTTAACATGTTTACAAGGAACTTTCCTAAAAACCTCCTTAAAGTTTGGAGTTTAACAGTTGCAGCAACGAATTCAATGCAGTTCTTTTATCAAATTAGGAATACAAATCACTACCAAACAGATATCAAAATGTTTAATAACATGTTTACTTTAAATTGTATCCTTCCCTGCCCATAAAAACAACATGGAATACCGGCCAACAGTGCATAAATTATAATTCCTGGTCACTTGTGATGCTACATGCATGTAGCAGGATAGGCCAACATGTGTATTCCATACCCTGCATCTGTGAATCACATTGACTCATAAATTCCTACGATAGTTTGGCTGATACTGTACTGCCAGTCATCGTCAATGGTCTGACTCTCAGTAATGATTAGCTGGTGTTATGTACCGGTAGCTCAAATTGATACTTTGCATCCCTTTACCTCGGGCACCGGTTGAGCGCGTGCCATCGAGATGTGTCAAATTCGGATAAATCAGTGTGGCTGGGTGTGACCTTTATTAAAAAATGAAATTACTCTACATTTTTTTAAACATCAAATTTTGAAGGAAAAAAGATGTTTAAATCTCGATCTTGAAATCAATATGATTTTCTCTTGGGCATCATATGCTGAACATGTAAAAAGTAGCAATGCTGGTCTCTACCATCACTGCTTATGGTACCCATTGATACTCCTGGCTGGAGAGAGTCAATTGTAGTAAAGTGTCTTGCCCAAGGACATTTGTAAGCTTCATGTTCCCCATCAGGGTTCGCACCCATGTACTGTGTCACACATGAGGCTGAGGCCACAACCATTGGATCACGGAACATGTGCATGTACACATGTACGTGTTCTACATAACCCCCGAGGACCAACACACAAAGGGAGAACAACAGATCCTTTCAGTCCTCGGGAGTTGGGTCTTTTGTTGGAAACGGTCCTCTGTAGTAAGTTTGTGTGCTTAGTCTATGGGAGAGTGTTATATTACTGGGACAAAGGGAAACACAAAGAATTGTCCTCGAGAGTATAGTAAAACACGACTGTATGTAATGTACGGGCATGTACATTATGTATGTGTACACATGTATACAATGTAACGTTATCTGGTGATCGAGCATTCAATCATTCTCCTCTCTCCCCCCCCCCCCCCCCCCCCCCCCCCCCCCCCCCCCCCCCCTTTAACCATCTGGCATGGTCGCAAAACCTCTCACTAATTTATCTTGGTTTCAAACTTCCCGGAATTACATGCACAGGGTGGTCCAAAAAAAGTGTACACTTTTTCAGACGCAGTATTTCTCTGAATTGGGGAGACATGTTAAAATTGTTTTTAAGATAGTCCTAAACTATAGCATTTTTGTTGTATATGGTGAACACGGTGTTGAAAATACAGCCTAAATCAAGAAATGGCGGTCATTTACAGAAAAGTCTTCAAAAACTATTTTGTCCACACGCAAGTCTATGGTCAATACAATAGCACTGCATGCACAAAGAACTGCAATTATGTAAATTAGGTCTACATCTGACTCAGCCATCGGTTCCTTACACAAGTTCTTCTTTAATAGCCAGAAAAGGAGAGTTGGGGGAGACCTAGACTGGTTCCCGGTCCATCCACTGCGTATTTCCAATGATCCAAAGTTATTGAGGGTGGGGATTAGTCTGGTAGATCACCACAAGTTAAATTTGAATGTATTCGCGCGCCGACGACGCCTGACGCTCACACGATGACGCTGTGGCTAATAGCTTTGGCACATTCACTGTATTCAGGAAGTTGTGCGTACTTCGCATGCGAACCAGTACCGTATACGCACAAGCCGTGTGTCCCGTCCACGGGCCTCAAAAGTGGTAAAAACACGCCCTCTTTTGTTGGCGCACGGAACCCATAGATTTGGACAGTCTAGTTTGTGACCACTTCTTTGTAAATGGCCGCTATTTCTGAACTTAAGCTTTATTTTCAACGCTGTTTTCACCACGTTCATTAACATGTACTACCAAGATCTTGTAGTTTAGGAATATCTGAAAACAATTTCAACACGTCTCCCCAATTTGGAGAAATCTGTCTCTGAAAAAAGTGTAAACTTTTTTTGGGAAAAAACTCTGTACAGTGCCTACCAGTTGAGAGGACATCTGGTTGTCATCATGTCTTCATGACTCATGATCTACATGTAGAAATTCAGCATTTATCAAAAAGATCCACTGTGGTCTGACCCGTGTGACATTTTTCATATTGCACCTTCTCACAATCGGCTGAGAACTATCAGCGAGATTGTAAGTAATGCCAACAGTAGGTTGGGCTGAAAATCAGGGATCATGTGAGAAAACTTTTCACGTACATTGTAGGCACAATTCTTCACAGACTGTACGTATTGGTGGTTTTGCATACATCCACACAAAGTTTCTCTATTCACTACATGTTCAGTGAAAACATTAACAAAGAAACAGTTATGTTTACATACAGAGAAATGTTACACAAGTTGTATACGTACCCACAGAAGAATTCCAGCACGGTTTGACATGCAGTGACACACAAAATGTCGTGTAGTAACTCTATACAAATTTGATTCTCCTGATGAGGTTGCAAATTCCCAAAGCTTCCTGAATGCAGACCACTTTCCTGTTGAACACTGTACACTACAATTACCTGTTTACTCAATATCCCAGCACACACTGTAAAAGTATTTTACTTTCACCATACCACATGATGCAGTTTCACTTCCTTCCTCCCCACTTCCTTGTGTAGATAGCATAAAATTAAAACAATTGCACGCCCATTGTTTTTCCTACTGGTGTACGTATCTCTATCAGACTTTTCAAATCAGCACCATCGTCCCCTGGTGAAGCTAGTAAGTTTTTCCTATTATGTCTAATTCTCAATTTTGTTCTGTTGAGTTTGAGATTTATATGTAGACCATGGTTTTCTTTCGGCCAATAGTACATAGATGTACACGATGCGTACTTACATGTACATACATGTATGTCCAGCTGAAGTTAAAGGATGTAGGACTTTACTAACAATGTACATATATGTACCCTTGACATTCAATGTGTAAATCGGCCAGCATTGTTCACTATTTTCACTGACTCCTAACCCCAATTTTCCCTTATCCTACCCCCACGAGTTTTGGTATATTAATGTTTTGGACCACGAGCAATCAATCTAGCCTATTTGCGACACTAAAAATTGTGCCTCTAAATAGGAGCTGTGACATGAGGGAGACATTGAAATGTCTCTCTAATGTCCGGTGTCTCGCTAAGGTATAACGTATGACGAAAAAAATGTCTCCTTAAGGGTACATTAACAGGAATAAACTTAAGCGGTACCTCACCGTTTTAAAGGGAAAATTCAACATTTGGAAACATCGAAAAATAAAATGACCAGGTTTTTACGAAATACCTTACAGGATGTTGGCACATGACAGTCTCAAGCATCCTGTAAAATTATGGCACCTGGTGTGAAGTCATTTTCAAGAAAATGGTATTTTTGTATACATTTCCAACGGTGGTCGGCCAACAACTGTTGGAAAAACCTAACTATTTTTCAACTACTGCTCCAACTTCACCCTTTTTTTTTTCAGTCCAAACTTTGTTTGCTATTTGGTTCCATGTTCATGAACGGGTGCAGGCCAGCTAGACTGGTTCCCTTACCTTACAATTTTCAGGCATCTATGAATTGATACATTTTATCTGTAGTGGAGTCAAGGAACCAGACTACTTGAACATTTTTGTTTTTCTGGGTTTTTCCAGCATTTTCGAACACAAAACTTCAAACATGTCAGTGTAACAATAATTTGATCTATTATACTAACCCCTCAAATAGTTCATTTCTGAAAATAAAAGCATAAGCCAATGATGTACATTCCCTTTAAACATCACGTTTATAATTGTTCCTTTTACATTAGTATAAATCTCAGTCAAGAATTATAAAACGACAAAACGTTGATACTTTTTTCTTGGGGTGCTTGTAGTTTTGGGGTACATGTGCACGTATGTACTTCAAAATTCTGTACTCAATCATAACGGAGCTGCATATTGTGATATGTGTGTGTTCTCATAGATGAACTTGTGTCTAATTTTGATTCATGTGTCGTTTCATCCACAGTGAATGACCTTAACATTGATGGCAAGAATGCCCTGGAAGCACCAACCAGCCCGGTGGAGCTCACCCCTGACAACTTTGTCCTTGGTAAGTGCAGTGTGGGGGGAAAAATATATGCTACGTTTGCTTTGCACATTTTAGATACCTTTACAGGGGATTTAGTCCTGACAAAGTTTACGGTTAAGGCATTGATAGTGACCATATAGTGTGTTCAGTGGCCAGAAGCAGTAAGAACTGAGATTGTTTAAGGGGAAGCGGCATTTTTAAACTTTTGGCAATGCATGAAAACTATACATTGTTTTTTCAAATCAATTTTTGTATTTCAGGCCTACTTTAGGGTCGTGCCCTAAAATTAGGGTAGGTCGGGTAACCGGAAGCAGAAGTTGTTTTCTTTTTTGGCTTAAAACCCTAACTCCCTAGGCCTTTTTGCTAGGATGTAGCCTCAATCCTGCAAAATCCTCCAATTGGCCTCATGGAAAAATAGCATATAGCCTCAATCCTGCAAATTCCTCCGCTATTTCTTGAATATGGTCCATGGAGGGGTGACCACTGCCTGAATCCTGCAAAATCCTCCGGCTATGACTGTCAATAGGCTGAGGCAGAGGCAGTGACATCCTGGAGCAGTGCGGAGGATGTCAAGTATAATCAAGGACTAAATTTATGCACGGCTGAGCATAAACAACACAAGGTCCAGCCCAAGACCTTGACACAGTGCGTACTCCGAAATCAGCAACCCACTTTTGCCATGTAGCCTCAATCCTGCAAATTCCTCCAATTTGCAAAAAGGATTTTGGAGGATTCAGGGCGGTTAGGGTTAATTAATTAAAGGGTTATCTGAAAGGGTTGTCTTCAAGGGCTAAGTTTTGGCTAATTCACAAAAGAGCATTTTTCATGTTTTGCGTTCCATGTTTTTGAGTAGGTCTGGAATTGAAATTGGAATGTATGATGTACGTAGATGTTGTCTTGGTACCTGCACTGCATGTTCGTACATACATTTTACTTGTACACCCCGTCGCCCATTGAGGCCCAAATTTTCAAACTAGTGACAATATGAAAACAAAACCTCACTCATTTCAAATGGTAAGCATCACTTGTACTGAGCACATACAAATGTACGTGTGCATGATCTTGTTGTAAATCACATCCCTACCCTTCGGGCCCAGGCACTCTCAGTTGACAGACTCAATATTGAAGACACTGCGTGACCCGGTCTCTAGCAGGGATTAAGGGATAAGACTGCTATAAGGGCGGGTATGATTTAAAAGCCACGTCGTGCGCCGGGGAAGGCTTTCCTTGTTGGCTTACGGCTGTCGAGCTGTGATGATTGTGAGGGTTGGCAGGGCAAAGGGGGGTGATCCTAAGCTGGGATCACCGTATCGAAACTGGCAAAAAATCCTGGAATTATGGTTAGGGACCACGACCGCTGGAATCATTTGTCCAAGTCTGTTCTGCAATAGTGGTGTGTATTTACGGGTAGTACGGGTACTGGGCGTGGGCGACTGGTGAATTTAAATAGTCGTGACTAGTTGTGATAAAAAGTCCCAACTAGTCGACTAGCGGCGACTAGTAGCATATTATTTATTTATCCAGTAGTACCTCTGGTCAATGGACCTTTTTACTAATAGATTCAAATTTATGTGTGCAAGCGCATAAATGGGCCTTGGGGCTATACTTGGGGCAAGAAGCGAAAGCGGTCCATGGAAAATGTACGGGGTACAAACATTCTGGTCATTTTCTCTCAATTTCTTCAGGATTTTTCTGCTTCTGTACAGCGTAGGCCTACGTACGTCTTCGTGTGAAACCACATCGCTCGCTACACGTGCACCATTATTATATGTACATGTACAATGGGGCATACAGTGTGTTGGTGCAGTCACACTGTAACTGTCAGCGCATGCTACATTTAAAACAAGCAATCTTCATAGACTGTGTAGTCATTTTGGATAAGTTACAGTGCAGCGCGATACGAATACTAAGTTAAGGGGCAAAGATCTGTAGTTGTAGCGCAACTGCTAGTCGCAGCATCGATGAATGACTAGTCATACCAGTAGCATAACGACTAGTAGCGGCATAACCACTACTCGACTATTGAGTAATTGATAGTCGTGACTACCAATGCCTTGGTGACTAGTAACTTAGCATCTAGTCCGACTAGTCGCACTAGTCGTACATACATGCCTACCGGGTACCGGGAAGTAAAACACGGGTACCCGGGTACCTGTAAAAGAAACCTGACCCCAAAATCCGGAAGTTGCCTAAAGGGCTTTATAGCTTTACGGTGTAAACTACAACTTTTGTGAGCATCATCTGTCGCGCTTTAAAATGCACATAAACATGAAATCTGTTTTGGTGTTCCATGTAGCCTGGTTTTCATTTTGAAAATGCCCCACAAATGACATTCAAAAGCTTTCTGTTTCATTGTCTGAGAAGTAACTAAGTAATTTGTAAAGTTGGTTACGGGTACCCGATCCCATAATCAACCGGTTCCTGACATCAGCGGTCGGGTGCTTGGGTACCTGGTTGCGATGCGCACCCCTACTCTGGAATGGTCCTTGTCAAGGAGAAGCATTCACATGAAGGAATGTATTACTTGTCAATAATTTATTACATGAGGTCAAGGTTGCCACAACTGAACTTACATTGTGTGTTTCAATTACTTGATACACTTAAAATGATACCAAAAGAATTCACAAGGGGGCCAGTGTGTACTTTCACACAAACACAAATGCCACATTGAGACAGCCCCTTTAAAGGGTTAAGTAAGGATTTACTTGCACATGAGAATTGGTATGACTTGCCAACTAGTAAATTAATGATCTGAGTTGCCATAATAGATTTGATTAATTTGATACCAAAAGAAGTCACAAGAGGGCCCACTTTTGAGCTACATTTTCGTTTGTTTAACGGAACCGTAATATACATGTACAACATTTGCTTTTGCTGTAATTATTCAGAAATGGATGGATTTGGAGGTTAGTATTTTATTTAGCAAATATTGTTACGCGGACCTGTTTAGAGTTTTGTGTTCATAGATGCTGTAAAAACCAAGAAAAAAATGCTGTTCTTGTAGTCTGGTTTCCTGACCCTACTTCAGACAAAATGGGGCAATTTATAGGCATCGGGGAATTGTCAAGTCAGGGAACCAGACCAGCTTGCTTACACCCGCTCATGGATGTGTAAGCGATTGCAAACAAAATGTGGACTAATTAAATTTGGTAAATTGAGGGCAGTATTTGAAAAAAGTCAGTTTTTTCCAACGATGGCCAGCTGACCATCATTGGAAATTGATACAAAAATTCTACTTTTCTTCAAAATGACCGCACACTAGGTGCCATGATTTCACAGGATGCTTGAGACTATTATTCACTTACAATCAAGTGAGGTATTTCCTAATAATTTGGTAGTTTTGTTTTTTGATGTTTGCAAATGTTGTACATGTATATTATTACCTTTAATCAAAATACCACATTGAGTTCTTCAGAAGTAAATGTTGCTTAACGGTTGTTTTTTCTGTGCTAAGCATTTCCTTGACATCAATACCAAGTTCTTCCTTTGAGGCTCGATAGTTAGCAGGAAATGGAATGTAAATAAACCCGTTGTGACCAATTTTATTGATGTGATTACTTTTATTGCTTTTATTTTTTTTTACAGAAAATGGAGAGGAGAGGTCGATGATTGAGCCAGATTCAAGAGAGGATGCCAAACTCAAGGAGCTCATTCAGGTAAGAAGACAGTCAGACACCGCTGTTTTCTTCATGTACTTTGAGACAAATAGCAAAGTTTAGAACCCCTTGTGTTGGGAGGTTTCCGAAGCAGTATAATGCATACATGCAGCAGCCATGCAGTTGTAGTCTTTGGCAGTCTTGTAGGACTACGTGTAGAGTCAAGGACTCCAACTCGAGTCTGTCTCAAGTCACAATTTAGGTGGCTGTGACTCGACTCGAGTCACAGCAGCAAAAAAAACTCAGACTCGGACTCAACCATCATGACTCAGACTTAGCGCTAATAATTCCAAGTTTCTTTTCCGAAAGTAACGTTTAGCTTTAAAGCAATGCTAAAGAATGTTAAGCTTCACTCTCCAGATGGTGTTGCAAATAATAATGTTTTTTATTAGATGCGTCCATCCCTACATGTTTCCTGTGACAGTCCATCACTTACATATCACATGTACATAGTATGTATGTGTTTCTATAAATTCCATGTACAGGGTGAGTAAAAAAAAAAAAACGCATCCCAAATGGCAGGACTGATTTTTGTATGAAGTTTTGCCTGTAGCACTTTCAAAATCTAGGATATGAAAGCCCAATCAATGAGCTTCCTTTTAGTACAAGAATCATTCATATCATTTCATAGATCCATTTCGAACAAATGTGACTCGGGACTCAAACTAAGACCTGAATCAAATGACGCATGACTTGGACCCGGAACGGACCCAAGCGACTCAAGGCTGCTGAACTTCTACACTGTCTTTTGGTCAAGTTGACCGTTGCAGACATTAACCACCATGCACCACTTGTGTACTGTCTGTTTAAAATTGATTGCATGTACGTTGATCAGGTTCTGATGGATTGGATCAATGAGGAGATGAAGGAGCAGAGGGTCATCGTCCGGGATCTAGAGGAGGACCTGTATGATGGTCAGATTCTTGGAAACCTCATAGGTGAGTGAGGGGAACCTCATCTATAGGTGAATTATGAATAGAAGTTACAGATGAGATGTACATGTAGGGAACCTCACACTGTAGGTTAGTGATGATAAGAATAAGGAACCTCACATGCGAATGATGAAAAGAAGGAAAGGATGAGATGTAGGGAACCTCACACTGTAGGTTAGTGATGATAAGAATAAGGAACCTCACAGGCGAGTGATGAAAAGTAGGAAATGATGAGATGTACGGAACCTCATACTGTAGGTTAGTGATGATAAGAATAAGGAACCTCACAGGCGAGTGATGAAAAGTAGGAAATGATGAGATGTAGGGAACCTCATACTGTAGGTTAGTGATGATAAGAATAAGGAACCTCACAGGCGAGTGATGAAAAGTAGGAAATGATGAGATGTAGGGAACCTCATACTGTAGGTTAGTGATGATAAGAATAAGGAACCTCACAGGCGAGTGATGAAAAGTAGGAAATGATGAGATGTAGGGAACCTCATACTGTAGGTTAGTGATGATAAGAATAAGGAACCTCACAGGCGAGTGATGAAAAGTAGGAAATGATGAGTGAAGGGAACCTCATTACTGTAGGTTAGTGATGATAAGAATAAGGAACCTCACAGGCGAGTGATGAAAAGAAAGAAAGGATGAGGTGTAGGGACCTCACACTGTACAATTCCGTTTGGACTCTGTTGGATTTAGCAGGGTAGTCCTGAGGAAGTACTAGGGGGTTAGGGTTAATTAAGGAATGAAAAAGGAAGGAAGCCTCATAGGAGAGTGGTGAAAAGGATAAGATAAAAGCAGTGCAGAAGATTGAGAAAATTGAAAGAGATGGGGCTGACTAATAAAATAAATAAGCCCCAAAATGACTGCAGGAAAACCTCATACGAGTTTGTTGAAAAGAACAAGTTGAAGAAAATTTAGATAGTTATGAAAAAAAAAATGAGAGGCAAACCCCATATCTTTTTGATGGAAACTCAGAAAGAAGAAACCACAACTAGTAAGCAACAGCAGTGAAACAGGTAACATATAAAGAAGAACCTCATAGTATTTGCAATAGGATAATGTTATAATTTGATGATGTTTGTGTCATTATTTTTTGTCCATAAATTCCAAAGAGAAACTAGCAGGAATCAGACTTGAGGTGCGGGAGGTGATGCAGTCGGAGGTCTTCCAGAAGCAGAAGCTACAGGTGGTGCTGGACACGGTCAACAAAATCATGAATCTTCCCCGATGGAACCAACAGAAGTGGAGTGTAGACGGTGAGTTTGCAAAACTCTGTCTGTTCGCAGATACAAGAATGGGCAGCTAAGACTTATTCCATTGATCTATACCCTAGCCCTCTTTTTGGGGGTGTAATTTAGTGCATGTCAGATTTTTTTTCAGATTTTAATCGAAAATCCAACTTTTTCAAGTTTATTTTTAAAATTCTGATATATCTGACGATCTCTTGCCCTTAAAAAGTCAGATTTTTAAAATGAAGTTTCAATAAATTTGATGAAAATGGCACCACGACATCTGTTTTGCAAGCGCAATTTTAATCTTATCTACCAGTCGTCAGTGCACAGATTGTGTGGTAGATGCACATAGGTAAGCCCAGATTGGAGTAGTTTACGGCTGGAAATAAGTTTAAGCACAGAGCTTGAAGGCTGTTGCACGTGGAGGTCGACTACAATAGAATCCACATGTTGCGCGATTTTTTGAGGTTTCAGATTTATTTGAACAAAATGCAATGCTTTAAAAATCACGATGACGATCTTGAGTATGGCGCAGAGAGCATAACTGATACATTTCACCTGCAGTTGTTGGAAGAGAAAGACGATAATGCCCAATTTTTCCCACATATGTTAGTGGAGTTTGGTTGGATCATGGACATGGATGAAAGCCAACTCTTATAAAAAAAATAATAATAATAAACTCTAGGCAACATATTCAGATAGTTAAAGTGTTCTTATTTTGTTTGCAGGTATTCATTCAAAGAACCTCATAGCAATCCTTCATCTCCTGGTGGCACTAGCGTTTCACTTCAAGGCACCAATTAGAATTCCTGAATATGTATCAGCGAAAGTTGTCGTCGTTCAGGTGGGCAAATTTACTTATACTCACATGTCATCTGGGTCCAATTTCATAGTGCTGCTAAGCACATGATTCTTTGCTAAAAGAGCCGCTATCTTTTTCAGTGGAGACCAGAAGCAGTAAGCACAGCAAAAAGCATGCTTACCTTAAGAGAAAAAAGTTACTTAACTCTTTCGCTACGGAATTTAATTTACCGATTTTTCCTTGGTTTGGACGTAATAAACCGCTGGAAATTCCGCCGTGTGTCGATGTGGACACCGCCATCTTGAAATGTCTCTCTGTAAACAAACTGCTCACAATAACGTGCAGCAGACCCCGGCGAGACGGAGAGCCGCTGGCAGCGGCTCAAACTAGGGTCAAAGGTTATACGATATAAATTATGTAGATAAGGCACACGTCATGGGGATACCCTGTTTATTCACAGCGACGTCACCGAGCAGCGGCTTGCCGTACGACATGTACAATTTTTGTTAGCTGCTGTCAGTGGCTTGCTGTAGCGAAGGAGTTAACTCTTTAGCACCTGGGCTTCATGGTAATATTACATTGTGTTTATTTACTGAAGAATCAATAAAATCATGGAGTGCTCGGGCAGTTTCAGGTGCTACAGTGACTAAATGGTTAAATCAGTGACGTGACATTAGAAATCTCAGTGTACACGCAATCATTGGCACATCCACACCATGAAATTGTGCTTAAGGTTAAGCACAATTTTCTGCTATAGTTAGCACAACTTTCCCCTAACTTCAACCCTAACCCCCTACAGTATTCTGGCTAGAAACGCAGCAACGTGCAACACTTGTCAAAATGACAAGCTTGATCAATGCAGCAAGATCCATTGGGTCAAAAGTCTCAAGGTCAACTGCCTCAGAGTCTGTGGTCACCAACTGCAGCAGGATACAACTGTGGCATTGTTCAATGGGACTAGCTGTCGTTGTCTCAGAATTGGCCGTTTGTGTACTGGTGTTGATAGCTCAATGCAGCAAGTCCCACAGACTTTCTACACCTGATGCACTGTGTTGCAGGGATTTGGGCGAAAGGGATATTAACCCTCCTATGCAATCATACATTCTGTGCCAAGTTGTCCTTGTAGTCAAAATCAATCAACTGACTGTATTCAACAGTTTTTAAAATTCCCAGCCTACATAAAGCAAGACTGACTGGCTGTGACTTTTTAAGTAACTTGATACAGCTATGCTTTGACCGGGGGTATTTGAAAAGCCAGCTGTGCCCACAACTTGCCTGCTTTGTCTGTTCGTGGTCTGTTGACTGAGTTTGACTAGTCACAGTGCTTGCTTGACATGTGATCTGACTGCTGGTGACTAGCCTGTGTTAAAAGTATAGCAGGGGAAGTGGATGGAACTTTTGAGGGGAAATGGGCTTGGCTATCCCTTCCAAAATCTACAAAATCTTCCAAAACCCCATGAAATTGGCGAGATCTGGCATATTATTAGGTTAATTTTTTTGGCACCGTTGTTTTTGTTTACAGAAAAAAGATAACTTGTTGGTCACCAACAGGGTCACAGAAGAAATCACGACAACGAACGAGTAAGTTGACCGTAAGGTTTTAAAAAAATTTAAAATGAGACTTTGCTTGTAGTTGTATATTATAGACACACTTTTGTATTATTGCTCTAGATGGCCATCACAGCACCACAATAAATGATCTTTGGGAAGATCAAGTCATTTTTCATTCACTGGTCTGTTTTAAAGTTGGTATCCCCATGATTTAAATGTAATATGACACTTGTTGCACATTGGGCGCAACATTGATGATGAATTTCAGGACTAGGCTGCATGGCTGTGTGTGTGTGTGTTGTGGATATCAACTTATATACATTTAATTCCGACTTTACACAAGTCTAAGCTGAATTAATTCAAAATTGTCCTAAAACTAAATTGTTTTTGTTATTTTAATCCGCAGGACCCCCCCCCCCCCCCCCAAAAAAAAGGAATTGAACATTGACTGACTTGGTGTTGTCCCCTACCAAATTTTAGGACAACAATGTAAAAGAAAAAAAATAAGATGATCATTTTCTAATTGTTTTGTGGCCTAAGTAGCACCGGTAACGATTCTAATTCAAAAATCTTTCTGGTTTTTTTTTCAATTCCAAACTACAGGGCAATTGGAGGAAGATTTGGTGAGTCTTTGCAAACTAAGATTTTTTGGTTGAAAATTCGTTTTTGGAGATTAGTTTACTTGCAAATGTTGGTGGACCCATTATGTGTAGAGACTTCAATGTCATACTCGACGCGAATGCGAATTTGTAACAACGCAATAAGTATTCACTCTATGAATTTGCGTAAGGGAACAAAATTCAAGTTCACTGCGCATTCACATTCGCGTGTTTACAAACCTGCCTTCAGACCAAAATTTGTGTTAAATATTCAAATTCTTTTATTTGCATAATTGCATAAATTACTGAATGCTTACCATGATTGTCTGAAATTTACTCTTCAACAGAGAGGGATGCGTTCGACACCCTGTTCGACCACGCGCCAGATAAACTTAATGTAGTAAAGAAGGTAAGTATTATTTGTTTCAATAAATTGCTATAGTAAATGATTACAGATTTTAAATCTAAAAGATTGAACGATGCAGTAGATATTGGAAGTAGTCTTAATTTCATTATCCCTAACTCCCTAGGTATTTTCGCTAGGATGCAACCTCAATCCTGCAAAATCCTCCAACTGCCTCCATGTAGAAATAGCATACAGCCTCAATCCTCCAAAATCATCTGTTATTTCTTGAATGTGGTCCTTGGAGGGGTGACCACTGCCTCAATCCTGCAAAATCCTCCAGCAATCACTGTCAATATGTTGAGGCAGAGCCAGTGACATCCTGGAGCAGTGCGGACGATTTCAAGTATAATCTAGGCCTAAATTTATGTACAACTGAGCATAAATAACACAAGGTCCGGCCTAAAACCTTTACACAGCACATGCTCAAATATCAGCTGCATGTTTTCGCCATGTAACCTCAGTCCTACAAAATCCATTTTTTTTGCAAAGAAAATTTGAAGGATTAGGGGGGTTAGGGTTAAAAAAGGACACAACCAGGAGTGGGCAAACAGAGAAAAGTAAAGAAAACAAATATTGATGGTTGCGGGGAAATTGATACATTCTGAACACAATTTACAAAACTACATCAAAAGTGAGAAAAAAATCAAACTTTCCGCAGTTAACCTCTACGCAATGTTGAGGTTCAAACCTTACTGATGCAGTTTTCTTGTCATTTCCAACCAGTCTCTCATCAGTTTTGCCAATAAACACCTCAACAAGATCAACCTGGAGGTAACGGATCTTGACAATCAGGTAAGACCAAGAACAAAAAAATATGCCCACTTGTCGCCGCCACTTTTACGACAGTTTTCGATGACATTATCATTTCATATGGGGTTGGCAGATTCACAGGTCGTAGCTAACAAACGCAAATATGTTTGCGTGACTTAAACACACCCCTAGTAAAAAAAAGTGGTCTGTCATGAGCCAATGTGGCCCATCAGGCCGGCGTTTATCTCCGGTTTCAGTAGCATGAAACAGACTGAGAATATTTCTACACCCCCTGGAGGGATGCTAGTCCATCGCAGGTTACTCCCCAGCTAATGCTGGTACTCATTTGTACTCGTGGGTGGAGAGAGGCAAGTGGAGGTGAAGTGGCTTGCCCAAGGACACAACATATGACCAGCAGCTGGATTTGAACCCCTGACCCTCTGATCATGAGTCACGAACCCTAAACACTACGCCACACCCCCCATGCTTGGCATGTTCACAGGTCATAGCTAACAAACGCAAATATGTTTGCGTGACTTAAACGCACCCCTAGTAAAAAAAAAATGAAATCTATCATGAGCCAATGTGGCCCATCAGACCAGTGTTTATCTCCGGTTTCAGTAGCGTGAAACGACTGAGAATATTTCTATTCCCCCTGGACGGGGTGCTAGTCCATCGCAGGTTACTCCCCAGCTAATGCCAGTACCCATTTATACTCCTGGGTGGAGAGAGGCAAGTGGAGGTGAAGTGGCTTGCCCAAGGACACAACATGGCCAGCAGCTGGATTCGAACCCTGACCCTCTGATCATGAGTCACAAACCCCATCCACTTGGCCACACCCCCCACGCTTAGCAGGTTCACAGGTCGTAGCTAACGTGCAAATTTGTTCTTGTTACTTAAACACACCCCTAGTGTGTTCTTCTAAAAAGATGCTGTGGGATTATGCATATTCATCTGAATTATGCATATTCATATGAAACTCTGTGCTCTGCGCTACACCTGCACCAACTAGTCCGCACATGCAGCATATCCTACTTCTTAACATAATATAAAAGTTCCCTCATATTTTATGTTCTTCCCAGTTTCACGATGGAGTCTACTTCATCTTGTTAATGGGCCTCCTAGAAGGCTACTATGTACCCCTCTACCACTACCATGTTACGCCAACACTCTTTGAAGAAAAGGTATGAAAAATACATTTCTTTGTTTTTCCCTTACATGTAAGGATGAGATTTGCCAGGAATTTTCCTGATTTCAGGATTTTTTGTTAGGATTTTTCCTGATTTCCGGATATTTTTTCAAAATTTTTCCTGATTTCATGATTTTTTTAGGATTTTTCCTGATTTCAGGATTTTGTCAGGATATTTCCTGATTTCACGATTTTTTTGTCAGGATTTTTCATGATTTCAGAATTTTTTGTTAGGATTTTTCCCGATTTCAGTATTTTTTGTCAGGATTTTTCCTGATTTCCGGATATTTTGTCAAGATTTATTGGTCAGGATTTTTCCTGAATTCAGGATTTTTTGTCAGGATTTTTCCTGAATTCAGGATTTTTTGTCAGGATATTTCCTGATTTCAGGATTTTTTGTCAGGATTTTTCATGATTTCAGGATTTTTTGTTAGGATTTTTCCTGATTACAGTATTTTTTGTCAAGATTTTTCTGATTTTAGGATTTTTTGTCAAGATTTTTCGGATTTCAAGATTTTTAACGAAACCATTGTCATTGTAAAATATAGAATTTCTGAGTTTTTACCGTAAAGGTGTTTTAACTTGTAAAAGTTTATATTGCATGAAAGAAAGGGATATTTTAAGGGGTGCCAACACCATGGCAAGAAATACTGAGGAAAAAAATCAAGATATTTTCTGTTTTTCTCCTCAGGTTCACAATGTATCATTTGCCCTCGACCTCATGGATGACGCTGGACTACCGAAAGCGAAAGCAAGAGCAGAGGGTGAGTGGGAAACAAAGTATATTCACAGACCACACAACATTAAACTGAAACATGTTTTTTTTTCTGCTTACGTACAGGACAGGCTGTTCATTGAAAGTGTATGTATTGAGCTGTCAAGCGCCTTTGTATTTTCATCAACTATTTTCACTTTTCTAAGCTTTTACATGACTTATTTTCCTGTAAATACTAGAGTTTTCCAATCCTCTTTAACACCTATTTGAATTCTTGCCTCTGAAAAGACTAGTGTTAAAAATAAACACTGCAAAAAAAGAAAGTCCACACTCATTGGGGGGGTCATTATTTTGAATCTGATCGTCTTATGATGGTGTCATTTATACAGACCTTTGGGCAATGTTGTCAGCTACATTTTGTTACCCCGTTTGCTACCAAAGACTGTAACTGTAAGATTGACAACGGTTTATGAAAAATGATGCAGTTGGAAAAGTTGCAAATATATAGATTACGCGAGGACAATTTGCTAAGCGTAACCACACATGCCCGTAATTAGTCCCTATCGACTGCACAGTGCCCGAACAAAGCGCGGGTAATTCAATTCACGCACGTGCTCCCATGCATGCAAGCACTGTGCGATCGGTATCTCCTGCCGTTCGTTTCGGGCAGTGTGACATTGTCACACAGCAATTTCCACTTGTGTAATCTTTAAATTTCCACCTTTTCAAACTGCTTCATTTTTCATAAACCGTTGTCAATGTTGGACGATTTGCAGTCTTTGGTAGTAGACAGGGTATCAAAATGTAGCTAACAACATTCCCCATAGGTCTGTATAAATGACGTCGTCATAAGACGATCAGATTCAAAATTATAAAAAAAATATAGGTAGAATAACAAGTAATTTTCAACATGTTTAAAATGGTTACCATTGCTTGTTATTCAACCTATATTTTTTCAAAGAACAAATCTGCGATGGCCCTTTAGCCAAATATCTTTCTCATGACATACTCCGACTGTGTGCCAAATGCCATGCTTGTATCATCAAAGGCACAATCCCATCACCCATCTGCCGTCCTATAGAAGTAATACGTAGGCAGGGCGGTTTGGGGCAGTAGAGTGATCGATTAGTTACTCACTTGACCACTACTATTACAGGGATTGGCTAGCCATTTCAAATCTCGTAGCACAGTGGGTACTGCATGACAGCATTCTATTCTGTTTTTCCTTTTTTTTTGCATTCATATCATGAAGAAAGTTTTAGTCTTTTTACAACATGTACGTTCCTTCCTCTAGATGTGGCCCAGTGTCACCTGAAATCCATCCTTCGCCTTCTTTACGTCATCTTCCTCAAATATAAACAGGGAGACAACAACAAAATCTGATGACTTTTGGACAGGTTTCTCTTCTTAATCCTTCGCATCGTTTCATTTGCCTGGGTTTTTCTTTTACAATCTAACACTTTACGTCTTGCCTTTGACTTCAAAATGCCACTCCCCTCCCCCCCTCCCCCCCCTTTCACTTTAACAACCGGTTCAGCCTGGAAGGAGAGAATGCTTCAAGAGTACAACTTGCATTTGCATCCACACGTTTTCTTTTCTTTCCTCTTGTGTTAATATAAAGTTTGGACACTCACATGCTTGTGCATCCTTTTTTGGTTCTATTCAAGACAAGTTTTGATATTGTATTGTTTATGCTGATGAGTTGTTCAGTTTGAAGACCAATTTGCCTGGTAGTTCTGACGTGGTATTTATGCATGGATTGCGTTGAGATACAAATGTTTATAATAAAGGCTAGGGCTGTTCCAAATATCCGAATATTCGAATATTTGATCATCAACCGAATATTCGGATGGCTTTTACTGGTTCAAATATGCTAACTGTGCTTCTGCACAAAAATAAACAAGTTTGATTTTTTCATTTGCATGTGCACACATCAAGGTTTTGATGATTTTCATTCCGAGGTAATGGGCTGTATACTGGCAAAGGTATAAAAGATGCAAGTGCAATTAAAGAACAAAACTTTGTTCTGAACTCAAGTATAAATTCAGAAAGCATTATGTTTTACAGAGTTTTTGTTGTTCCATTATTTTTTGGGGGGGGCACAAAGCGTATCTTTATTATCTTTTTGATCGTTTTTAAAATTGCCGATTGCAGATTCAGTTACCATTGCCTCCAAGGACTTATGTACATACAACTGTTAGTTTATCTGGAGGAACGAATCATCAACTCTCGGTGTGCACATACACGTATGCAGTGATATTGTTTGTGGCTGTATTCTAGAATTGTAGACCACTAGAATTCTAGAATACTTTCACGTTCTTTTAGAAAATAAAAATATTGTTTTTCACAACAACACAGTGGTATTATAACTGCAGCTTGAGCGCTTGACGGAAATTGGTTTACCAGGTTATTGTGGTCACATCCCATAAAATGAGTTTTAGGGACAGTACTTTACAGCGGCGTAGCCAGGGTTCTCATTCTAGGGGGCGGTTTTTTTGGGGGGGGGGGCTTGAGGTTACAATGGAGGGGCACCCAAAAAATTTAATCCGTGCTGAAAGGTAGACAGGTTTTTTTCATCGGACACCCGCGCTCCGTAAAATCAAAGAGGTGGGGGGGGGGGGGGAGTGGACACCATCTTCCCACGGGGGCGCTGTTCAAAACGTATATATCATGGCTACATTAGACAATAACTACAGCTTTTCACTTTCCAAGGGACCTTACAATAAACAGCCACTCGCGCAAAAAAAAGAGTTTGGGTAAAAAATACGCACAAAATCGCGGGAAAAAAAGGGATTTTATGTTCTTCCAGCTAATCATGGTAACTCATAATGGCTGTGCTTTTCTCTGGATGCCAAATTTCCAGTGGGGGGGTGACTGGGGGTGTGAACTTTTTATGGGGGTGTGCACCCCCCCCCCCCCCCCCTCCCCCAGCTACTCCGCTGGTCCTTAAAAAAAATTTAAAGAGCTGTCACTGAAAGAACATGCTCTGATCTTGGTTTTGATATTTCTATCAGTTTGACACCTTGATATATGCAGATGTGCCAATTACTCCAGAGTAGCTTGGATGACTTCTAACTCATTTTGTCTGGTTTGGTCATGAATGCCTGCTGGAAGCATTTACACAAGTATGACTACAATTTGCGTTTGGGCTCAGTGTTTAAACCGTCATTCATAAATACCTCAGACAGTTTAGCTATTCCTATTGGTCGAGAGCCCGTCACGTGGCCGGTCTTAAACGGATGATAAAGACATGGCTAGCTGGTCTTAAACACTTTTCCAGTGTCACATAAAATGTGGACTCCTAAAAATCCAGTGCCTCTTACCGTTTTATTGGTTGAACGTTCACAGTCCTCACGTAGGCATGCGCAACACTACTAGCGAGTCAGAATTTTATAGTTCTAAATTCAAAACGCAACGCCCCAGGTGCGTTCTGCGCGACATCGCGCAGAACATGCTACGCGCGCGTCAATCTCCATAAAAGGGTTGTTTACATCTTACTTGCCAGCTGAACATTCCATTATTTTGCTAGAGGGATGTTTCAAAAAGCATGAAGTGAACTTGTTAACAAAATCAGGATTTTTTGAACGAATTGTTTGATCTTTTTTTACCGAAAAGGTATTTATGAATGGGAATAAATGTGTGCTCGGTCGGTATTTATCACTCTGTTTAATACCACTTAGAGTCTGGGTGCTGATAATTACCCTCGCCTCCGGCTCGGGTAATTATCAGCACCCAGACTCTAAGTGGTATTAAACAGAGTGATAAAAACCTCCGGAGCACACATTTATTCCCTTATTAGCTCACAACTCTGGCAAGTTTTGTTCTGGAGTCTGTTGGCTGTAGTCTGGGGAGGCACGATGGCGTAACCGTCCAGCTGGGACCAGATTTGGTGGTGTCAAAGTGATCACGTGGTTTAGTGATCGCTTCGGTATCATCACTCTTGTCCTGTGCAATACTTGTTACTCATGAATACATTTACAGGTAGTAAATTGCGTCAAGAATCTCTCACTGATCCATGTGACCGGGCCTACATCTGGGTACCGGAAATCAGTGTCGCTAGATTGTAGTCGGCAAAGTGTATATAGCACCGTGCACAGAAGGTAGTAGGCGAGTCTGTGGTGGATGGCAAAAATTGTGAGAAAACCGCTGAGCCAAAACCTAGTGTTGGGTGGGCATGATTATGATAATCGCTGTTGAAGTCAATATTACTTTGACTGTAACCTTTCATCGACTCCACTTTAGTTAGGGTTTGACCATAAGGGACCAAGCAATCAAGGTTACCTGCATCATTGGTCATCAGCTAATCCAGTTTAGTCAAGGTTTGACAAGTTTGACTATTAGGGACCAACCGATCAAGGTTACCTGCATCATTGGTTATCAGCTAATCCAGTTTAGTCAGGGTTTGATTAGTTTGACCATTAGGGACCAACCGATCAAGGTTACCTGCATCATTGGTTATCAGCTAATCCAGTTTAGTCAGGGTTTGATTAGTTTGACCATTAGGGACCAACCCATCAAGGTTAGTTGCATCATTGGTTATCAGCTAATCCAGTTTAGTCAGGGTTTGACTAGTTTGACCATGAGGGACCGACAAGGTTAGTTGCATCATTGGTTATCAGCTATCAACTAATCCAGTTTAGTCAGGGTTTGACTAGTTTGACCATGAGGGACTGACTGATCTAGGTTACCTACATCATTGGTTATCAGCTAATCCAGTTTAGTCAGGGTTTGACAGGTTTGACTGTTAGGGACCAACCCATCAAGGGTAGTTGCATCATTGGTTATCAGCTATCAACTAATCCAGTTTAGTCAGGGTTTGACTTGTTTGTCCGTGAGGGACCAACCGATCAAGACAAGTTGCGTCATTGGTTATCAGTTAGTATGTCCATCAGAATGTACATGTATACCAGTGAACCAGGACAGAATGATTTGAATGAAGTTTTAACACACACGTAGTTCAAGTTTAGCTCGTTTGCACTTTATCACTTGTGTATGGCTACAAGTTCCATTTATCAAACTTGTTCTGGAATGCTAGGTTTGATGAATGCATTGCACACAGCACTGCAGAGTTCTGCATAAAGGCCTGTTCATACTTCATGCGGTTGTGAATGCGATGCAAATTTGACGTCACAAAGCATTCGCCGCGAAATTTGCCGCGAAATTCGCCGGAGTTGAAATGTGTTTAACTTTTACGAATTCGCAGTGCAAAAACTTGCCCTGACGTCACAAGTTTGCGTTCGCTTTCGCGCCGAGTGTGAACCGGCCTTAATATCCGTAGTTTTTAGCTGTAAGCAGACAGCGTTCCGGAAAAGTCTTTGAGTCCACTGTAGGCATATGGCAGTCATTTTATGTGGCGATTTTTCATAGTTAGATCGACCTGTGTATAAATTCTGCGTTACATCGTCTGTACGGTAATCTTGTCAACACCATTGGGAAACGATAATGTAAAACCAAAATTTGATTATTATTCATGAGGCTAATTAATATTCATATGTTTTCCACCAATCAACAGACGTAGTCAACCTGGATCTGAAGTCAACAATGCGAGTCCTGTACAACATATTCACCAAGTACAAGCATCTGACATAGGGCAGGACGAGGGCGCTCTCTCTCCTTAGCAACAATGACAACTCACTCTTGCCTGACACTAGAGGGCGACTGCCATTACTGTAAAGTACAACATTATTATCATTTTGTATAAAACAACTGTTAAGTCAATCCTGTATTTAGTATTGTACCTTGGGTATTATTTTTCTAGCCGTTAGCAATCTTATTTAAATATACTAATAAAAAGATAAAAATTTGAGTTTTTTCATGTTAAAAGAAAATTGTAAAAAAAAAAAGTAGTAATTGCTAACACACAGCTAGCACAACATGATGAACATAGTTTTTTTAATAATATTTCAAGAAAAAAATGTGGATTTTGTTCTACTTGGAATTTTAGTTTAATACATTTATAGACATTACGCAGCTGTTTCTAGCCCACCCCTAAACGTCAGTTTTTGTTTGATCTCAACCCTACTTCAAAACCCCTTTTTTGATTCAGCTGTACTTTTATTTAATTTTATTTGAATTTACATATATGTTATGCTGCGTCCAAATCACTTCAAAAGTTATTTCACTCGAGATTTGTTGCTTGGCAACATTTTCAAGGAGTTAATGCAAATTTTAACTTTGTTGTGTTTGTGCACAGTTAACCCCCCACCCAGCATTTAAAAAAAATGATAAATTCACACAAAAAATCATTTGTTAAAGTTCAAGAATATATTATTGTGTAAACTGGATGGGTTTCTAGATGAACATTCGTATGTTGTGGTATTTTCAAAAACTGAAAATATCACGCCATGTTTTTAAAAATCGTGCATTTTTAGCATTGAGACCACAGGTATTTCAGTAGAAAGAGCAATCAATGTTTTTTGGGGGGTTTTTTTTGCACAAGTACCATCGCAACAGTAAGAAAGGGAGAGTTGGTGAAGATGACGCCACGTGAATCCATGTGAAGACGCCATTGGGTTTGTGCATGCACAGAATCAAATTTGTTGTGCGTATTTCACCCTATATGCAGGCGTTCCAGTTGGCACACGCAATTGTGTCTTGTCCATGGGGCCCTTGAAAGTAATAAAACAACGCCCCCTCTTGTTCGCGCATGGAGCCCATTGACCCCATGACGGTGGCTCACCGAGGACAGATTTTATTTAAATTCAGTGACAATCGAAAGACAAAGCGTCTACTCATGCACATAACAGAGAAACAAAGAACTGGTTCATTTGTGAATCGGATTCAGGAGCCTTTGCCATGAGAATAAGCAGTAAAACCCTTACACACTGCCCTAGTTTGATATGATATGCAAGCAGATTCGGCAATTAATTATGCAACAGGACTGCGTCTTGACCTTGAGATTCTGACCATTCAGCGGGCGCCTTCTATATCAGGTTTTCGGTAAGCTGTTTTGAAAGCCAATGTCGGTTTTATTAGATCTCTATGCCCGCAACCTCGTCCCCAGTGCTTACTTTGTTTCCAACCGCATTTCCAATCGTAAGCCCTGGATAGGAAACTTTCTTCCTGTATCCTGATTCGTGACCGCAATTTGCTAATAATGGATTTATATCGTGTAGTTGGTGTTGTGTTTTTCCAACGTGCATTACGTGTTTTCACGATCATTGCAATTCTAACGTCCACGCCTTCTCAATAATACTCCTTTTCTTTCCAGTTTGCTCATATTAATATGAAATGTGCTACTTTTCATAACTCACGGCACGACGAATTGATGCTGTTTTTACCCCAGACACCGCATGCAAAAACAAACGCTAATGTAACGCACATGCAGGCACCAGACTATTCCTCATTTGCATACGTGTTCAAAAATCTTGCACATGCAAATGATCCAATACCAGGGTGAGAGAGCAGATAGTGGTGGGCGCGTACTGCTCGACACCCTGGGGACGAGGTTGCTATGCCCGTTGTCTTAAAAAGACATGGCATCCAAATTGACCAATCAACAGCTCAGTCCAGATTTCGGAATGAAATCACGTCATGTCGATTGGCTGGTGCGCAGGTTCGCAAAAATTTGCACGCTTAGGTCTATCAGACGTTGGACCAGAGACAGAGAGGCTCCGTTGAACAACGGGTGATACGCGGACTTAAATCTCACTGGAATTTTGATACATTTTAGTACAAATCTAAAGTGTTTCTTTCTCTTCTTTCAAAATTATATTGATACCCTGATACTTGTATAAATGAAATAATCTATACATTTATACAAAGAAAGTTACAGAGGCAGTTAACTATGTGTATTATATTGAGTTTACCCCAGCTTTGCATGGTTTAGATATGTAGTAGTACATGTATATGTTTATATGCTTGGCATTTGCATTATAAATACCATTATTTATTGTTAAATTAACGCTAGTTTATACTTGCGTGTATGCAACAGTCATCATATTAGCTTCCTAAAAAAATACTATAGATATAATCATTTTGCAACCAAATCAGGAATAAATCTAAAAAAAAAATTGTAACAAATGCACAAAGAAATCTCATTTTGTGTTAATGACGACCATTGATGACTTTTGTTTTTAATCGTAATCAAGTTGTTTCCGCGAACAAAGTAGATTTTCAGGTATGAGTTCGAAACAAAGGAAACATGTACATTATTAAAAAATATAATATTTTTGGTGCTGTATATTCTTTTTTTTTATTATCATTATTAGTTTTCCCTACCAGTGTTTATTTTCATAGCTATATACGTGAAATTCATATTAATATTTATGACATTCAAGTGATAAATGTTTAAGGTTGTAGAATTGTCAATTGAAAATAACATCATAAAATATTCATTTCTACTAGTGTTGATGTAACCAAGAGGATTCCTGAAGCATTGTCGTTTCCAAGAAAGCACTTACTCTTTCTTGTAAATCTGCCTACAAATTCTTCCTTTTTTTGCACGGTGAAAGCCAACTTTGTTCAATCATTCATAGAATATTTTTTATCTTCCAATAAACTCTGCTTCCTTTTTTATTTTAATATTTGTCGTTTTAAATAGTAATGCATTGAATAGTCTTGTTTCTTTACTTTTTTCCAGAAAAAGAAGAATGACGGAGCTTGAAATATAATTTTTGGTTCAATTTTAGAGGAAAATTATGTATTTTTATCATACAAATAATGAATATGTATGAATGCGGTGGTAAGAATAATTTTACGAGGTGACAGTTGGGATGGAACATTCCATCTGTCACCGAATGAAATTATTCTTTCCATTGCAAAAATGTGAAACATTCATACTTTGTTTTATACAACACCTGATTAAGTCGCTGTCATCTGTTTGGTTAGAGCCACAGACGGCTACCAGGGTGACCGTAAGGTCATGGCCAAATTCTGTTAAATGCAATTCCAAAAACTGTCAGATTCATCAAAAATCTGCCAAATTTCCCAGAATTACTTGATATACACTATAAACACTACAAATCACATGTAGATGTTGTAGTATAAGATTTGAGGCTTTGCATGGTGGGGTATCGGTATCGTTTCGGTTTGCGGTAACACCATGTGGTAATAACTACTGCTTAGAAGATATTAGTTCTGAAAAGAACTTGTCCTGCTTGTTATCAACTTTGCTAAGTAGTTTTTTGTTCTGTTAAGAACAGTCCTGCTGTAAGTTCTAAACGAACTTGTCTTTGGTCTCTAGTCTTTGAGTCTCTAGTCTTTTAGACCAAAGACAAGTTCGTTTAGAACTTACAGCAGGACTGTTCTTAACAGAACAAAAAACTACTTAGCAAAGTTGATAACAAGCAGGACAAGTTCTTTTCAGAACTAATATCTTCTAAGCAGTAGTTATTACCACATTGTGTTACCGCAAACCGAAACGATATAGATGTTGTAGTATTGCCTTAATTAAGGTTCAAATTGCATTATTAACAATCTATAGTAGCATAAAGATGTTATGAAATTGCGTAAATTTCCAGGCAAAACGTGGTTGCGTCACGACAAAGTCCGGTTCTCAGTGAACCTCCGCACCTAGACCAGCCAACCTGTTCCATTATGCAAGGGTTTGTTTGAAAAGATTGAAGCTTTTTTATAACAAATGTACCTTTTTTTTTTCAAATTTGCCATGTTTTATCTGTCAAATGTCTGTTTTTGCAGAATTCTGCTAGAAATCTGCCAAAAAAATCAATTCTGACAAGTTTTCTGTCAAACTCGTTTTTTAACAAAGAAAATCTGTCAAAGTTAGCCGAAAATTGGCTAAAACGGTCACCCTGAATCAGCTACAGTGCGACTGCCAATGGAACCTGTATTTTTGCGATGCGGCCAGGCAGTGGTTTGGGACGAATAATTCAATGACATGTGATCAGTTGCCTATCAATCAGAAGACAGGGATTTATTCAAGCGTTGTATAAATTGGAATATTAGATTGTATAATAACTGTCTTGCGCACAGCTGAAAATAGTAAAGTAGTAATCTGTGGGCGAGTAAAAAAAAACACTAAATGGCAGGACCAATTTTTGATTGAAGTTTTGCCTGTAGCACTTTCAAAATATAGGATATGAAAGCCCAGTCATTAAGCTTTCTTTTAGTACAAGAATCATTCAAATCACTCATGTACTTATCAAGTTACGGAATTTTGAACACAAACACCGTTTGAAAGTTCTGTCCACAGATCACAAACAAAGTAAGTGTTCTTTCAGCAAAACGAAAATAATTCTCATAGCTATGCATGTGAATTGTTTTCGTTTTGCTGAAACAAACTTAACCCTTTTGATTGGGCGTTCATATCCTAGATTTTGAAAGTGCTGCAGACAAAACTTCATTCAAAAATCGGTCCTGCTGCAGACAAAACTTCATTCAAAAATTAGTCCTGCCATTTGGGTTTCGTGGTTTTTTTTATACTCGCCCTGTGTATCACATCCAGGATAAATTAATGCAAAATGAATAATGACTGATCTTCCATATTTTGTTTTATTTATTGTTTTATTTATATATTATTTTTTTCTTTGAAATCAATTATTTGTTCGTTAAAGCAATCAAAAGTATAAATCAGCTTGGGTCGGTTGTACGTCGTATAAGTTCATTTGCTATGGAATTAATAATGGTCTATGAGATCCGCTGTATATAAACAAAATTAAAAATGATTCAGTAGTAGGTAATTTATAATGGTAATGTATATTTTTACAACATTAAACATTTACAGCATCAGTTTGTCATGGATATTACGGAGACTCAATCGTGTGCTCAGTGTGTTTATTTTTGGGTTTACATTTGGGTAATGGGGATCAAGAGGCTACCCATACTCTCGCCACCCCTCCCCCGTCCGATTTCCCTCGCATTTCCCCGCTAAAAGAGTTTTCGCAGAAACCGTTAAAGACACAGGATCATTTGCTTTTTATGCATTTTGTTCGTTTCCTTTAATAACACCACTCACAATCCAAAAGAAGACTTCAAAACCTAAACCTGTTGAAGTTTCAGCTCGAGAAAACTCTAAAAAAAAAAAAAAAAATTAAAAAAAAACATGCACAACCTTTTGATCAAGAAACACGATTTCGTCTATTTAATAAACTCCATATTTTCAAGAATCAGTCAATCGACTGATATTTGGAAATCACCTACATTTCTTGATTTCGGAAAGAATGCAGTATCCAGACGCCACTCCAGCGGTTGTGTAAAAAGTCTATGGAGAGTCGAGAACATTTTGTTGTTTTCCTCACAAAATGTTTCTCAGTCCCAGATTCATGTTTTTTCAAAATTTCTGCAATGACTGACCTTCATTGAGATAATATACGATGAAAAAAAGTGGCGTCAGGTTGCAACGTTCTTTCCTTGATTTCTTCTAAATGATAGCAAGCCAGATGGAATAATTTCACGGGGTGTTTTGTACCAATACATCTTTAATCCAAGTAAGCTATTTTCATAATAATTCGGTTGGTTACTCTAGGGATAAATGCAAATGTACTATGTGCCTTTTAGCATTCATAGTTCATAAGTTTCGATACAATAGGCATTTAGGAGAACATGTTATGCTTGTCACAACATTTTGTTGCCACGAAAAGGTGTTCTTGTTAATGCCTGTAGTGAAATTTTGTTGTTTGCAAAAATCCAGGCAAAAATCCCCAGTGGACTGTAGCTCCACCATATAATTAGCTAAACGGATGCAGGGATTGTGCCTTTGATGATACAAGCTTGGCATTTGGCACACAGTCAGAGTATGTCTTGAGAATGATATTTGGCTATCGGGCCATCGCAGATTTGTCCTTTGAAAAAATATAGGTAGAATAACATGCAATGGCCGCCATTTTTATTTTATTTTTTTAAATTGCATGTTATTCTACCTATATTTTTTTTCCAAAGGACAACCTGCGATGGCCCTATAGCCAAATATCTTTCTTAAGTCATACTCTGTGTGCCAAATGCCATACTTGTATCATCAAAAAAGACACAATTCCCCCCCCCCCCAAAAAAATAACCCCCAAATATTTCCCCTATCTGCCCCGTCGTAATAGAGATTTTATACTTGTAATTTGTATTCAGAATACTACATTATTTGAAGCCCGATAAAACACGAAAAACCCATATTAACTCAAATATACCTTAGCCTTTTGTGTACATTTTTTTGTATTCCATCGTTGCTATAAAATCCCCATGGAAATAAAGTATGAAGTTCTCTTTCTAAGATTTTTTATTTGTAACCACGTCCTTTTCCATCCAAAGTTGGTGAGGGAGGCTCTCGCGAAACCTTTTCCGTTCAGTTCCCAGAATTATTTTGTGCGGGTGCCTCGTGTGAAAGAAATTGGAAATTTGGACTTTTTTAATTTGTAAAGACTGTTTTCGTTGGTAGCTTTTGCCGGACAATGTTTTGGGTGTTGCTTTTTTATTGAGAGAAAAGAAAAGAAAAAGAGCGATTCAAAACGAAACATTCCAAGATGACGTGTCTCAGTTTTATTCCCAAAACCGAAACTTATGCGGTAGTACTATGTACATAAACAGGGCACATGCAATGTTTTGGCATGTGTTCTCTGCGCACCTTCAACTTTTGCTACGTTTCTTATCTCAAGAAATCTCCTTATACGGATGTGGTTTGTTTACCCGACCAATTACCACAAAACCGGTTACATTCTATCCACTTATTTTGTAGTTCGTGATGTTCTTAGTCAAGTGATTGAACAAAAAGGGTCCAAGTGAAGAAAAAAAATCGGGGTTTTTTTTGGCTAGCCGAATACTTTAGCTTACTCTGTCTAAAAGTAAAACCAAGATTTGCGGTAATGGTACAATCCTAACATTTGTCTCTAAGTTTCGTGATACTGAGCATCGCAGGAAATTGTGGTTTACATTTAAGGGGATACTTTGTCAATTTAATTGTCCACAATAAAACCAGACTTTTTCCTTTTGGGTGTTTTTACGTTCCTCTATCCACAAACCGCGTAATACTTTGAGAAATATGGGTCGTGTGTACAGGTACTTTATATTGCCAGATCATTACAGAAATCCTTGAACAAAATCCCGGTGTAGCATAATTCAGGAAATAATAGAATGTCGGTGAATGATTAAACCAATTTAGATATCACCGCCAGAGTTGAAAACTGGAACATGACGCCCCAGATAAGAAGTAATTTCCTGAAAGCGGACTCACAACACGATCTTGTTGTCATTGTAGTGTGCAGACATGATGGTTGTTCTAGATTTATGTGATTACAACAAGTTCACCCTCAAGAAGCTCTGGTGCCACCCCCGTGCGCCCAGTCGACGAGGCTGAAAACGATGACATCACCCACTGCTGGTTGGCTATTGTTTGGGTTGGACGTGAGGAGAATATTGAAAAATACTGACTGGGTCCCGCGCGCGCGGTATCATCAAACTGGAAATTAAAATTATATGACATGAATAATTAATACATGCAGGTGACATATCGGTCAATGTTTTACATACAATGGCGGTCGAGTGTGAAGACATAGACAGTGTTTGTGTGTGGACCGTTGCCAGGACACGGAATATTTATTCATAACAAAATATTGTTATATCATGGAGAAATAAAACATGGTTATATGGACAGGGTCGGCGGAACTCGGCTGCATATACCGTTTAAACTACAATGCAATTATTGTATTTCATTGTACAAATTCGTGTCGTAAAATGTCTTCGTTCTTGAAGTCGTGTGGTTTTTGTATGTTACAATTTTTTCCTGATTCCTTTGCCAAATGAAAGCTGGAGAAATAAATGAAATTGAAAAAAAAAACTCATTTGTTTGAATTTTTCTCCGCCAAAATTTTCCAAAGTAGTGTAAATTTCAACTATAATCAATATAAGATATTACACAAATTGCAATGGTAGATTTGACAGATTTGAATATTTGAGTGGTCCAATTTGAATAAAATGTGAGGGAAAAAATAAAATACTACAGCAGAAACTTAATTTGTTCATGAAATTCTGCGTCTTACATAAGAAAGATGTAGGAGACGACATTATGTCAATAGTATTATACATTCAAATTATAAATTTGTGAGAAAAGACGAAACGCGATATTTTTATTGGCGTAACAGGTGCACGCTAATTGATTGATTTCGGCTAAATTCTCCCAACTGGTCAATCCGCGTGGCCCCACCCCCTGCAGCGCTACGCTTGCCGCTGCTGTCTGCCATACCACACGTCATTCCACACATAGTTTCTTCCCCATCGCTGGAACGCCAAAAATCCTCACGAAAATTGCTCTTTTTACCGGGAATTCCGCCGTGAATCTCACCCAACCAGTGCCTTGTCTACCCACAAAGCTCCACAAAGGATCCTCAGGTAAGTTTTGGCGGATTTCGGGCGCAACCGAGAGGTTTTCCGCCGCGAGTCGCAGGTGAATTGGGCACATCTTTCGCATTTTTGTCATATTTTTCGACTCACGAGTGCGGACTTCCGGAACAAGTTTCAAACTTGTGTCTCGTTTTCCTGCCCGGGAAATCCTCGCAATGGAGGGCCTGGCCGCCGCCCGAGCGCCACAACTCGACACACGGACCCCCCTTGCCTCGTTCCTGCATCTTTTTGGGGAACCTTGGGCTCCGGTGTCGGTGAAAGCAGCGGAAGTTTGAAGCCTCCTTCGCTGACTTGGCGCAGTGGACTTGTAAAAAAATGTCTCCCCCAACATTGTTCTCTCGCATAGTTGACAATCCTACACTAGCACTACACAGAGACGTGGCGGTGCATGCTAAACAACACTGCGCTGTACAATGTGTACGGACACACGCAACACGCTATGCAGGTAGGATGGAGTTGCAGATTCGGGGTCCCAACAACTTGGACCCCGGCCCGCGTGCCGCGCAGCTTTGCCTCCAAATTTGGCGTTGGGTCGTTCTCCACAACACAACCACCTCTGTGTATTGGGCCTCCCTAGGATTTTAGGCAGTGGCGTAATATAACGGGGTTAAAAAGATGCTCTGAATGTTTTCCCACTGCGGAAGGAAGGTGGTGTTTTGTTTGGGTTTTTCCTTGGCTGGCTTTGGTAGATGTTTTGGTGACTCATTTTTGTTGCGGTCATTATTTTTGCGCCAAGCTGGAATTTATTGTGTGTGGGACGGTTGAGTGAATCATTGTTATGTGTGCTATCAGCTGGCAATGTGTAGTGCGCAGTGTTATGACTAAAAAGAATCGGGAGTGGAGTTCGTGGAAATCAAAGTTGACCTTTGGAGAATAGGAAGAGATGAATTTTCAAAAATATCACCCTTCAATATTATTAAGAAGTTGTACAATGTAGTGTGCAATTTTTGGCAGGGCCAGAAAGTTTTTGTTGACATGATTTCTAATTTTAAAATTGTATCTGCTCTTTTCTATTTTTTTTTTTTAAAGGTTTTTCTTGTTTACATCATGTTTGCATGGACTCAATTTGAAAAAAAAGATTTTCCTTTTTTCCTGTCATAAACCCCAAATCGAGTTTTACCAATGATTTCATTAAAAAAATTCTTAATTGTCTGTGTTACGATCAGATGATGATAATATAAAACAGATTGTAATTGTTGCTTTGATTGAATATTGTCGTGCACAGACTTCGAAAGGAATTTTGAAACTGCAGTTTTTCGGGGAAAAAATCCTTCAGCCTCCCTTTTTTTCACAATATTTATGTATAACTGATTGCTCTTTGTACAATTTGTACACAACCCCAAACGTCTGTAAATGTAGAAATATGTATACACATAACTGAAACAGCTAGTAAATAAGAACATAAACTATAGATTCAAGTTGCACATCTTTACTTTTTAACGGTTTCATTATATTTTGGGGGAATGAACATAACCTACGTATGCACTCATTTAGGTCCCCCAAAACTTAAATTTCCAAAATAGCCTCTTCACTTTGCTCTCCCCACCCCCACCCCACCCCCAATCTCTGCTGAAGAAAACATTACAGATTAACTACAAAGATGCATCTTGTACAGAAAATACACACATTCCTGTTGTTAGTTAGTCAAAATTTAGAGAGGTTTTTACTTCTTTTCTTTGGGGGGGGGGATGGTACATCACATTTATCAGGCCGCTGCACTGTTAAAAGGTTACTTTTTCTTAAAAGAGACTTCATTTTCCAAGTACCCATGTCACAGTCATTCAGATCATCTTTGATAGATATATTGCGCAGCAACAAAAAAAAAGACAGAAAACGGTCCATTATCACTGATAAATGAAAAGTGAAGCCCTGCCCGAAGCCCAAAATCTTCACTGCTCGTGTTTGCGAGGCCGGATGCCCAGCCCAATTGAAGATGTCGAATCAGTGATTTTGTCCTTTTCTCAAGCAATCTCATTTCCGTCTCAGTGCAGTGTTAGGCAACCGGTGTCGAGTCTAGTGACAATGGCATTTTTTGCCCAGCTCTGGTCGTTCATAACTCGGGGTGTAATTTTGCACAGAGATTTGCAGTGCAGAAGCCAGCGCAGTGGACTTTAGCCCAAGTTAATGGGTCTAGAAATCTTGACTCTCTGTTGATTGTGCTTAATAATCCCCAGCATATTAATACACTGCCAGTTTGATGTCTTGACATTTGAAAGCCAAAAAATATTTAAAATAGTGATTTTAATGGACGATGGGTGATCAATTTTGAACGGCATCAGATGTTAACATCGCATGATCCTTCTTGTAATTTTATGCTGATTTTGTGAAGTGATCATCAGTATGTGTGTCCGTGAGAGTATATCGCAACATTTACCAAGAAGAAGACAATCGTTATTTTTGTGCTTTATTTTACACCATTCATACTTTTGTGAAATAGTTTTGCTGAGATGCCGAGATCACATGAAAGCTGTGAAAGTGCAAACGACAAAGGCCGAAATTCAAAATGGCTACGGCGTCGTCCAGAAATTGGGCACAAAATCGGCCGAGTGTTCCCTAACTTGAATTTCTTTAAAGTTGACAAATTCTGATAAATCACCATTTTCTCCACTGCTGTACCCATTGTGCACTAAAACTAAAAAAAAAATCTGCCTTTTTTTTTTTTAATAGGAAAATTACACCAAAATAAAATTAATGTGTTTAAAGGGCGATGATATTTCACTTACCTTTGAAATTTGAGGTAAAATTGTTGCTCTAAGGCAAGGCACTAGAGGCAAAAAAAATCAAAGTGCGCAATGTTAGGATCTGCGCCACGTGAGAGGACGTCAACAATATCAGCAGGAATGATTGCACAACACATTGTTGGCACATGTTGCACGTGTACTTGTACACCTGCATGTTTACTGCAGGAGTGCAACGCTAAGTATAGTCTCGTCATCAGGCCACTGGCTGGCCCTAAAGACGAGACTGAGGGTGTCTCTACCATGTTGCGTGATGCCAAATTATCTTCGCGCAGAACCGAAGTCGCCAAAACACTACAACCAAACCTGAAACATGCTTACATATTCTGGTTACGAAAACAACCCCAAAAATATATTTTTAGAACAATTTAGCATAAAGGCCTGTGATTACGATAGTCCGGCGTGTGAATTGCCTCATGAGGGTGTGACACACGCCGGATGCATGAGACTTGGTAGGTCTGGTTTTGATTTTAATCTGATTCAATGTTACATTTAATCATTCAACTTTACACATTCAATAAAATCTTTTTTTTTAAATACTACGAAATTGATTCGCAATCAAAAGCAAACATTGATTCCTAAACTGACAGTTTTACTATTACTAGTTACTCCTTACGACAACGACCTTATCGAATTTCACTTTTTTCTGCAGAAAATTTCCGTCCTTTTTTTTATCTTGAGGTAAAACCAAAACTGTTCTGAATCACATTAACCGTTTACAAAATTTATAGACAAGGGATTTTTTGGGTTTATTTATGTTAGTCCTTTTAAGTATACGGTATCGTGTGAACTTTGACCCAAGATTTGTTAATAGCTGGCTCCTTAGATGGGTGTGAGATTGCACTCCCCAATGTAAACAGGTAAATTCTCAACTGTGAAACTTCAATTCCCAAAGAACCATGTACTCGAACATGTGTGAGCCATCACCACTGCATAATGTCTAAGACAGAATGAGAGGTCAGTTAGGGTCAGCAAGGCCCAGAGGGGTGCTCCCAGGCTGAAATATGACCTTGTTGAGGCTTTTGGTTAGGATTACACTAGACGGGATAAAAAACTGAAAGCTTTAGAACTTCGTACTTTTGCTTGGAAACATCCTGAATCCGCAATGAAAATCTGTTCCAACAGTGTGCAGTATTAGCTTTGTGGAAGTTTGTGCTTTAGGCCAGCTAAACAGAAACGCAACTAATTTCTCATCCGAATGTTTTGAAAAAGAAGGATGCAGGTTGTTTTGTTTTGGGGGTTTTTTGTGAGTTTTTTTTGCCAATGATGGATCAAGATGGAGATGGACTTTTTTCAAAACATCCACCGCTTTGGTAAAAAAAAAAATCCAAGAAGGCGAATGCTGTTTTTCTCAAAATTGTTATCTAGCTTTTTAGTGTCAAAATGGCAACTCATTCGTGTTGAAAACAAATATTCAAACAAGAAATATTCTAATAGTGAAAATATCAAACTATGGCAGATTTCTCCGTTAAAAAAATTTAAAATTAAACCAAAAAAAGAACATTAATCCTCTTCTGAAGTAAATTTAGCTGGCCTCTTCCATCCTGAATCCACCTACATGTAATTGCTGCAAAACCTACTCGAAGATTATGAGGTTAATGAACATACAAATCTAGTTTTTGTTGTCTTAAACGGCACTACTGCAGCATATTTGTGGTACAAAGCATCCAGAACTTCCGGAATTTTAACAATTTTATGATTTTGTTTCTGACCATACAGACCCGAGCGCTCCTATTGGCTGACGCCGCCAGACCATGTCGTCTGAAAACTGGAGCCAGAGCGCCCCCAGCCAGCAGCCCCAGCATTCGCCGGGTCAGACCAACGACGAGGACTTGGCCAATGATGCCGAGGGGGTTTGGAGTCCCGACATCGAGCAGAGTTTCCAGGAGGCTCTGGCCATCTACCCACCATGCGGCCGGCGGAAAATCATCCTCTCAGACGAAGGAAAGATGTATGGTAAGACGACACTAGACTTAACGCAGTCCTCATTGCATTTAATGCAATTGTGATGGCAGAGCAAGTGGTGCACTCATTCACTTTTGCAGAACAGAATGTTTTAAATTTAAGTTCAGGAGAGCAACAAAGTAATATTATTTTAAATCTAGTTCGTTTATGTACTGGGTGGAAGATGCAGTGCAAAATGTAATTTAAGTATTCATGACGCGAATGCACAAAAGTTGAACACCCTTTGGTTCCTATGAATTTCGTCGCAACCGTTTCATGACATCACGTCCAATTCGCACCTGTATTTGTGTGAGCTACGTTACACCAATCTTCAGACTTGCTTTACACTTAAAAAGCCATTAAAAAAACCCAATATATTGTATCATAATTTTACTGGTTTTTAAAAGCTTTAGAAATTTGTTGTGCGCCCTTTCCAACACCCTGTGCTATTAAACTTGCACTATAACAGCTTGACTCCACCACGCCCTTGTGTTGGAGTTTGTCTGGTTGGGGATCTTTAGGGTTAGTGCTTGAAAGATACTGTTTAGCGACAAAAGTTTTCTTGCACTTTCTTATCTGTTCACCACTAGTATTTGTCATCACTGGTCCATAGTCACTTACTGTACATTTACACATGTATGTACTTTAGCGAAACCGCTAATTCTTTTGGCTGTTGAGTACTTGGCAAATAGTCTGGGTATAGTAATTTGTTGTGCCCCCCCCCCCCCCCAATGGCATCCACGAAAAAAATATTGAAAACTTTCAAATTTGAAGCATTCTTCAAATAATCCCTACACAATTGATCTGTACCAACAACAAAAACCCAGCTATCAGGATTTGAATGAAACTTCCATCATTATGTCACACTCATCACAATCCGACCCCCCCCCCCTTATTTTTTTCTTGTTGCCTGTGGAAGTGGGTCAGCAAACATGAGCCTGTGGATCAAAGAAGCAACCAGTGTTATTGTTCGAGGGGAGGCAGACTTGGCCTGTGTCAACACAACTTTAGTGGAATCGATTGTCGAGCAAATAAAAACTTTGACGTCAGTTGGGATAGGACAAGGAGCTCAATGGGACAGGGTATCATTGATTTCATCTGTGTTTCTTCGAATACTAGGCAGGAAAACCATTTTCCCTTGAAAAATCATTGCAGTTTTCCATTTTTTTTCCTTTTCTTTACTTGATGCATATATGAATCTACAGGTACAACACAGTTCATTATTAACTCATTCTATTCTTATTGAAGAGGAGACCTCTTTTTAAAGTGACCTCAAATTGTCTACGAGTTATCAACTGGACTTTAGAATAAAGTACAAACATTGTTACCATTAGAATTCAATAAACCAAAATTGTTTTGCCAAGAAATTAAACAAAAGAAACTAATTCTTTTTTTTTTTAAGGGAATTAATTATAAATGATCGTTAACACGGACATTTTGCCTTTTTAGTTTATTACATGTACATTTAAAAACACTAACACTCCTATGTAAACATACCGTCTGTGCCAAGTAGTCCTTTCAGTCAAAATCAGTCAAGTGACTGTTTTCAACAGTTAAGAATCCCCAGTGTACGCAAAGCAAGATTGACTGGCTGTGACTGTTTAAGTAACTTGACCTAGCTGTGCTTTGACTTTAGGTGATTGATATGACAACTGTGCCCACCAGTTTCCCTGTTATTGTCTGTTGACTGAATTTGACTAGTCAGAGTGCTTGCTTGAAATATGATCTGACTGTTGGTGACCAGCCTGTGTAAAAGGCATGGCGGGGAAGTGGATAGAATTTTTGACTGTCTGTGACTGTTTAAACAGTAGAGGGTTAAAAGGCTATCTGTGACCTGGATTTGGATTGCCAAAAAAGTCCTTTGTTTATTTTACCTTTTGTCTTTCTTAAAATTTGAAACATAAATGCCCAATAGAAAAAAAACTATTCCAAAGTTTAAACTTCATAAATAAAATATTCGCAGGGTACCATCCAAAGCAACATCCACATCGACAAGTTTAAATAGTCACAATAATTGCGCCCTGAAGTGGATAAGAAGTCCCAATTTATTTAGGCAAAGTCGTAAGATTCTTGTCGCATTAGCGAGATACCGTTGATTTATGGACATTGTCTGTTACTAATGGGCCGTGATATTAAAATGTATTTAACATCTTGTGTCAATATTTGTCTTGCGCTCGCTGTTTGTGACAGCTCTCTTTGTGCAGAGCTTTTTAGTTGAAAGGTCCATCCCACTTGAAATAAACACTGTGAATTTAAAAAAAAAAAAGGGTAAGTGCATGTACTGTACTTGTAAATATGATAATGATACACTATGATAATAATGAAATAGTAGCTGCGACCTTTCATTAGGTTTCATTAGTCTCCTAAACTAAAAATGTTCTGTTCCCATGTTGAGGAAAAACAGTTATTCATCCACTAGTAAAATAAAAATGGATTTAAAAAAATACTGTGGGTACCTTCATAAATGGAGTTCACACTAAGTAAAAACTCATCACCATAATGTTTAACAAAAAATAATTAATAATGTGATCATCTGCTATCACAAGTTACGTGCTTCCTGGGTCCATCCCGTTATTACTTTGTGGCGTATTCTGTGCACTTTAAACCGAGTGTCCACTCGCGCTCCCTGTGCCCCGATGTGGCATCGTACATATTCCCGAGGGAAACAGACCTGTTGAAAATTTTCTTTGAAAGGTTTCCCCGGCAACCACCAGGATGGAATGCCGTAGGACAAAGAGACGCCCCTGTTGCGGCGGACGTTAGTCGTCGTCGGGGGTAAAAAAAAAAAGAGAGAGAAAGGAAGGGGGACGGAGAGAGAAAAGATGAATGGCTGACAGGTCATAAATGGGATGGAAATATTACAAGCGGGGAGATTTGGTGAGGTAAATCACCGGGGATTCTTCTATGCGGTGCGCACCTGCAAATCTTTGCCATCAATTAACCCTGATGGCTGGGTGCGTCCTATGGCAAGCTGCTCAACACAGAAACCTGCTAAGCATAGAAAATATTGGCTCAGCATAAACAGGTTACCAACCAAATTGTCATGCAATGTACACTGCTTGTGACTGGTTCTCCGCTGATTTTTGCTCAGCACAAAACTTAAGCGAAATATTTAGAGCTTACAGCTCTCCATGATATTGGGCCCAGCTGGCTTCGTTCTAGTCTGAGTATTACCGGTTGTCCAACGGAGCTCTCCGTCTCCGGTCCAACATCTGATATATCTAAGCATGCGAATTTATGCGACCCCCCATGCCAGCCAATCAGAATCAACTGTGACTGTAAGTCTTTTCTTCCAAAATCTGGACTAAGCTGTTGATTGGTCAATTTGGATGCCCTTTTTTTTTTTTTTTTTGGTACATGTAATACAACAACAGGCATAAAGATCTAATAAAACCTAGACACGACATTGGCTTTTAAAACTGTTAAGCAAAATTCTGCGCGTATAGAATAGGCGAACGCTCATCATGGGCGTGACATGAACGCGCGTTATTTCAAAATGTTTATGGGATGATCATTCAAAGCCACAGGACGTACACGGATCGCGTAACACATCGTTTACAGGCCACTCAATTCACAACGTAAAAGCATAATGGACGTCGTGTTGAGGTTTTATTAGATGTCCATGACAACAGGTATACCGAAGACCCGATATAGAAGGCGCCCGCTGAATGGTCAGAATCTCGAGGTCAAGACACAGTCCTGTTGCATAATTAATCGCCTAATCTTCTCACATATCACAGACACTTGCAGTGCAAGGGGATACTCCATAGACTAGTTTCATTCCAGGGCTGATGTCAAATAGTAGGCCTACTTCCACCAAAAAAAGAAGAGCTCCTTGGACCCTTTCTCGTAATGCCTCTTGGTCCACTCTAAATGCATAACATTATAACTGCAAAGGTAATGTCATTAGTACTAAAACAATGTGTAAAAAAAAATGGTCTTGATTAAAGGGAATATACATCATTTGCTTTTGCTGTAATTTTCAGAAATGGATGGAATTGGGGGGGGGGTTGGAAATATATAGCAAATATAGTTACACTTACTTTTTTGAGGTTTTGGGTTCAAAAATGCTATAAAAACCAAGAAAAAATGATCATTTTCCTGTAGTCTGGTTCCCTGACTCCATTTAAGAAGAAACAGAGCAGTTTGGGGAATTGTAAGGTCAGGGAACCAGTCTAGCTGGCTTGTACCCGTTCATAGGTGTGTAATTGATTGCAAACAAGTGCGATGGTCAACTGGGGCCAGTATTTGAAAAAAAGCCAGTTTTTTCCAACGCTGATCGGCCGATCAGCGTTGGAAATTGATAGAAAAATACCACTTTTCTTGAAAATGACAGTATACCAGGTGCCATGATTTTACAGGATGCTTTACACTGTTATTCACTAACAGTCCAGCAAGGTATTTCAAAATTATTTGGTAGTTTTATTTTTTGATGTTTGCAAATGTTGTATTTTCCCTTTAACCGGAATTTTCCACTAAAAACAAACCTCTTCTTTATTATCCCTAAATGTTGAACTCCTTCAGACCTGGGTATCATTTTCCGAGAATTTATGTTTGTGCTAGACATCCTTCATGAACCCATTTGGTACGTACGCTGTCTAAACAAAGATCAGAAGTCAACGAAATGAAGCTGTGTTTTTTTTTGCTGGCTGCTTGCCAACTCCAAACCATCAGGGATAAGTTGCCAACCGGATGCAGGGGTTAAAATAAATAACTTGCGATTTTTTTTTTTTATCAGCTCTGTAGGATGCGTGTAGGAGCCTGCAGATGATGAGATATCTAAGAGATTACATAGAAATTACATCAGCTATGCCTACTGTAAGAGTGTAACAGCGTACGTTTAAACCCTTTTCAGTATTTCTTGCATTGCACTAAAAAAATAAGCACAGATTTTAAACTTACATAATCAAGCTTCTTCAAGTATTGTAAAATCAGTTAATAGCCTACCGTGTCCACGTAATTATTCCAATTACATTTTGGTACATTGTATCACTTGATGTAAAGAAGTACTC